CGTTTTCGCGGGCAGGATCGGTGGAAGCCGGGTACCTTGGCGGCTCCGGTTCTTGGAGCACCTCAAGGTGCCTCGTGGCAAGAGACCAGGGACCGAGGAACGCTACAAAACCGACTTGGACGACGTGTTACTGCGGAATGGTCGCAGAGTGTAGGCAGATCCACGAGACCGTGGTACGTTTCGTTCTCTCCCGTTGCCTTGTCTCTCCTGCACTCCACGGGATCGGTCTCTCCTGCTCGCCTCTCTCGAAGAGGGAGCCCCCTCGACTAGTGATGGCCTCAACGCACCTCGTATCACTCGCAATACGCCAAACCTGCCCATCCAAATCTTACAACTTACCAAACATTAGTATCTATTTTTCATTTTAATATCTCAATTTTTTCTCATCTCTGTTTTCCTTTACTTTTCAGGCACCCCATGTTCTTTAATTCGAGGATAAACGAGGACAATGCGGATAAACACGGAATTAAAGGTGTTTGTTTACATTATGATATTGAGTATGTCTAATTAATATTGTAATTTATCGAATTGGATATATATTATAATTTACATTATAATCCAGATAAACACGGAATTGATATAAAAGTGTTTGTTTACGTTATGATATTGAGCATACCTAATTAATATTGCAATTATATATTTATGGAATTGAATGCATATATATTATTTGAATTTTATGTAATCTGATTTAGTATGGAATTTCATTATTTTTTTTTTTAAATTTAGTCTGTCTACTGATAGTTATTCATTCCTTTAATGAACAGGATTTCAATTGTTTTTGTATTTATTAATTTAAAAGTTTATATACATACATTTTAACGCGTTGATCTGATTAACTCGTAAACGATTAAATTTACATGGTTTACTGTAAATATATTATTTTAAAGCACAGTTTATTAGCAACACTTTTAGAATTATATCGCCAAAATTGCAATTTGCTATCATCGGCTTGTAAGTTTATTTCTATTTAAAAACTCGCATACAAAATAGTTTAAGTAAAGTTTCTCTGATAATAATTCCGTTTTATTTCTTCCCGCAAATTTTCGGACCCGTCTGGAAAATTAATATCATCGCCACCGATAAATCTTCGCCAAATCAAGGAAATTGTACATCTTCTTGGATGATTTCTCTTCGTAACATTGTAACAGTTCAGATTGAATTAAGACCGATCGATTTAGACGTTTTAAATTGTTTGAAAACTTGCGAGATGGTAAAAACTAAATGCCCATCGCTACTCTCGACGAAACCCGCCGGCTGCTTCTCTCCCCTGCTTCTCTCTGCCTTTCTGTTTCTTTCCTTCCCCTCGCGCCGCTCTCTGGCCGGTTCATTGGTTCATCGGTGCACCGGTCCGGGCTCCGTATTCTTCTCTCTAATTATACCGTTACGTGCAATCGCTCGTGTCAATTAGCAGCTCCTTTCTTCCTGCCCGAATACAACCCCTTCTTTCGCGGAGGACCCCGGAGGATCTAGATTTGACTCTCCTTCGCCCCCTTGCACCCCCTTTCGTTCGAACGATCACGAAATGTAAACGCGTGTTACGAAGAATTTCGCCAAGAGTGCAACAATATCGATATTGTTCCACGGACGCTTCGATCCAACAAAAACGAAGTCGAGACAGCCGGGGATTTTCTTAGAATTTTTTCAACGGACGTATCTTGTTTATTTTTGGGTAAAAAATGATACAAGAGGATGGCTGTTGTACAGATGATTGATACTTTATTTGCGTGTACGTATCTTCCTCGAAGTTTCATATATTTCCGTTTTCCACGTGCTCGAACGAAATTAAATATAGATTAGTATCGAGATCGTACAGCGAACATTTCTTTAGTTACGAAGAAAAGGTTTCACGTAATTAAATTGTCATTATGTCGAAGCCGCAAGACGCGCAGATTTTGTATAGTTTTCCAAGTTCAGATCTCAACATTTGGGTACTCGAACTCAGGAGAACGATCGATCTATTTCCAACGAAAAAAATGGATATTTTATTATCGAAAATTAATGGTTCGATCGAACCACAGGAGTTCGTCAACCTCGAACGCGCGAGCGTGACCGAACATGCCAATCGGCGGGTTTAAATGATCAGAAGCACAGTTAGAGTTTGCCCTCCGCGAATCTAACACGTAGACCACACTTTTGGCAAGCTTTAGTTTTCACTCTGCAAGTATTTTATTCTTTTGTAATGTACCAACGTTCTTTTAGCCTATGGCCACCTGATCCAGAGATCCCAAGTGTGTAAACTACCCCCTGGCCACGCCATCACCAAGAGATTTCCTCAACATTTCCTGCATCATGAAGAAAGGGTACTCGAATGACACCTTCTTGACTCCAAGTACTATTGTAAGTAAGGACGTTTCCTCTTGAGTCTCTTCTTTCTGCCCTGAGTCTGTATCATTGTAACTCCACCTCGACGTTTTTGTTTTAGACCCAGAGTCTGCACCATGGATTCGCAGACCAACCAAGGATTTTAACCCTTGCTCTAACTCTGGTTTTCAGTATCTCGCTTTTATAAGGGGGAGGGTTGTAATTTATGATACGAATGTGTCTCTCAACAAGTGGAATAAGGACTAAGAAGGTATCGCCATTATATAAACGATACTCTACTCGCTGTACACCATTATACACATCAAACGATCACTCATCATTCGCGTGATCGCACGAAGTAAACGTCCCTGTCTGCTTTCATGTGTTTGCATTTAATGGCGCCCATGAGTAACATGGGAAAATAAGACTCTTTGTTAAACCAGAACGACTGATCTTCGCAGTGGTCTCCAAGCAAGTGCTGCAACTCCGCTCCCCCCCCCATTTCACACGTTTCGAGAAAGAGAGATGGAGTAGAGAAAACGTCGGAGACATCCTCCCCGCTTTTTTAAAACTATCCAAATTAATAATTTAATAGTTTACAAATTTCTAGAGAAGATAAAGCCAAATTCCACTTGTACATTTAAACATCAGTCGTTGTTTAAACGAAGTAAAGAAAGACGAAGAAAATACATTATATCTCGTTAAACGAATCGTATCCCCAGGATGTTCGATTAATGCTCCGCGGGTAAAAACGTTTATTTGCTGGAATAGTGACTCTAATCCTTCTTTCTTTCCCCTTAATTATACCGTTACGTGTAATCGCTCTTCTTAATTAGCAGCGTTCTTTTTCCAACCTTTCGTATCCACGATAAATCTCCCATCCTATCCCTTGGATCTTTTCCCCGACGATCAGGGATACATGCATTACGGTTGATTAGTTGATGAATGAACAAAGCCCATAAAAGAGTTAGATCGCATCGTTCGAAAATTCTAAGCTGGATCTCGTCACTCAACAAAAGTAGACTCGTTTGCTTCTCATGAAAATAATTAAAAAAACAATGTTTCTGTCGATAGGAATGTTGATTGATTCGTTCGATGTTTTGGTCTTTGTAAAAATCCTTTTTAGAAAATATTAAAATTTTTAGTACCCTTCAATTTTTATAAAAACAAATTTTTTTTAATATTTCAGAGAGTTCTTGGTCACTACTGTTCGGTCACAATTGCTTAGCGGAGTATGTATCCATAATGAACGCTTTCGTCGCTTATCGTGCAATGGCGGTAGTGGATTTACGACCGTATGTTACGTTTTTCATCAATGTTCACAATACCGGCCTGTTATACGAGACCGCTATCAGATCGGACCGTTAGTAAACTCAATAATCACCAGCACCGTCTTGTATAGCATATTGTGCTTCTTATTACACGCCTGGCAGACTCACGTGAATAAAAATCATTAATGAAACCGACACTGACCTGATTATATGTAATTTACAACTGCCGCGTAAGTACGTATATCGGCAATGAACTATTATGTAATTCGTGCAACTGCTAATTCCGCATTCAAAGGAATCTTTTGCATAAATGAATCCTCTTTATGAGTCATATCTAGCTTATAAATAAATTTTTATTCTAAGTGAATTTAAATATCGAACAAAAATTACGTTTCTTTAAAAATTAAGTCTTTAATCTTAAAGTTCATGGTAATTTTAAATGGAAATAAAATTGTTTAAACTTTTTAGGGTTGCGTCCAAGCGTACAAGAGCCGCCAAGGAAATTCAGGAATGTAAAAATAGTCCTAATATTTATGAGCGTCAGTGTACGTGAAAAAAGGTAATTGAAAATTTCTTCTCGAGTATGGCAGTTCAATGATAGTGTTCATCCCGTGGCAACGTTTCAGGCGACAACCAGAGCGCCAGAAGTATTGTCTCTCGGTATAGCTACGGCTGGGATTAGAGCAGACACGACGAGATAAAATCCGCTCGTGTTTCCTGCAGCTACAGATCAAGGAGGAGGAAAAAGCATCCACAGTATTGTTACTTGGTGCGATCGATGGAACTGCTAGGTGGCATCTAATGAGAAGGAGCGGACAATGAGCTTTTCTGACTTAAGTGCTCTAGGGTGAATACCGGAAGGGTTCTTCTATCACCCTTCTTATTTTATTCACTTATTCTCATGTCTACTTCACGAATCAGACGAGTTACCTAACAAGAAGACAACTCTGCGGTGAATGGCTACGAGATATTCGAGAAATTTAAAAACACGAATTTGGGATATCAAATGACTTTATTGTTCAAACTGACGGATAATTTAATTCGTCGAAGGAAGATTAAAAATAGAGAAATTTAAAGGACAACTTTGCATTTGAAAGTTTCGTTTTAATAATGCGTGTTAACTATACGAAAACGCATAAAACGTCGCATTAAAAAGTCCTAAATGTGATATGAAGGGTTCCAGTCATTTGTTTCTAAATTTTGTATCTAAACATTCCTTTCTGCATAACAGAATATTACCAAATAGCGCCACAGTAGCAAATACACCGCCATCTATTGTATACGCGAGTAGTTGAACACACTATGTTTAGTACTAAAATGTTACTAGGAAGTCAATTACGATTTAGTGTTAACAATGTTGCTATTTTTCACATCATGACATCATTTTTAAAGTAATTCAATATTTTATAACACTTAATTGCATAAAAATAGTCGAAAAAACTATCATGTCAGTTTACGGCTACATGAAAACGTGCTTTAAGCATCTGAACAAACTCATGCTCGCAGTCAGTGGATACGCGGCTTGCGATTGGCCCGTTTGTACATTGCAAGGAGAGGTTAGTTAACCTAAATTGAGCTTTCAAAGTTCCATAACATTTAAATTATTAATACTGTGAGCTATAAAGCGTATTTTATTCGTAGAATTAAAAAACAGCAAGATTAACTTTTTCAAATATACAATTAAAATTACTTTTCAGATAATTCACAATGAAGTTTACGCAATTGTTGCAAAAACAACATTTGGGTAGAGCGGCACGTCTGCTCTGGCAACAACAACGAGAGAGACCTGTAAAGATAACCAAAGCAGAAGAAATTTTAACATCAATGGGGATCCCTGTACAAGATGCCTTAGAAGTGGTGAAGCCACCAAAACTATTTACCAAGTAACGCTTTTAATCTTACACAGTTTAGCATACAAGTTGTTCCAGATTTAATTATGTATTGACAAAGTTTTGCTACCTTAAAAGTGGACCATTCCCCCTGCATAGGATAAACCATCTTTAGTGATATGAACAAAAGAATTATAAAAGAAATATTCGCTTCTCTTTCACCTACAATCTATGTCTTTTTCTGTCTAAAAATAATATAGGTAAATTTGTTTATGCTTATATTAGATTTGAACACTTAAGTGTACCTGGTATAGACCCAGATTGGAAGGAAAGAACTTGCTTGACATATAAAGAATGTAATCTCTTACAAGAAGGTGTATCACAAGCATGTTTATTAACAAAAACGTTAAAAGTTGATGATGAAATTCCAGAAAAAATCAAATCTTTAATCACTGATATCCCAGAACATACAGATAACTTATTAAAAAGGTATATTAATACTTACATGACTATTGTATATACAATAATGGGGCATAATGGAGATAGCTTATTTAAATTTAAGCAAACAAATTTTATTAAATCAAAGCAGTCCAACCTTGCTGGTTGTATCGATCTGCAAATCAGTTTTTTTTGTTTAGTTATTTGTTTATTGTTTTAGAATTATTTATACAACATATATATATGATGCACATCAAGAAAAGTTACCTAAATTAAAAGACCCTAATAGACCTAGTTGGGTGTTTCCTAGATCGTATGGCATACCAAGCACAAGGAAAATGTAAGTGTTAATTACAGAATCATGCTCGTTTTATATTACTTAAAAATTACATTTTCATTTTTAACTCAGGAACTTATATACTGTAGGCATAATATAACGAGAAAATTTCTACAACTCTGTGAATCATTATGTGGATTAAGTATTGCGAAAAATCGAGCAGTATTACGAGATGAAATTTTATCTGTATGCATAGGTATATATTAGAAAATATATTTTAAAGCATATGTCTAATTGCATTCGGTATTGTATATTAACAAAAATAGAATTTTCGTAAATTGTAGAAAAGGAACTGGATCTTTTACAATTTTCCTTAAAAATGGATATAATAATGACATCTTCGATGCCTTTAACACCAATAGCAAATCCAAATGCAAATAATGAATTTGACTTGCCAGATATTTTCCCATTACATTATACTATTGGTTTATCCAAATCAAATATTTACAAAACTGAGGACATATTTCGTAAGTTTGTTTGCAACATAATACATGATATACGGTTTCCATTGTTATATGTATTATATTGTATTTTGTAGCAATTAAGATGACATCTGCATTGATGAACATTCACACTATCTTTATAAATCATAATCCAGAAGAAGTAAAAAATTTAACAGAATTGCCGACCACCGAAAATCAAATCCATGCACGTTCCTTGATGGAATCATTTACTGCAGCAGCATGTTTTGCTCGGCAAAAATTCGGAACAAATGCGAAACAGTTGTCAGAACCGGTTGTTATACAGTGTGTTCAATCAGACGGACAAAATTTTCATTTCTCCGTGTATCAACTCAACACATTAGACATCGATGGTACGGATGGAGTAAAAAATTTTTGGTGGTCAACGCCAACAATAAAATTATATGAGAAAGCCGAATATGAAAATGGCAGACCATGTCTTACAGGCTATAACGATGAAGTGTTTAAAAGGTTTTTTGCATTTTATAAAAATAAGTGAATGGAAAGAAAGTTATTATTAATAAACAATAATTAGTAAATAAACAGTTATTCAATTTTTTTATCGAATGTAAAAATAAAGTTGTAATTATAAAGTACGCGAGGTAAGTCAGGGGTGACGTAATTGGCGATTCACGGCCAGTTCTAGTTCCTTCCTCTACTTATATGTTCTACGCAAGCGCGAAACTACCCCCCCACTATGCCTACTCTGCAGAGTTGGGACTTGAAGGATGAAGAGGGCTCACTCGCTCGCGGACTGGACACCTAACCACACGTAACCAAAGGCGCTAGTAAGAACGTAATGGTGGGGGAATCAACTGGATACTGGGACTACTGCGGCTTCCGGGACTTCCGGTGGAAAAGAAGTTCGTTACCCCAAAGTTAAGTAATAGCTAATATATTTTCAAAGAGTGTGGTGACTTGAATATTTGTGTTTATTTCTTTCTGTTTCGTTTGATTCCGTTGATTAGCCGACGGTTTTATTAAATCTTTCAATGAAGTATAAGGTTTGACATAAAAATATAAATGACATAATGCCTGAAATAAAAAATCATTTAGTTACACAGTAATTTTAGACATTGCATTTATTGTATTACTTACTTCACTAGCTGTTAAACGTTTTGATGAGTTATAAATAAGAATTTTACTAATAAGGTCGACTGCTTCAGGTTCTGCATCATCAACGACATTTTCCCATGTGACTCCTTTATGATATGGAAATGTGATTTTATTAAAATCAGGCAGTGTACTTAGCTCTGGCCATGTTTCTGATGTAGGAGATCCCAGATATTTTAGTACTATTGCCAGTTGTTCGATATCTGTTTCACCCTGTAAGAAGAATAGTATTTTTTAGGCAATTTACTATAGAAAAACTAGATTTTAGTCTTAATCCTTGTGTCTTACCGGAAATAATGGTGATTTGTTAAGCAGTTCACCAAAAATACAACCAATAGACCACATATCGATTGCTTCTGTATAATATTTTGCTCCGTACAATAATTCGGGTGCTCTGTACCATCTGGTAGCAATTTGATGCGAATATGGTTTTGTCGTGTCTTTCCACATTAATCTTCCCAAACCGAAATCAGCAATCTTCAAAATACCTTTCTCGCTTATTAGTAAATTGGCAGGTTTCAAATCCTGAACAGAATGTTACTTTTTTAATAGAAAAATGAAAAAATAAAAACAACTAAATATTATTGAAAATTGTATACCCTGTGTATTATATTTTGTTTATGTATATACGCAACACCCTCTAAAATCATTTTTGTATATGTTTTCACTTGTACAGTTGTCAATGATATTTCATTGTCTTTTATTATTTCCCACAAACTTATTGGCATATATTCAAAGACAACTATAAAATCTAACCCAACGGCAAAGGCGTCCAGTAATTTTACAACCTGTAGTAAAGTAATTCCTTTATGTAAATAGATTTGTATAAACTAAGAACGATTAAATAATTATAAAACAATTAATTACATACATTACGATGTTTTAATTGCTGTAAAATTTTTATCTCGCGCATAATAGATATGGATATACCATTTTCAATATTTTTTAATAGTAATTTCTTCAATGCTACATTCTTTTCTGTTACTATGTCCTGTGCTTTCAAAACTATACCCTGTGCTCCTTCGCCAATTTTTTCAATGACTACATATCTATCCATATTTATTGTTAAAAATTTGTTATTCTTTGGTGTATGGTAACTTTTGGTGATAGGACTGTTTCCATGGTTACGTCCAACCTAACTTAACCTATGGTCTAACCTAACCTAATGGTTTCATTGTGTAGCAATAGAAGTTCTTTAAAACTTTGATGGTTGTTGTCGCGCGTGAAATGTTTAATTCTCATAAATTCATAATTCAGACATGCAATAAAGAGCATAAAGTGTGGCCATCAAAGTGTTAACGTTGTTCTTTCGCCATGCATGTGTAAGAAATGTTGTAGAAATTAGTAATAATAATAAATATTATTAGTTGAAAGTATCCTCTATATTTACAACAATAAATATTTATAATAATGAGTGACAGAAGACAGAAAGATATTTATAAGAAGAAGTGGTATTTAAATAAAAAGAAACCAACAAATCATAGTAAGAAATATTAATTTATTTTATTGTATGCATGATGTGCAAATTTACCTGATATTGTATATGATTTAAATTTACATTTCGCAGACAATAGGAATAAAAACGATCAAGATAATAAAAAAGTACATCGATCGGTAGATAATATAGAGATAAATAATGTATTAAATATATATGATACTTACGTTAATTTTGATATTCCTTATTATGGATGGAAATTATTTTTTTCCGACGAAGGTACAACAAATTTGTATCAATAATCAATATGAAGTATCACTAAATATGAAATAAAAGTGATTATGACAATATTGACAAACTAACTTCTTTTATTCTTTAGAATATGATAGCGATTGTGACACTGTCAAAAAAATTCAATCAATAGAAGGCTTTATAAATAGGCATCCTCGCTTGTTATCTTTGCTTTCGTTAGACAATTTAGAAAATGGAACAGTTTTTGTAATTGATATCTATGAGACAGAGAGTGACACAATTTTCTCGAACGAATGGTGTGATTTTAAAAAGAACATATATGAGAATCCGTTACACACATTGAATTGTATTAAGCTCGCCATACACCAGGTATTTTATATTAGTGATGGTTTTCAAGCGTATGTTACATATTTATTTAATCAACATGATGTTTGAAACTTTCAGAAAATAATAAATTCAATATCGAAAGAGAATTTAAAAGGTTCTATGAATGTTCTAAGTACAATATCGATTATTAGATTAAAAATATTAAATTATCAACCAATCGTATGTTTGCAAGACTTGAAAGCAAATTCTTATGGTATGTGTTTATAATTTCCTCAATACTCATACACTTCTTTAATCAAATATTGAAATTTTCTGAACAGGGAAATTAGTGTCTGTTAAAGGCTGTGTAATAAGAGTAGGTCGTACAAAACATATCGCAGACTGGATTGTATTCACTTGTCGCAAATGTAACTTACAAAAAATAACTAAACAACCACAAGGAGTTTATACAATCCCAAGAAAGTGTAATATGTGTGGTATATCTAAATTTCGTCCTGTGTTAGATTCTCCACACGTGAAAAGTGTTTCCTTTCAAATGATTAAGATACAAGAACTTCTAAACGATGAACAGGTATTCATTTTTCATGAGTAGAACATTTCTATATGTGTAACAGGTATTCTATATGAGTTTTCTAAATTTGTTGCCTTCAAACTTCGTATAATTATGTCAGAATTAATACCATTCATTTTTTATACCGTAGAATAATAAAGGCAGTATGCCTAGAGTGCTTGATGTTGAATTAATAGATGATTTAGTTAATACTTGTATGCCTGGGGATGATATTACTTTAACTGGAATTATAAAGGTAATTCGTATGTGTAGGGAGTTGTAAAAGTAAAATTTGAATATTTACAATTCAAACTTTGAATGACTTTCCATTTTAATTATTTATACATAAATAATTGTTGAATATATAGGGGAGTAACAACACTAAAACACGTAATAAAGTTTCATTTTCTTTGTATTTGGAAGCTATTACAATAATCAATAATAAACAGAGATTTCAAAGTAAAAACATTGTGGACAATGAAATGTCAATAAAGGATTATTTAGCAATAAAGGTATAAAAAGTATTGACACATTTCCTATTATAATGTAAAGAGTTCTGTTATTATTTAATATTTATATTTCTCTTGAACTATATAATAGGAAGTGTATAGTAAACCAAATATTTTTCCACTATTGGTACATTCACTTTGTCCAAGTATATACGGCAATGAAATGATCAAAGCTGGACTGATATTAAGTTTGTTTGGTGGAAATACAGAAAATTTAGAGTTAAGAGATAATATACATACATTAATAGTCGGTGACCCTGGTCTTGGAAAGTCACAAATGTTACAAGCATGTGCTAGAATCGCTGCAAAAGGTATAAATACTTAACTGGAATCTTATTTTTTCCTTTTTACATGCATTTTTAAATATTTGACACCAATATTGATTAAAGGTGTATATGTATGTGGAAATTCAAGCACATCTTCTGGACTGACAATAACACTTACAAAAGAAAACAAAACTAATAACTTTGCATTAGAACCAGGTGCATTAGTTTTAGCAGATAGAGGCTGCTGTTGTATAGATGAATTTGATAAAATGTCGAAACAACATACGGTAAAGCTATTAACTTAAATATATAATGTTTAACATTTAATATCTTTGAAATTGAACAAGTATAGTTAACCAAATTATTTACCTCGTTAAACTGTAATAAAAAAATACATCTGCTTTAATCATAGGCTTTACTAGAATCTATGGAACAGCAAAGTGTAAGTGTAGCTAAATCAGGAATAATTTGTTCCCTTCCCACGAGAACTTCAATTCTAGCAGCTGCTAATCCAATTAGTGGTCGATTCAATAGAAGTAAAACAGTAATGCAGAATCTGAAAATGAGTGCACCTCTCTTATCACGTTTTGATTTAATATTTTTATTATTAGATGAGCCAAATAAGGTGCATATTTATTAATATATTATTTTAATAATATATTAACACCACAATAACTTTATATATTTAATTTGTAATAGCACATAGATGATTTGTTATGCAAACATGTTATGTCGGTTCATACTGGTTTGAATGCAATTAGTAAAACACAAACAAGTGCATCTCAATGTACAGATGTATCAAATGTAATTATATCATCATTAAGGTAACTACTAAGTATTAATTTTATTAAAATAAGGACAGTTGCTTTTAAATTTGCTTTTAAAATATAATTAAATTTGTAGGGACAAACTTACAGCTTCTGTAAATGAAAATATTAATGTCATTCCACAATCAGTTCTTCGAAAATACATTTCATACGCGCGACAATATGTAAAACCAAAGTTAACTAAAGAAGCAGCTGCGGCGTTACAAAATTATTATTTAGAACTTCGCAGTAGAAATGATAAACTCGATGGTTTATCTGTTTATAATAGACAATTAGAAGCCATGATAAGATTAACTGAGGTCTTGGTTTTAATACATTCGTATATTTCAAATATAAATTCTATTATTTGAAATTAATACTAGTGTATATTATTCAGGCTAGAGCAAAGTTGGAGTTACGTACAGAAGCAACTGAAACAGATGCTTTAAATATAATAGAAATCTTCCAATATGCATTTGATAATAACGTTATTAGTAGACAATCGCAAAACACAAAAGTAACTGATAGAAAAGTAAGTTATGTAATTCTATACGTATCTATAATGATAGAGGATGGTCAGAATATTAATGTACAATTTTCTTTCAAAGGTAAAAGAATTTATACAATTACTGAGGAAAGAAACAGTCGTTGATACCAAAAAAACATTCTCTACAAAAAGATTGCGTGAAATTGCATTGGATGGAAAAATTGTGGTGCAAGATATTTCACAGTTAATTTCAAAATTAAATGACAATGGTATTTTATTAAAAACTGGAAGTAATACTTTCAAATTTATTCCTGATTAACGAAGTTCAATCAAACATAATTAATTTTAGAATATTATAATACATGTTAATTTAATTTTCTATACTTATCAAATATAATTTATTAAAATAGTCTACTCCCATAGATTGTTTCATGATAATTTTATATTCTATATTATTATTCAATACAGTTGTGCTTTATGACAATCTTTATAAGACTATTTTATATTTTTTATAATGTTATACAAATGTAAATTTTTATAGAAATTGTTACTTGTTTGTTTTTATACTTCGAAACAATCTGCTTTGCATGGTAAACGCCAATATAAATACAAGCAACATTTTGGTCCTGGTACATGAAAACAACCAGGTCTGCAGCAAGGTTGTTTGGGAATATAAAATTTTGGTGGTGGAACAGGCGGAGGAGGTATAGTGACCTTGCAGAATCTGTTTAACAAAATCATATTGTAATATATTCCGATTCATTATTAGAACACGTCTATTATGTAAGTTCGTTACAATGATTGTTTTTAAAACTGTTACATGAAAATGTAAATTAGCTATAATTAGTGCCGAGCGGACAAAGCAGTAAAAATTTACTCTAGTACGAAGACAATCCTAGAAAAATGTCGTCCATTTAATAGGACGTGTCGTGACTCTGCTTAGGCATCTTGCTGTACATGCAGGTGGACAATATGGTACACATTTTGGCGGACATGGTCCGCACGGCACCGGTGGTGTACATATTGTAATTTTACATGGTGGCGGGCAAGCCATGCAAGGTGATGGACAACATGAATAAGGTACACACGATGGAGATGATGGTAAACAGCATGGAGTTGTAGGTGATGAACAACAAAGTGTTTTGGGACAGCATAAAGGACTTCTTCCACACGACATTATAAGTTTTTTCCGTTTTTTATTTATATATTTTATTTTATATCATTGAAATTAAACTTACAATTTTGATAACTATTTGCGAATGAATGATAAACAATTGAAATTTAAATAAACTTATTCATTTATTATATATGCGTGTATATACACATATATTCAGGCCATGTCATTATTTTTTTGGAATCGTTAGTTTTATGATTTAGTAATTTAATTGGGTGTAATATATACAAAAAAAAAATAAATAGGATGAATGCATAAGAAAATGCAAACACCATAATTTACATAAAAATTAAATAAAATCTAAATTTTTGTATATAAATTTTGTCATTTTAATTATTCACAAAAATGCCGTGCGATGGGAAAAATGTGAATTGTGAGAAAAGACGAGAATTACTGGCACAGCTAAAATGCTTAATTAGTTCTATGGATAGAAAGTAAGAATATATTTTTATCAAAGTAATTTAAACAATTTTACAAATTTTCTATTGTAGAAAACCATGCGAATGGGATGAACCGTTTTGTCCACCTCCTGTTGTTTGTCCAGTTTCACCTTGCAGTAATGATCTCCCCTGTTGCGTGAGTTTAAATTGATTATAATAGATCATAAACGAGCATTATTTAATAGCTTGATACGGTTGTAATAATTCAATAACTTATTAAAAGCTAATCTGATTTTTTCTTATTTAATAGTTTAAAAATGAAAACTGCTTATTAAAGGAGAGGGAATTTCCAATGTTAATATTTAGATATATTAAATAAATTTCAGAATCCAGTCAAACGTTGTAAAAGTTTCGATTTTCGGGCAAGTATTATATATAGATGCGAGTGTATCAAAAGAAATGGTTTACAAGATAGATGCATGATGTGGGACTGCATGGGTAGACCAGAGTGCATGACAAAGTTGTACCCTGTTTGTAATCCAGGCCAATATGCTTTATTGAAGTTAACTGACTTGGGAGATGTAGAAGTTGCATTGAGAAAATTTTACTGTGCCGATCAAGCAAGAGAATCTGCTTTAGCAGCATATTGTAGATTATCTTGTAATAATGCTAAACAGTCTTGCTGTCCAACTACACAAAAATCACCATGTCCTCCATGTCCTCCATGTCCTATCCCTTGTTGCATACCATCATCATCAGTGCCACCTTGCATTTCTTACAATCTTTGTGTACCTTGTCCACCACCTTGTCCACCGCCTTGTTCACCATGTTGTCCACCACCATGTCCACCACCTTGTCCGCCACCTTGTCCACCACCTTGTTCACCGTGTTGTCCACCACCATGCCCACCACCTTGTCCACCATGTTGTTTACCTCCATGCCCACCACCTTGTCCACCACCTTGTTCACCATGCTGTCCACCACCCTGTTCACCATGTTGTCCACCACCATGCCCACCACCATGCCCACCACCTTGTCCACCATGTTGTCCACCACCTTGTCTACCATGTTGTTTACCTCCATGCCCACCACCTTGCCCACCATGTTGTTTACCTCCATGTCCACCACCATGCCCACCACCATGCCCACCACCATGCCCACCATGTTTACCATGCATACCTTATTGTTCTCCATGTCCACCACCTTATGTTGTTTGTAACCCACCTTCATGTGCTATTCCTTGTACACCTTGTTAATTTTTTGTATCTTATCTGTCATCTATCCTTTTATTAAATATTATGAATGTCTTTAATATTTCAATACACCCTCATTTATCAAAATTACACAATTTTTATATACAACCCTATGTTATAAAAATCAAAATGAAACCTCTTTGACAAATTCTTTAAAATCTGTTATACATACTTTGTATCATTTACACCCAATCTTTGCAAATTTGTTATTTAAGAATACATGCATGTAACTGATGTATATTATTTCACTTGGTAAAAAATATAATCTTCAGAGAACAAGCATATTTTTATATTTCATATTTAAAATTGCATGTAAACGCGAATCAAGGTGGGGGGGCCGATTAAAAGCCCCCACCCTGATTAATATCTGTTCATTTTATATCAATAAAAGTATACTACAACTTTTCTGTAAGTACTTTTATTTTTATTTGATCTGACAGCATCTGTACATGTAGTTTATTTAACATACTGATTAATATGTAATACTATTTGAACTTTATTGCATTGGGTATTGTTTTGGGTACCGACATCGCAAATATTTTGCGGGTGGGCAGACAGGCCATGGTTTAAAAAGACATTCGGGCTGTCCTTGACATTGAGTCAATGGACAAGTATCCTGAAGACCATCTCTATGCACGCAGTAGCATCTTGTATATAAGTATCCATTTCTCATTTCAGGAAATTTTAAATCAGGCGACTAAAATCATAGTGTATGTATGTTTTATATGCATAAAATATGTTATTGTTTTTAAGAGACAATAGTTTTTGATAAAGCGTATTTGTTTTATTATATACAGAGTGAAACATTTCAATTATTTAATAACTGCTCAAGCTATTTAAGTTTGATTGAAATGTCTCACTCTGTCTGTATCTTAATTTTATTAACATTACCAAATTATGGCAATTGTCCTTTCCATTAAATTTTGTATCAGTTATTGATATACCTTCCTTTCTACTTTGGATGTCTTTCACAGATACATTCGTTTTACACGTAGTTTTTGACTTCTTTTTTGATATTGCAACATCTTTTTCTTCTATGGGAATCATCATAAACATTGGTGGAAGTGTCTTTTTTTGTTTCGCTTGCTGCGTGCGTTTTAATATATCCATTTGATGGTAACTATTATGTATATAATAATTAATAATGTAAAGCTACAAATATAATAAGTATTATAATTATTCTACTAACCATTCTAATGCAGTTACTGCTGCTTTTAATCCACAAATTAGGTCTGCTGGGTTAGTTATTTGCGTCGTAGACATTTTGATTTTTTAATATTTTTATGTACTACAATAATTTTGTTATTTTTTTATACTTGTTAATTTATCATTATGTAAAAAGATATTAATTTAGATTAGAATTTCCGAAAACATTGTGAGAGACATTTTTGATTTAGAATATTTTCTTTTATTTTCTACAGTTTTTTGTTTTCATTGGTAAATCTTACAACTAGGAAACATACGATGCAAATTTACAGGGTGAAAATTAACAAAATTATTTTGAATAAAGTATAAAGTTTTATTAAATTACACAATAACGAAATAATCTGAGATTAAGAAAAGAAAAAAAAACAGCAAAGGGTTCACATTTAATTGAAATTTAATTTCCTGAAATATATACCCATTATCTACGTGCAATTTAACAACACTAACATTTATATACAAGTTAATAAATAATTCATGCTGTATAAGCTTCTTTTCATCTAAATCTTTTTAATACTGTCAATACAGTATTATAAAGAAGTGTTTTAGCATCTCTACCCCACAGATAATCAATGTGATTAAATTTCACATTTTCTATTTTCCGTGTTTCAATTACATTTGGCAGTCTTTCGACAAGTTTCTTGACGTCTGCAGGATCAGTCATGAAATCATTTTCGCTATAAAATATTACAATTGGTGTTTTTATTCTTTCCAGATCATATGTCGGCGGTTGCGTTGATCCGTATATTTTTAGGTTTTTAGGCACTCCATAATCAAATTTACGAAATGATCCTGTTAAAAAAAAAAGAAAAAAAAAAAGAAACACACACATATGAATGATAAACAGTTAGAATAATATGATAATAGTTGTTATTTAAAGCGTTAATTATGTTTTATTTATAAATACGAGTTGTATTTACAAAATATGAATTATTATTATGACTTTAGCTATAAGGTAGAGCCCGTTTTTAATTTAACAAAGTTTGTAATCATCCTCCTTATGCCCCTCGCCCGCCCTCTTGTCGCTAGCTTAACACATTACCGACCGATAGCCTATTGATCGACTTTTTTACCGGCCGATAGCGTATTAATCAACTTTTTTACCGACCGATAGCTGATTAATCAACCGCTACCGGTCGGTAAAGTGTTAAGTTTCGACACCTAATCTTAGCAAATGAGGATAGAGTAATTTTTGTTGTACGTTTATAAAAATAGTACCAATGGACTACCGAAATTGTTTCGATTGAAATGAGTCCAAACACGATGTAAATCGGATTAGTGTAGTACATACAAATTAACTTAACGTAGATACATAACTTGGTGGACAAAATTGGAAATTTCGATTGGCATGGCAGAAATGTGAAGAGAAACGATACTCGGAAGCACTTAGCGTGGAATTGAAATCAAAGAAAGTTGTTTGAAGGGGGGAGGGCCAAAGGGGTGGCACGAAAATGGAAAAAGCATGGAATGGAAGGAAGAGAAGATAGCTTATGGAAAAGATTAGAAGTGTTAGATACACAGAAGAATTATACGTAGAACCGAGAAGCTGTTATACGTGGATTTGCCTGCGTTGAATTCTCTTATACATATACATATAAGCAAAACAAAATATGTAAATAAAACTAAGTTGTGCCTGTTTGTCGAAAATTTTTAAATTTAATTTCTAATATATTTATGTTATAAATACATTTGAAGAATATGTTTTAGTAAATGGACAGACACAACTAAATTTTATTTATAATTGTTTAGTACTTACCCACGTTGAGTATAGATGCGATGATAAATAGCCTATCCTGTTCTCGAATACATACGAAACAGAATAGTGGTACTTTAATCAAAGTTTGTTTAGTAAATTTTGAGTTACCTCAGAACGAACAAACAAAGACATAAGCAGACAAAAATTTTAAGAACGTATAATTCGAATACCATGTAAATTATGCATTTAATTAATGGCTCTAGATAATTGCTTCAAGAATCGTAATTAGATATTACAACTGTTTTCCAATACAACATTTTTGTATTAATAGAAGAAGAATAAGAGTGGGAGTGGCTAAAATTAGAAAAGTTAGGTACAGTAGAGTATTTAAGACCATTAAAATCCTAGAATCATTGAGACACCTAAATGAGAAGGGAGACGAGGGGAGAGAAAGAAACTGGAGGATGCTGGAAAGATGAAGATATAAAAATAGATTGAGTTAAAAGAATTGTATGAGTATAATTTTTAGAGAGAAATAATAAAGTTTTCTATAGTTACCTGACAGTATGCTTTGACTGTAATGAATAATTTGCTTGGCAGATGCACCAGCTGGAAAATGTCCCAGAATTAATGGCAGCATGGATTTGTCTAGTTGATCGCTACCAAATCCGGCGATTAAGTAAAACCAACAAATGCAAAAACCTTTGGTGAGACTGCCCGGAGCATTTCGAATTAATGTTCCCAATGCTCGTGCTTGCAACATATTCCGTGGGAACCACTGGTGTAGATTGCAATAAGACGATCCCCACTGGAACATACTTATTATACATATGTAAATTAAACATATAAACGGACCCTTGATCAGAGGTGGATTCAAAACATCTGAAAAGCATAATACAGCAATGCTTGAATAATTACCCGTCATTCTCGATTAGATAAATGACCGGTAATCGTATCCTCGCTACTGGGGGATTCCCCTTGACATGCCGCAAAGCTCGACATCAAGCGGACCGCGTAACTTGATCCGCTTAAATATCGATAAGACAAACACATAGGCACATTGTGCATTATCTACCCTTTATTCACTGTCTTTTTCTATGTTAACCAAGATATAAAGCCGAATAGCTCAGCTTATACTTTTCAGAAAACTATTCCTTTCAAATCATTTGTGTCTGGGTTGGATCTTCTTCCAAAAGAAGCTCCAATTCCTATCAACGTTTTAACAATATCAATGTTTAATGCTGCTTTCTTATAAAGAAGAATTGGAATTCTCTTTAAAACTCTTTTTAAAAGGAATACCTATCTATAACTCTGAAAGTTAATTTAATTTTACCACCTCTGATCAACATTAAAGACTATTGTAGATATTTATAGACACACCTCCATTAAACCATAAAAGTGTACAATGAATTTGAGCAAAGGACTTCTCTGGTTTGAGAGGAATGCAATAGGTGCCAGACTAATCATTCCCTTGATCTTCCAGTTATATTCAGGTTTTTCACTGGCCATTACATAGAATGCAGTTGTACCTTGACTGTAACCCACATAGTAGAGCTTAGTATATCCGGTTTGCTCTAGAATGTAATCTATTGTAGCTGGTAAATCATAATAACCAACTTCATGCCAGCTAAAATATCAGTAGATTTGTTCAGTCACGGGATTACAAACCCTCAATCGGCCCGGTTTAATTCATGGATAAAAACTAATTAAATATAAGTAAGATAATGTTAAACAACGTTAGAATTTTATTACGTTTTAGAAAATATATAAGTCCGATTCGTTACTATTGTTTGGATTCTCGGACGTAATAACATTCTGGGCTATCTTAAGTATATTTAATTGTTTTATTCTTCTTTTATTTATCCGCATTATACACTGTTTGATTGTTGCCAGTTTAAAATTAAAATTACCTGAAATCCCAAAATTCTTTGTCTCTGGTCGTATAATGTTTATGCTTTCTAGAATATGCATTACCTCTTGCGTTTCCCAACCAAACGTCATAATTGTTATTACATAAAACATACGCTAAAGCTTTCTTTGGTCCTAATAGTACCCAATCGGCTGAACTTGATAACAGTCCATGGTGGATAAGAATCGGTACTCTAGACTTTGTATTTTGTGGAAATTTGTAATCTGCATACTGAATATCAAATATTTATTTTACTCTATCTTTATATCAATCTTGCTTTACCATAATTTAATTTAATTTGAATGCTTTAATCGTTATACAAAAAACAGATTTATCCTTTTCGATACAAGGTCATCATTGCAGTGATTTTCTGATGATAGACTGGCTGAGATACTATGCCACTATAGTGGTCTTTCATTAATTAACTCGCTTATCAAAATTAATTCTCTTTTCATAGAGAAAATTAGACCGTGCTACTTTCTTATCATTTAGGATTCTTACATTGTTCTCACTGGGATCACAGCCTAAATTTTCATCTGTTTTTGGAGGGAGTACTCGATGTACATCTAAACAATATCCATCTTCTGTCCAAATATGATGCGTTTCTGATATGTAACCGTGAGCCTCAATTAATTCTGGCTAAAAACAAAATAATTTTATTATTATTTATTTTAAATATTCATTTATTGTTTGAATACCATGAAAGTATATGAAGTAAATATACAGTACAATAATTGAAAGATACAAATAAATAATGAAGTAAAATAACTTATTTAAAATATTTAAAATAAGAGATTAATTATTTAGAATTCGTTTGAGAAAACTCAGAGTATTTATCATTATTATTAACGATTGTAATTGCCAAGAAAAATGATAAAACAAATGATTAATTTACCGTTGTCATATGAGTTTCATCCTGATTGGCTACGGTGCTCATTATACGAAAAGCTGACGTATAAAGCTGCTTCCCGTGATGGAGCAATATTGTCTACTTTCACCAAGAATCACTCCTGTTTGCTTTTAATACTGTCCTTTAACTGTGACGTTGATGTTTCTCGAGTATTATTCGAACTATGAATCGAAGATTTTTGAAACTTTCGACGTAGTACTCTACGACATCGAAAGATCGAGAAATATCGAAATGATTCGCGCGATTTAATTCTTCGAGATGTACTTTGGCACCAACGAATCGTCAAACACTCGTGAAACACAGCGCTACATTACAACGCCGTAACTTAGAAATATCGACAGTATATCGATTGCTATCGATATTATTTCCTATCAAAAATTATCGATGTTTTTTTTAATGACTATCGATAGTTCTAATATTGTTGTTTTGTTCAAGATTTGTTAAAGTAGAAGAGTTACAGGTCACGCCAAATTTGACAAAATAACGATGATTCATACAAACATAAATACTATAAAGGTAAAGCCTATGGGTTTGTTTGTGTACACTAGAATTTCCACACTCTGAAAATATTCACAATATAAACGTTATATGCTTGTTTCCTTTGTTCAGAAGTAAACTCCAAACAGCTGATTACACGTATCCGTTTTTTGGTCACCTTGGAGTCAACATCGACTTTTATTGTCACTTGTTTTTACATGTGTGAAACCGTTATGGATCCCCACAGGTGGTGCAGGGTAAAAACACTAATTTTCATTATCCTTCAGTAATTCTTTATTACATTATTATATCAGTACTTTATTTTTACAAATTTGAGCCTATTAATATCGAGGTTATCTTAAAATCAAATAAATTATACAAATTAATATTAAGTTTTAATTTTTCTAGCGATATAATTTTGAATATCATTTAATATACCAATTTTATCTTTTATCTAACTCTTATTTAATATTGAGCAAGGAGATCTCTAATATCTTTACAAAGAGTTATAAAACCTGGTCTCTGATGGCTTTGCAAATGCCAACAGGGATACATAAGTTTTACATAAATTGCTTGCGGGCAGGTAGAAGGACAAGGAAGACGCGTGCCCCTTTCTAACGCGGCTAGTAATTCGGTGCTTCCTTTTTCTTGTTCGTTTTGAAGACGGTCTGTGCTCGATTCCAGTCCAGGCAGACGTGGTTCTTCTCCAAAGCCGAATGTTTCATACATCGTTACACCGAAAGACCATACATCTGATCTAGTGGAAAATTTCCCATCCCTAATACTTTCTGGTGCATACCTAAGAAAATTAAAGAAAAATCTATCGAATGTTCGTATTAAAACTTCACTTTATTATCAACATTTTTGATAATTTAATGTCAATGCAAATAGAATAACAAAAAATTTCATTTCATACTTAAAAGTTAATCTACAACTATCTAAAAGTCAGTATAATATTTGTCCCACTTGCCATTTTATGGGAAGGCCACGATCAGTCTGTAAAATATAATAATCATTTTTTCCAGTGACTTGGGCCAGCCCAAAGTCACTGATTTTCACTTTATTTTCATCCGCGACTAATATATTTCTTGCTGCAAGGTCTCTGTGAACAATATTCATACTACCCAAGTAATCCATGCCTGTTGCAATATCCAAAGCAAAACCCAGCAGTCTTTTATGCGTTAATTCGTGTTTGTGAATTGCTAAATAACTTTGCAATGAACCATGTTTAACATATTCCATTACTAAACAAACTTCGGGTTCTGATATCACTCCAAGAATTTCTACTACATTTGGATGTTTCAAGGTCTATAATCATATTAATTATTAAATAAAATTGAATTAGATTAAACAACGAATATTTCTCGGTGATCTAATTACCTTCATTATGGCAATTTCTCTTTCAAAGTCCCTTATATCTGCATCGAGCGCTCGTGTTTTCAATTTCTTGATAGCAACCTGTTGTGCTTCAATATCCTTTCCATTTTCTCTTTCAAGCGTACCCCTATAGACTTCTCCATAAAAACCTTGACCAATTCTACCTTGCAGAATTACATTACAATCAATGTCTAATTCGTATATGCCTCTCATTTGGCCTAAGGAACCATTACTTCCTCTAGAACCACAATCTTCTCCTGTTCCTGCTTCGTTCCTTCCGATTACCTATTTTTATATTTACTACATAAATTAAACAATTCATGTTATTATAAAATATTTATTTCATTACCTCGCTCAAATCGCCAGCATGCCCTAGTCGAAGAGCTTGAGCCGTGTGTTCGATATGATTCATATTAGGAATGTTATTTTGAGAAATCGGGTACCCTTCCGAATCTCGTCTAGCACTAGATAGCCAACCTAAATATGCAGACAGTTCTTCCGTGCTGCCTACGTAATTTTCATTGATGTTTATTAGACCTTGCATATCTAAAATAAAAATTCTATTTAAAGAGATCACTAAAACATAAAAAAGTTAAAGAATGATTGATCTTACTGTCATCGGTATCATTCCAGGGGAGACTTGTATTGTTAGTAATTAGACTACTAGATCTTGAGTCACTATTTATTGATCTGCTATCGATGCTATCGGAACTATCCTCGTCTAATTTCTTCAATTCCGAACTAAATAATTTAGGAAACGCTGTCGCGTAAGCGTGACTTCTGCGAGAGTTGTATACTTGATACAAAATTTGATTTATGTCTCTCATTATTGCTTGGGGTTGCTTTCTAGCCCCGCTCGTGTCTCCCCAACATTCAAGTATTAATCTATAGACTTCTGTAGGGCAACCATTCGGTATAGGTAAACGTTTTCCAGACTCGTAATATTTTTTCATAGTAACAGCATTTCGAAATTCTAATAACGTAGCTCCCCTGAAATGAAATAATATTAAATGTGTAAGTATATACATATATAAAAAGAAACAAGCAAATTTTTATATTTTAAGTGAATTTACCTGGCAAAGATTTGCCAAATTGTTGTTCCAACAGCCCAGACATCTGCTTGAAAACTATGTCTAGCAAGTTCTGGCTCGTTGTATGTTTCTGGGGGTAACCAGTGAATATCTGTTTCCGTGTATACAAATAATCCTGGATCAGCAAGTTTTACCACAAAACTGTTGTTAGTGTGCGCATGTACGAGGAGTTTATTGCACCTAATGTTACCATGAACTACACCATTTTCTTCCAGGTGCCAGAGAGCAGTAGCTAAACAAGCTGTTGCTTCTACCATATCTACAGTTTTTATTGTTTGAGACGAAGAGCTACGTAAATATTCATCGAGCGAACCATGTCGTACTAATTCCAAAATCATTCCGATCGATGGTGTTACGGTCAATCCATACAACCTAACGTGATAGAATAATCAATCATTATTATTCTCCAATATTAAAAATATTTTGTTGGAATGATTTTAAGAATATTTACCTTACAAGTGTACCAGAACGCAGCTGAGACCATTTCCCAGCGAGATCTAGAAATTCTTTTGTGTAATTCGTTTCTTCTTCTTGTTTTAAAATTTTAAGGGCAACTTCTAACTTTTTCCCTTTAGTCAGTCTCCAAATTCCTCGATGAAGGGTTGTAGGCGAATAATAACGAATTTCCGTAGTTCTTAGAAACGGTTTGTAGATCTCAAGCTGATTCTGAGGTACACAGCGTGGTCCGGTTTCTAAGACCGATGCAACGATCTCTTCATCAGCTGCTACTTCGCTCACTGCACTCTCAGGTGCACATAGTAACAGCGGTGATTTGTCTAAACAATAATTACATCATTAATATTGGTAATTTTGCTATTATCAATGTAAACACATTGTATGAACAGAAATGAAATTTAACTAAAAGAAATATGAATTAAAAAATGAATTATGAATTTTAAAAATGTAATTTACCGTATTCTGTAGGTGGTAAGCATTCTGTAAGATATGGTTCTCCTTCAGAATCTTGAAAAGATGCAACACACTGTGCCAATGAATTATAATGGTCGGAACTACCAGTAATGACGTAATCATCCGATGAAATTCTGTTTTCTATTCTTTTTGAAAATAATTTTCCCTCCTTGTTACACGCATCTAAGAAAAATACATTGTACTCCGTTTCACTTTCTCTGAGTAAATAAGAACCAGGTTTATTAGCACGTTTTTGCTGGAGTTTCGCGTATGAAAATTCTTGTCTGAAATACAATTTTTTATTTTATAATTTTATTATATTTCTTGTTCTTCAAAGATCTTATACAGATGAAATCTTACCCAACAGGACCATGACACTTTAATTTGTGCAGTCTTTCCAAAGTAGGAGTAACAATCTCACCACACAAATCAAATGTCCATTTAACTGCTAGGCGATAATAACCACCCAATGCCGACACGAAAGACATTAAGAGCGCATTTTTTGCAAACTTCAAATACGACGGTATACCATTTTTTCTTGATATCTCCACCGTGTTATCTTGTCTAAAACAAAATAGAAAATAGTATAATAATATAATAATTTCTTTGAGTATTTATTAATTCTTTAAATTTTAAACCTTATAGAGATAAAACATAAATCCTCAATTGCACACAACGAGGTCCAAGATGTAGCAATTGTTTCACAATATTTTACTTCATCTACATTTACTCTCAAAGCTACTTTTGTTGGTGAATTTTGTAAACCTCTGTCCATCAAAGCCTCGTATTCTTCATACGGATAATTCGGCGCCATGCATTCGAATTGCTTTAAATATTGTTCTTTGACATAGTTTGCATCGTATCCGGATATTTTACGGAGCGCGTTATGAATTGGTTTTTTAATAAAAAATGCATGGCGTTTTATACATTCCTTGGGAATGTACTTTCTGTATTCCGATTCTACCGTTTCTCTCGGTACCTTTTTCTCCAACATTACTCTGTGAAACAAATTTAAAAGGGGCGAGTTAATATTGCATAAAAATGAAATGGAGTTATAATTAAATTTAAAAAAAATGAGTTAGTAAATTTAAATTCAAGCTATACATTTAAAAAAAAAAACTGAATAACATTAAATATACCTTAGCAATTACTTGTAGTCAAATGAATAATAAAAAAAAGGTACAAATGAATTGTTAAATGAACATTATGAGTACCTATACATGTCAGTGACACCGAGCCCAATTAGCTCTTGTTTATGTCTCTCATAAACAATATCTGGAACTTTGTTATCCATAACATCAGCTCTTGCTTGTTGAAAATAATAATCATAGGCATTTCCATCGATCTGCTTTAATCTGCGTAAACTTGAAGGCTTAAATCTTAGTCTGAAGTCAAACTTATTTTTGTCTTTTGGTTCTAAACAATGTGCCACGGAATACCATAGTTTTGTATAATGATTTCTAAGAGCAAACAGATGCCTGGCCACTGGTCCTATTCCCAGAGATTTGCAAACCTGAAACATTAATTATTTGTTTATGTTTCACTCAAGTTAAATACACTTTAAAGAAAAGAAAACAAAAACAATTATATTCAAACAGAACATTGACATTTTATACTTTTAAGTTTATGATTAAGGTAGACTTAAATAACAATGCAGCTAATATCAAATCTAGATGACAATTCAAACAAATACAAATTATAGTTTATAGTTTATGTAATGATAAATGTTTATAGTTTTCTAAAGGCAGTTTATTTCATTTAGAAGTATCAGCAATAAATACGTTTAATTTAATATTAAAATAATAAAACATAAATAGAAAATAAATATATCTCCTGAAATTCCTCACCTTGATACAAAGATCATCGATCGTTTGTTTGTAATGAACCGAAAATGTCAATTCTTTTTCCTCGTTTGCCACATAAACAATCGCCAATCGATCATTGTCCATTTTTGACAGAATCACACGTTTTTCTTTTTACATACTGTTACTGTGATGATTTATCCACGGCATTTGTAGGTACACTGTTTATTTACATAAATCGAGTGCATACTGCATCGACGGTGGCGCTAATAACGACGAATTTCCTTAGCGCCTGACGGAGTGGTGGGGGAAGTCGACTCGACAATCGACGTACGCGCATCCAATCGAGTCATTCGACTCTCGTCGACGGTAGGAGCAACACGTTACGTGAGCTCTGTATTCGAAAAATCGAGAAAGAAAGCGAATAGGAGCTTAAAATGGAAAGCAAAGCTCATAAATATACTCCTACCACTGCCATTCATCCCTGTTCCTTGAAACAAACTTGATGTTCAACGTATTCTATCATTTTTTTAAACTAATTCGGTACAAGGTATGCATTGTTGCTTCACAACAGAGTTGGGCAAAGTATAATCTGTTCAAGTACCTACATTTACGACTATATTATTACATGTAATTGCACTGTAATCGTATAACAATTAAACGATAATTAAACAGTCATTACTAATAATAGATAATGATTGCACTGCAATCAGGGCGTAATTGCATTGTAATTAGATTACATTTTGTTCAACTCTGCCCTACAAAGCCAAGAGCTGGTTGTATCCTCAGGTTTGGTGTTACTTTTTAGCACGAATGAAATAATAAACCCATTTTGCTCGGCGCTTAACGTGTTAAAGCAGTAATCTTATTTATAACAATACTTAAAAACATATTACAATTCGAATTATTCCTATAAAAACAAGAATTTCAATTTCCATGACATTTACATAATAAACTAATCTTATTATAATTAATGTAACTATTAGAATTATGTAGCTAATATTACGTTAAAAATCATTCATAAAATGAAAGAAATTTGTTACGTAATAACAATGTATTTCGAACATACCCATTACACCATTGATATTCTAACATCAACAATAATTTCCGTTTTCCTTAATTGTATTCTTAACCATACTTCTATATCAATATACTTACATAAGAAAACGGGACTATGTGATTTAATATTTTAGGGGATCGAATAGTCAATAAGGGAGATATAGCTATTTCTAAGGCGTTTTTCGAAACTATTGAACACTTTTTCTCGTACGCAGTATTCGTCATATTTTCACTTAACTCTGAAATAAGGTTGTTTTTCTTTCTTATTAAAGCTCTAATTCTACGTTTTAATTATAAACATGATCACAGTGTGAAGGCGTACTGTTCAATGCTTCTGGTCCATCTTTATCTAAGCTAATAGATCTCCGAATCTGTATTCTACTTTTTTTTCTTCTGTTTTCTTGAGAATTTTATCTACAGTGTTTGGGTAACATGATTATTTTAAATTTATAACATTCAATACTTCCAAGCTACGTATGCTAAGTACAAACTAATTTATATTTCGATTTTAATCGATTTCTTCCTTTTGTTTACAAATTTAGATTTCCTTTGTTCTTCTTTAACAGTAATCTCCCCCAAAAATTTGTTTCTAAATCCTTTAATCGAAAGAAAAAGAAATTATTCCCGGGAAAAAATTAAAGAGACGATTCTAGATGTAAAAGCAACTTGAAAAGTTAATAATATTATATGAAAATATAAATTTATGATATCTGTATGACAAATATTTCTCTTTTTTTGTACGATAAACAACGTGAAACTGTTTTCGATACACGCTGATACTTATTTCTACGCCAAATGATATTCTTCTCGTTTTTCTTCAGAGAAAAACAATCATATTATGCTACCGTGTTACCAGTTCTAAGCTCTGTACAGAAAAAATCAGAAAAATTAATATTAATCACTAATATAAGTACTGTGGGTCGTTAGCGTGAGCATTATCGATTATTTTTTTGATTTTTAATCTTCCAGAAAGCAACAAGCTTTCTTTGATTCGACGTTCGAAGAACAGCTAATTGTAAAAGCCAATATGATAAGATTTCATGAATGAATTTGGTCTTGCAGACGCGTAACTAATGAATGAGCAACTCATGGTCGGTTAAATAAAAAATATCTAAAAAATAAAGGCCTCGTTTCATTTATAAAACTACACGCGTGCTATAATTGTCCATATAATGCCATTTAAAATGTGATTTACACTCGTGCCCACCCTTTATTAGCATGGGAATTGTAGATTGCTCTTCATAGTACTCAAATGGTTAAGACTAGTTTTGGATAAATAAAAGTTGTTCACTTTTTATTCGTAGCAAGCATATCAATAAAGATTTTAGGACATAAACGTCTTTCTTTAATTTCGATTTTTAGTTAAGATTTTAATTAACGATAGAAAGTAATTTTGTCGAAGAATTCTAATATATTTTTTTTTTTTAAACAAAAAACAAAATAAAAATATGGTAGATAAAATATAAAATAAACAATTTAAAATTTTTTTGAAACAAACAAGTATCGTCATGTCTTGGACGTAGTTAAAAATTAGTATTTTGGAATGCAAAGTAATAATAAATAACTTACGTGTCGATAAATAATACAATTATGACAATAATATTAACAATAATAATATAATAATAGCAATAATATTATATTAAATATTACGCAGTGTACGGAACGATTTTTAAATAACTACAATAGACAATAGTGTTCGTGCGTATTTTCTTCAATCTATTTTTTTTTTTTTTAAATATAGAACATATAGAAAGTGCCCAACTTAACTGTATATTCGCACACGTTATTAATTAGTTTAACTATTAAAAAATTACTTAACATTTAAGTGTGTTCCTTTTTCATTTACGTGACTATGGTTGAAAGTATTTTTTTTTTCTTAAAACAATAACATGTAGATTTATACACTTAAATTGGGTACCCTGTGCACATACACACATACACATGTACATAGAAATATGTACCAGTCTGGAAATCATATTTCGAAACTATTAGCGTTTTTTTTATTACGTGAACTTATACTGAAACTAGTATAAGTTACATTTCTCTTTTAATTATTTTTGACTTGTTAAAAATTTGTTTCACTAAATTTCGATTCATGTATTTTTAAATAAAATATCATTTGAATAATTATACATCTCTGAAATATGAGATCTTGACTTTTTTTATTTGCATATTCTTTCCTATATTAATACTTTTCTGTACAAATATCTCTATATAAAATATTTCTTGAGCTGACACAGTACTTCAGCTGTCGCCTCTCTTATCTACTTGTATATTTATATTTATATGCAATGGTTCGGTTCCTTTCTCGCACCATAACATTACATCGATAATTGAAAATTTAGTTTGCAAAGGATTCTTCTCGATTATGCGTACTTCTCTTTAACAAATGAACAATCAAATTCATAAAAAATTATGTTGTACACATTTTAACGGAAATGACTATTCTTAATATAATAGGAATAGATGAAATAGATGATAATATATAAAATTAATGCAATTTAACAATCAAGTTTATAAACAAGCAAACAAAACAGTGCGTAAAAAGAATTTAGATAGAAAAAAGGAGCTCATTGGTATTCTCACTGTTTTCTTCTAAGTATAACTAGGTTTAAAACTACCAACAGAGCTTCTGGAATATATTTTGGTAAAGCCCCATGGACGGATTGTTCGTACTATCATAAATTAGGACGATTCGGACGAGTGTGAGCGTTGGCAAAGGTATCTCGACAAAGGCACGATTTTTTTTTCCCAGATTCCAAAATCATTCCTCGAACCTCGACTATTTTATCCCTAATGTAAATCGAAGGCTACTTATTAATATAGATATTAAAATAAGTAAAAATTTCGTTCGAACTTTTAAATACAAATGGGTTGTCATTTATATTTTCTAACGAATAATGTAATTTTGTTTGTTCAAGCTCATAATTTCCTCTCCATCAGTCATATCAACATTATTATTCGATAATTTTTTTAAATAATCGAGGTACTAGGTCTTCTTCAAAAAACGTCATTTATCCAAATAACTACTGATGACTTTTGCTTAATAAATGCGAATTGAATTGATACAAATTGCAACATTGCTCCCCGCAAATATTGCACTTCCAGGGATTGCTTTCACTATGACAGCCCTTATGAAGGAAATATAATGTTTGATCGGGAAAGGTAATTCTACAGTGAGTGCATTGAAGTCCACTGCTTCGTTGATCGGGCCTCGTTGAACTAGGAGGTTCTCCTCTTGAATGGGGATTTGAATTTGAACTATTATTACCTATTACAAAATCAATATATATACATATATATATTTTTTTTGTATATACGTATTACTTGATACTATGTCTAATATTGTTTATAAATAACAGTTAAAGCAAAGGTATTTTGTTAAAATATAAAATAACGTAATTACCGTTGTTATTGTTATTATTTCCAGAGCTAGATGAAAGCTTGCGTCGTAAATCATCTCGAAGAAGAGATTTTAGTGGAGAGACCTTTATCAAGGATGGTAATGGAAGATTGCTAGATGTTGCGCCATTCTCCTCTGTCCCGTTGCTGTTTGGTTCTTGCTTAATAGGAATAAGTGAGATTGAAGGTGTAATTGCCTCTTCACTTCCACCAACGTTCCTTTAATTAAAAATATAAATTAGAATAGCAGTCAAGGCAGATTAGTGGTACTTGAAAAAATGATGTACCTGTGAATACCACTACTGTTAATAGGTAACTGATGATGACTACTACTTGGAGCATTACTGTTGCTATCTGCGCTTTGCGGGCTATTTGGACTATCTCCGTTAAGGGGAGCAGGGCTTGAATTCCGTTGACTTGCAGCTTGTTCGGAGTAAGGAATCGATATCTCTATATGAGGTGTCAAAAAGTGCATCGGCGGAGTTGCATTGTCCGCAGATCGATTTCCGGTACTGTCTCCGCTATCTGAAAGAGGAGCGGAAGGCATAGCCTCCCCCGGAGTACAGCTATTCATCAAAGAACTTGAACTATTTGGTCCTGGGTTATCTAGATCTATTCCGTGCCTAAAACAATCATAAATTAATAATACAACAATTACGAACTTATCGAAATAATTAAACGCTGACCTGTTAAAAAAATGTAGCCTAAGACACTTCATAGTCGCTGCACGATAGTTGCACAATGGACAAGACTTGACCATATCGTGTTGACCGACATGTTCGTTCTGGAAGTGGGCCCTCATCGCGATTTGTCTTTGAAACCCTCGATTACAGATCGGACAATGATACGGTAGAGTCTTTGAGTGAGTTGTAAAATGTTCTGCCAGGTGATCCTTGCGAAAAAATCTCTTCTGACAGACACGACACTCATACGGCTTCACACCAGTGTGCCTCATCTGCGATCAAATTTAATATGTACATTTTATAATTAGTTAAAATCTAAATAAAATTTGTTGCGAGCGGATACTCGATATATCGGGTTTGGATGATTCTTCGATTGGATTTTACTGTTAAAATAAATGAAATTTATACCTTGTGCCGCCTCATGTTAGCTCCATTAGAAAATTTCATATTGCAAACGTCGCATTCAAACATTTTTCTGTGAGAACGAATTCCAGAATGACTTTCTTCTCCATCTCCATCATTATCAGCAGCTTCTATATTCTCTGCGCTCTCTCCTGGCTCAGAACTGGCCAGACACTGGTCCTGATGAGCGCAGAATGCTGTCTTATTTATAGTCTCATAGTTTTCACACCTTTCACACCTGTCCACACGTTATGGATCCTTTGATACGCTATTTAAGACTTTGATTATCTAAACGTTTATTGGAAATCTCTAAATACAAAAATCGATTACATGAAGGTAACGGACCTAAAAGCAGGTACAGCACCATCACCGCTATCATAATTAGTGTTCAAGGCAGCCTCGTTATCTGGATCCAAAATCTCATCTTCCCTTTGGTTCGAGGACTCTCCAACATCGGCGTGTAAACAAGAATGGGAATCTACCTCGTTTTCCCCGCCACCAACATCAACCCCATCGGACATGATATCGAGCCCTCCAGACACTACGATGTTGAATGTACACCATTCGTTGTTGGTTACCTACAGTATCGCAGAAACGTATTTCAACTTGTAATAAACATTTTTTAATGTCCAGTAATTAAAAGCCTATGTTATACACGTGTAATATTAAATATATTTACGGTGACAACATACTATTTACATTGCTATTAAAAAATAATAAAAGAATAAGTAACTAATAAAATAGTGAGATACAATAAAGGTAAAAAGTAAAATAAACGATTAACGTGATTAACGTTCCGAGAAATCTCGATGTTTACCTGTCAGTTTCGATCGAGGGTTAGAGGATGACGAGACGATTGGCCAATCTTAAGAGAAAGAGAAAGAAAGAAAGAGAGGAAAAGAGGGGGAGGCTACTAGTCATGGAGTGAGAGAAATTCCGGTAAAACGCAATGCCAGAGTACACTGCACTTTGTCCCAGTTTCGGGGGAATCCGTCACTGGTGACGTAGTTTTCCGCCGATTTGGCTGGACTCGTCACCGTATGGTCAACATCACTCTATGAGAAAGAGGAAGCCGTAGTTCTTAGTTAGTTTTCCTGTCCAAATCATCTGGAATTAAACATCTCCGATTTTATGTCACTTTAATTCGTTTCACGTACAAAAATACACAACACCTCTATGAACTACTACACACTGTTCTTTTACTGACTTCTTCCACACGATCGATTAATCGAAACCATCGATCTTACGATATTCGACTCTGTAGTAAATTTCGATTTATCAAATCGGTATTATCTGTCGATTTTTTGTACGTGACACCGTAAATGTGCCGATGGCTATGAAAGTGGTATAAATCATATGCAGTCAGACTATATTCACCCCCATAAATGCGAAATACAAACACAATAGTAAGTTTAACAACTCTTTTCCATAAAAATAACGATGTTTATTAAATTTATTAATAAGAGTGTCTTTAACAAAAGTGTACATACTGTGGATTTAATATTATATTAATATTTTATAGGTTCTCCCTGAGTATCGATAACGACTTGTAGGGTACCTAATTGATGTGATACATAATAATAGGGTGTTCCAAATTTATGGGACAAGCTAGTACATACAAATTGTCCAAGAGAATATAAATCGAAAAGTCCTTTACCATTTTGCGATCTGTAATTTCGTTTTCGAGATATCGGCAATTGAAATTCCATAGACTTTTGGGCGCGTTGTTTAATTCCAATCAGCTGATATACATATACGTTCACATGTGTATACCGACTGTGCTAAACCAATAGACTACGACTATGTGTTTCTGGCATCGTAGAGAGGGCGCTCTCAGCGTCTTTTTTGGGGGAGGCTAGGGATTTTCTTGAATTTTCAGTCCTCCCTAGCGAAAATCAGCTAGCAATGAACAAATAGTGGATATCCGGCTTGAGGATAAAGCAGAAACGCACACGCATACTTGTCATGTAAAGAAGAGGAATATTATCATGGCGGTAAACTATTGGGCGTTGTTTTTAACACCTGTTGCTTATATTCTTGACATAAAATTCAAAGAAATCGAAAAGCATTGATTAATAAGTTTTAGTTTCAATCATGGTGCAACAAGGTCAGTCTATTCGATGGATTATTTTAGTTGAATTCAAATTTTCGTTTTTGTTAATAATTGAAACAATGATATACGTTTAATAGTTTTAGTATAGAATAAAGATATGTAGCTAACGAAAAGAAGCGATTAACATTTTTCATTTTATTATTTGAAATGTATAAATAGTGCAATTAAGTACGCCATGTTGAAATGTTGATCCGTTTGACATTTCACATCTTATATATCTGAAAGTAGGAATACCTATAAATTTAAATTTATCGTTTAAATGATATTACAGCTTTGTATAGCATTTATAATTTATAATTAGTTTTTATTAAAATTTTTCATTTACATTCCTTCTGATACGTGATATTCTTTTTATTTAGACACCAGCAATGGGTAAAAGCGAGGAAAGCAATGAAATTACAGTACACGCAGGCGAGTTAACTTTTCTTACAAAGACAACAAGCGAGGCCAGTAAGATGCTAGAAGCTGCTTTGTTACAAATGGATGACATTATTTCTGGTATGTTGTGGCTTAATAAACATTATCTATTCAAAATTTTACAGTTACAAACATTTTATTTCTGGGGGAATTTATCACATTTAAAAAATGAATCATATTTTTATAATATTAGCTTTAGTAAAAACATGTATGTAGTGAATGAGAAATGTATATATATTTAGGAGCTTGCAATGATAGTACTAACGAAGGAAGTACAGAATGGAAAGATTCCGTTAAAGAGGCTGCAAGAAATCTTGTATCTGCTATTAAAAGTGCACCGTGTCCTCCTGCTGCTCCTGATGTAGCAACCTGTGAAATTTTATTGCAGTGGATGCAACCGGTAAATTAAATGACATGTTCATATTTTGTATTCCATGCATAACATTGCACAACTTTATAGTAATGTGTACACACGATTAACTTTGTTTTCTTTATTATTTTATATCATATACCTTATTTATATCAAATAGTTTAATTTTAGAGATGTAAAAGAGTATATTGTAGTTTTACCAAGAGATATTAGGATGTCCTGTTCTTTTTCTAATTTGCACAATATTTCGCAAACGACAGTTCATAATTACTTAAATTGTTTAAAAATGTGGTTCCACATCAGCGTATTTAAACTACCAAAGTGTTGGTACATTCAACGAACAAACAATTCGCCCAAAATATCGAGCTTGCATACTCGTGGTCCATGAATTAGGATGCGTATCTAAAAGAGGAAATTCTCGGTGGCGCCCGTCTCCGATCTGACATCGCTTCTGTCTTGAGAAACTCGAATATAGTTTTATCTAATTTTAGTTTCTTGCGGTAGCACGGTATGATCGATTCGTTGTATCTCATCGAGGCTAATGCTTTTTATTTGTGAGAAATTTGCTCATTTTTATACGATCGTTAAATAGAATTTGTTATTTCAGGAGATAAATTTTTGAGAATCCTCGCACAGTGAGTTTCGAGTTATGAATAATTAAAAGGAGTATTCCAAGTGTTCTCGTGTCTCGACACACGTTACTGCACACCATAGTCTAGAATCCATTTTGAGATCCATAGATCGCGCACATTGTTGACTTGCGTTTAATACACGATAGATTTTAAATTGTCCAAAAAATAAAAATATAAAAAGATTCTAGTTTCAGTAAAAAACAGTTATAATTTTATTCGTGTAAAAATAGAATATTTTATAAATATATATTTCGAAGATTAGTTGATAAAATTCGTTTAGGTTCCGACGTTAGTATGTCAAGAATAAAACAATGGGACGATACATGGATATATTCAGAAAACTATGATTCTTCGGAAACGTCGAATTCCGAACAAGAAGAGGATGAATTAAATACTGATTTTTTTGAACTAAAAGTACATAAATTGGGAAGCTGTTTCTGGCAGGTATATACAAGCGAATCGCTAAAAATAGAAATTGAAGTACTATTGAAAACTAATCTAAAACTAAAAGGTTCCAAGTAACTGTTGGTATCTGGTTATTCTTTTGTCGGTGTTAGGAATTTAGAAATTTCGTTTTAATTATTGTAACATTTAATAAGAACGGGAAAGTAACATTTATATTAGGACGAAAAAAGTACAGAGGAAATTGGAATAATTAAATCTTTTAAGCTTGGAAAAAACGACGCCTCAAGAATAGAATACATTGCGAACAAAGAGATCGTTTTTTAAGAAGAAGAGAATCTCATTATTATTGTTTGCTGCGGCATTATCATGATGCTGAAATCCGGAATGAATGGCGAACACAGATTGAGTTATGTTAGTGTATGTAATGCAAAATATTGAAAAGTATAACTAACAAAAATAATGTGGAATTAATTGTATTACCAAAATACTTCTTTCATCAAATTAGGACGTTAAATGACATTGTTTTATCAAAATTATGGAACAGGATGAATGAAAACTATAGAAAATCATGACTAATAAATTGCACCGTAATTATGTAATATTATACAATTTCTGTAGTATTAATTTTAATGTTATAGGAACGTTTAAGGAAATTAGAAAATGAACGCGGAGCATTACGTATGGAAGTATCAGTTTTGTCTGACCAGGTGGATGCACAGTCTACTAAAATACAAGAATTGGAAACGTTGCTTAGGGAGAAGAAGGATTCTCTCAGGAGAATGGAAGAGGCATTACAAAAAGTAATTTTATATTATTAAATTTTTTTCAATTTTAATTTACTCTATCTCGTCCCTGTTCCAACTTTATTTTTATTTTTAAAGGAAGTACTGTCAAGAAGTGCTTTGGAAACACAAAAGTTAGAACTGTTAAGTTCTTTGTCAGAAATGAAGCTCAGACAAACGAATTTAGAACACGAAAATCTCGCACTACGTAATGCAGGTCTTGTGTCAAACGTAAGTTGATGTCACCTTAATTAGATCGAATTAGAGATTTTAGATTTTTTAATCCGCCTTTCATAGCCATAGAACTATTACGATTTCTGTAGCGGAAGTGGAGAAAAACATTATTGTTAGACGTTTATTACAGGAAGAGAGATTCGGAAGGCATACCAGCCAATATAGTAGTCTTCCTAGGCCGCCGAGTTCTTCAAAAAAAGGCGTAGTATTCGGTAAGGTTTCAAGTTTAGCTTCAGGAGCACACACGACGGTACCACTGGCCATTAGAGGAATCTCCGCGAGATGCCTGTCTGCGCCTACTCTAGGTTGCGATTGATTTATCATTTAAGCATGCATTTTTACATGCTTTTCCAACAAAAAAAGCAACTATCATTTGTTCTTCTTGTGTGACAGGCAGTCGTGGTTAATAACTTAAAAACTAATAACTATATTAGCAATTAATTAACTCTTACTCCGCATCATCTGCGTAACAAGCAGAGATTCCGAGGTGTAACACACATTTTAATGAGCTTTCAGTGAGTGATAATACTTGGAACACCGAAGCTAATGATATGTAACAGAGTAATATCGAAAATATGGGGTCAGGCTGTATTTTCGATAATACGGGAGTTTTAAGGGGGGTTTCCTACCAATCTGGTCAGAAAAAGATTCTACTTTGTGAACTTTTTCCAAAGAAACTTAAAGATAAGAAGATAAACATTATATGTACAACTCTCGTCATATATTCATAAATAACGAAGACATTTAGATATTTCTATTTAAAACCTGGAAAGGAGTATGTTCAATCCGTATTTATAATCGCTCTCATTTCCCGAATATTAGGACCTCTTTCTTCAGAAACAAAATTCTCAATTCCTCTGTCAATGTAATTTTTTTTCACGTCCATTCATAATTTCGTATCCTTTCTCATTGTTTGGTGGAAGTATTTTCTGCTGACAAACACCACAGATGGTTGGACAAATTTAGTATTGTTATGTGACTAATTCCTTTCATCAATTTCATGGAGTTCGTATCCACGTTTTTCTCAGTTTCTTCTTTGTTAGTTACAGCAAATTGCTCTGAATAAACATATGTATTTTTAAGTAACACAAAGCTTTTTATGGGATTTCTTCCAGGAGAATAATTATATGTAAATATGCCTTGTGATTCTCTCTTGGTCGTTACAGTTTTTTTTAAATTGGATAACTTCTAAAATCGCTGCACTCAGTTTGTTAATTTTTTAAAGAGTAGAAGATTTTGATATTTTTTTTTCATTATAAAATGATATAATGTATATAATGTCCGCGAGGCGAATATAAAATGTCCTTTTCTAATTTCTGTTCAAGAAGAATGCAGGCTCCTTGGAAACGTCCAGTATTCGTCAATGTGGTATCGCATCAAAGTGCTTACCCTTTGTCGGATAATCCTCATTCTTCTAATAAATCGTACACCGCAGACGCATGATTGTCTCCGCTGCTAGACGAAATTATGGGAGTTTCCAATAGTTGTCGAAACACCTCTGCAAGTGATTAATTACTGGTAATCTCTCGACTTTTCCTGCCCCCCCCCCTTTAAAACTGGTAATAGCTTTCCACCGAACTCAGCAATTATTAAATGCTTCACGCCATTTCTTTGTAAGTTCTGCACGGAGTTAAGTTCGATGGCGGTGAATTGATGTTCGACTTATTATTAACCGTTTAGCGATGGTTACCATATATGTAAATACTTGCATCTGTCATTTAGCCGTACTATCGTCGTACATGTATGTTTTCTATTCTGGATATCAAATACTATCACCGTAATGCTCAAATTTTTTTTACACTTTTTGTGGTATAACCATCGTACCCACATATATCACCGAAAGTTTACACTTCTGCTCATAAGTAATTGCATAGTTATCATATTTTTGACCGTCTGTCTGTTCTTCGATAAATTCCACAGCATTGGGGTACAGAATTACCATCAAATTGACATAAAGGTGTTTAATAATAAATCACCATATGTTATGTCTCTGTATCAAGACATTGTCATCCTCATCAAATGCCTGTGTGTTGAATGTCGTCCTTTGGCAGACACTGCCATTATCTTACTTATTTTCTTAGCTTATTCTGTTTTCAGTTACACCCAGGGGGTTGAAAACAATTATGATATCATATCATATAACACTTCATATAATAGTTTAAGGCAGTTAGTTTCAGAACCTTTCTGATCCCTGATTGCAACCATAGTATAGTATCTTACTTCTTAGATTTACATTAAAATGGGGACGAAAGGGGGATGTTACATCTCGTACTGTTCCTCTGCGAGAAGAAAGGCTGTCCCTATTCAAATGTACAACCCCCATTTGCTTCCTTATCATCACACTCATTCTCTTTATTGATCTTCGTCACCAGCGGTGCCACATGGGATTCCCCAAATCCTGGGTAATACCACCCTCTCAAGGATTTAGAGAATTCCATGTGGTTTTGCTGTTCGTAACTCGTTCCTGTCGTCTGATGCATGGCTTTTGTGATACGGGACAAAATACGCTATCCAGCGTTAAGTTCTTAAGAATTATTGTTCTAATAATGTTATTCTTTTCATCCTATTTCTACTCCAAAACGAGTAGCCAAATATCTTGCTCAAATAATTAAAAGTAAACATCTTTTTATGTAACTATTTTACTAATTAAAACTGCTAGAGTAACAACACTTGATGATAGAAGTCCTTGCATCTACAAGAAACAAAATGAAACTGAAATACTTAATTTAATTAATTTTGAAAGCATGGATTTCACGACTTTCTTGGTATGCAGCTTTGTAAATATGAGAACAGAAAAAGAGTCATCGGAATTTCTTTTTCAAGGGGTGAATTTATTCTTTTAAACTATAATTTCGTACCATCAAAAATGGCTTTGTGTTACGGATGAACTACTGTTGCAAACACTTGCAAACAATTTTTAAAAATATTCCAAGTTTTAATATTAATATTTAACACATGTCTTGACGCTTTGTTTTTCCACTTTAGCCGAGGAAGAGAAAACAATCATAGGTGACTCGAAGTCTGGAATAGAAACTCAAAAACCTTTGGCAGATCTCTCGATGGAGGAGATTGAAGACTGGCTTGTAAATCTAGGATTAGAATGTTATGCGGGCGAATTGAGGCGATGGGGTGCCACTGGATCAAAATTACTCGACTGTTCGCAACAGCAAATAGAAAGAGAATTAGAAATTAAGAATGTTCTTCATAGGAAGAAATTGTTGTATGCAATAGAGTCAGAAAAATATGGCGGGCTTGAATTTCTTGGCTCTGATAAGGTGATTATCATTTAATCTTAGTTATGCAATTAAATATAATTGCATTGACTATTATAAAGTATATGAATTGTCAATACTTGTGAAATTATAGATGGATAATGCAGCAGTTTTACGATGGCTTGATGATATTGGTTTACCACAGCATAAAGATGCTTTCCAAAATGGCAAAGTTGATGGTAGAATGTTACATAGGCTAACAACCGAGGACCTTCTAACTCTTGGAGTTACTGCACAGTTACATGCTGCAAGCCTTAGACGAGGAATTCAGGTATTATAATTTTTTTAGCAATAAATGGAAAACGTGAGCGAGTCCAACAGAATATTTTTATTAAACTTAACCGAATGTTTAGGTTCTTCGAGAATTAAATTTTGAGTTCGATGACCTTGAAAGAAGATCTACAAATGGTAATGGAGCAGACGGTAGTAACGTTCGTCTCTGGACAAACCATCGTGTAATGGAGTGGCTTAGAGTGATCGATTTGGCGGAATATGCGCCTAATATGAGAGGATCTGGATTACACGGGGGCTTAATGGTGTATGAAGGCAGATTTACTTCCGAATTATTGGCCACATTGCTTAGTATTTCTCCCGGAAAGACTCTCCTCCGTAGACATTTGACGACACATTTCAATCAAATTCTTGGTAGAGAAGTTGTGCAAAGGAAAAGGGAAATCGAAAGCACTCTTGGATTCGTTCCTCTTACGCTAACTGCTCGCTTGAAGGTAAATAATTAGAATGGCGGCGAAATTGCTATTACGTTGAATAATTGCGATTAAAATGTATGCCATTAATGTGTGAATTCAGGTACCAAAGAAATCTCAGTTCACGTTGAAGCGTAAAAAGAGCAAAAATGAAGCGGATTATGGTAATTTGGTTTGCCCCCTGGAATCTTCGCCACCGGGCACCCCATCAACCCCTACTTCGACTCCAGGCAGCCCTAACTTGAATTCACCCACATTCTAATCACAAGTCACAGATTCTTAATCTCGTAAGTCTAACTCAAATAATTCTACTTCCTTTCTTTCGTTAATTAATTCTTTTCGTTAATAAAGTAATATAATAAGTACTTAGTACTATTATATTTATTTTAGGGTGTAAGGCGATCGTTTATGTATTGATTATAATTTATATGATTTTTTTTTAAATTAATAATAATCTTTGTAGATCAATGATCATTTATTCTTCTATTTTAATACTATCTCTCGAATGCATTTATTTTCAGGTCAAAGGGAAAAAGCAATCACAGAAGAATAATTGGCTGTTTTTTAAAAATTTCTGAGCAAAAACATAAACAAAATATACATTTTTGGGACCATCTTACTTCAACTTTATAGGATAAATTTTATTCCATAATTTCAAACACCCACAAAGGTGTTACTGTTATTTTAGAAAATTGAAATACCTAATATTTGTATCGTCATTATTTGTTTTATTCTAACTGTACAATTACTTTTTACCATTTTTGAAAAGATAGAGTAAGTATTTAACATTTTTATAAATATTAAAATATACCCTGTGTCGAAATGCAAAAAAATTAACAGTATCAAGTGTGTGTTTACAAAAAAATAAAAGGTAAAATTAGTACTTACGTTATCAATTTCTACGAATTATATAAACAATTATATTACTCTATTCTCACCTTTTAAATGATATAATTAGATATTTAATAATTTTAACATGTGCAAAGAATTGATTTACACTGTCCTAAACTGTTTATATCTAGAGTAGCGTATATACCTTACAAAGTCATAGAAATTTGTATTGTATTATCATCTACATTGTATGTAGCTTTCGTGACCATGATCCGAAGATCACAAACAGGGAATTTACACCCTGGCCATTCCATATCAGGGGCCATAATCTGGAATTATCAATCCCCCCTCGATGCTTTCCATATTACCGAAGAAGAGTCTTTAGCGACCTAATCTTAACTCCAAATACTAGTGCAAGTAAGAACGTTCTCTCTTGGGTCTTCTTCTTTTTAGTTGAGTATATAATTAGTATTTTAATTATAGGTATATTAACTCTGTTAACTGTGATGATAATTATCCACTGTTAATGTCGCCAGCATAATCAAATGAAATTTTATCATTAATTTCTTCCATATTTATGTACGACGCCGATCGCTAACTTACTTCCCGATGCGACTATATGTATACATAGTGTAATTTTTAGATTAAACGCTGATTCTAAGATAGGATCTAATCAAGTAACACTATCTTGTTGATAAAAAAATATTAGGTAATATACAAAATGAATAATTATTTTTAAATAAGTGTATTTACATAAATAGTACATTTAACTATTATAACTATAAAGATACGTGTCTATTTTTTTTCAGTCGGTTCTTTAGAAGTTTCAGGAAACATTTTATAATAAAGCTCCTCGTATTCCTTTTTGAGCTCCTCTCTTTGGGCAAAATATTTTGGATACATAGCCTTTTCCATGGGAGTCCATTCATCAAGTACATAGTCAGGTATAAAGGATTCACGATTATAAGCTATCCCATCTACAGAATCTGTAAATTTCTTTGGCTGCCAATGTTGTGCCTGAAACAGTTCTTCTTCGCCGTCTACTAAAAGTTGTTTTGCGACACGCGCATCAGGTATACGTCGGTTTTCTTCAAAACGTTGCCTCATTAGAACTGCATGGTACCTTAAACAAAACACAATATTTAAATAAGCATTCCATTTAAACAAGGTCATAAAGACTTCTACATTTTGCTTTGACAGATATACATAGTGATTATATAATAAAAACTTTGATGCAAGATCCAAGCATACCATCAGGTGAACCTATTAGAGCACTTTTTGATATAAAATGGATGACAATAATGCTTAAGGGCTAAAGAGATGTCATTAATATTTTAGAAAAATATTGGAATTAAACAAATTTTTTTTGTTCAATTAGAAATAATGAAAAAATAATGATAGACATGATACCTATGTAAAAGATTTTTTAAAATTCTATTAATCTTTATCTAAAGCACATGATAAAATATTAAAAATTAACAGTGTCTGACTGTCAAAGTATATACATACCTGAAATCTGTTCTTTTGGGATGCCAGTCTTCTACACATCGCAAAACACGTTTATAAAAACTGCATACTTTTCTGCTGTGAGTAATGAATGGTGATGGTAACTGCGCCATCCTTTTTTTTAGTTATAATATAAGCTTTTCACAAAATACTGCTTTCCTCTGAGAGCCAATTATCCAACCTATGGTTCCCCAGATTCGTCCTAATATTCTCGCATGCGTATCGAGAATGGCATCAGGTATGTGCCCTGAAAGATTACAAAATGGGTTTCGTATAAACAATTAGTTGTAGATAATTATTTAATAAAGTATAAAATGGAGAACTTTTCCTTGAGATACGTTAATAACTGTATTTAGAAAGAAGTAAATAAATTCGATTTACCAATGTTATTTCTTACGTTATCTTTTTCCACAATTTAGTTCTGAAACTTTTCTTTTTATTTGAATTATAAAAAATTGATTATTTAAAAGAATATTTACAATATTATCTTTATAAATTTTATTTTCATACGCACCTGCACGAAATAAGATCAATTCTGATAACATTGAACTATTCGAACTCTATACAACGGCCATAAACTATGTAGATCAAATATAAGCTACCTAGACTAGACTTCGGATTCGTAGATATTATAAACAATCATAAGTCTCTGCAAAATTATTTTAATCTACAAATTGCTTTTTATACAAACGTTTCGCGCCAAAAAAACTGTACAAGTACTCGCTAATTAAATAATTAGAGATATTAAATAAATTCGATTTTAAACAGAAAGAACTTCCGGTTAAAAACACGACGGAAGTGTGGTCGGTCGCAAAGAATGGCGATTGTCATTTGATTTACAGCCCTCTATTTTTCAGCATACTTAACGACCAATTCTTAACGCGCGACAAGAACTTTCCTCAACAATTAAGGAAACCTTTCATAATATCATTGTGTAATGAATTTAAGCTTTATGGTCCGTTTCGAGCTACACAATTGACATTAGAATTCGCATTAAGTAAGGAATCCAACCTTCAATTTTGTTCACAACCAAGGCAAGGAATCTTTTAACATTTTTACAGGCAAATGTAACCGATTTCAAACAGAGATTTACATATGTCAGAACGTTTGAACAAATCTATTCGTTCGTTCTCTGATAAACGTTAGTGTTAAACGAAATCATTAATTTCATTTTATTTAATGATTTAATTCGACATTTCCTCTTAATCACAGATTAAACGTCCAACTCTTTTCCAACGGTTACAAATCACGCTCGATTCACAAATCAGAAGTGTAGGATCGGGTTTTCAATATTGACTACTGTAGTTCGTTTCCTTCGAACGATTTTCAACGGACGAAATGGTACCGACGATGCCGCCTGATTCGCATAAAATTTCACTGAAGATCATCGACGCGATAAAACAGCACCCAGTTTTATATAGTGCCGAAGTGAAGGGTTCGTCGATCAAACTTCAGGAATTCCGGCAGAAGGTCTGGAAGAGGATTTCCGATGAACTTGGTCTCGATTGTATGAACTCATTCTCTTCTTCTTTCAAGTTCTAAAAAATAATTTTATATGTTTTTTTACTAGAACGTCATTTTTCTTTACCAATGAAACATTTACTGATTCTGTCGTCAGTCGATTCAAATTTAAACGTTTTATTTACTTTTTAATAATGTTGGATATGTTTAAACAAAATTTGAGTTTCATAGAAATAATAAATAATAAATAAATATCGTATTTATTTTTATTTTTAACTTTTATTTCATGGTTCCTATTTTATCATGTTTAATAATTGAAATTATTAATCCTCTTTTCCATCTCTTTTACCTTCATCATTTTGATACTATTTAATTATAAATTATTTTTCAGCTACATGGGTGAGATTAAGATGGAAGAACTTAAGGGATACCTATTGTCGCATACTTAAATACAAAAATAAAACAGAGAAAGGAGTTCGTAGAAAAAAATGGATTTTTGAGGATCATCTTAGTTTCTTAAAATTTCCGTAAGAATGTTATGTTACTTCTTTTCATTTTAATGTATGCAACAGTATTATGTTTATAATCAATTTGAAAACTGTTCAATTAGGTATGAATCTGACTATCAGCCACAAAGTATAGAATTAACAGAAGAATACATTCAAGATATAAATGCTGGTGGAATCAGTTCTGAGGGTCTATTGGAACAGTTAGAAGATCGCAATGATGAAGATTATAGCGAATACCTAGAAGTTCTGGAAGAAACAACTGCAGATCCGGTTTTAGATTGTGATTCCATTGAATTGAACGATAATGAAGACAGTACATTGAAAAATAGAGAGATAGAAAATACAATACAGCATGATATCGATATATACACGCAACAAATTCAATCAAAATATAGAAAAATAAGGCCAAAGAAAATGAAAGTTGAACCACTAGAGCCTACAAGTTATAGTATTATAAAAACGTTACCTTTTAAGAGAAGAACCGTTGAAACGCCGGTTTTTGTTAATACACCACCTGCAAACAGTAATACTAAAAATGTTTCTAAGATAGAAGTAAGTTTAATCACGATTAACCATGCATCTAATTTCTTTCCGTTATTTTAACTTATTAATAATGCATTTTTGAATACACAGAACAATTACGACCAGGTTTATTTGGCACCTGAAGGAAAAAGTAGCATAGAACTATTTTTTGATAGTATGGCACAAACTGTTAAACGACTGCCTTCAAAAGCACAAGCCGACATTAAAATGAATATCTGTAAAATCGTAACAGAAGCGGAGCTCAGATATTCCGGGCATAATACGCCACAAAGTACTCAACAATTTATCGCGCCACCGGGGATGATTCCTAAATTAGTTTTGATACCGTGCAATATGATCGATAAACAGAACAATAAAGGTTGACATTGTTTAATGATCTTGTTCAAGAAATGAATCTTGAAACGTGTTACAAAAATTAGTCTGATTAAGGGATTGTAAGAATTAAGGGGCGGTGTCGACGATTGAAAGAAGGAACGTGTTCCATTGAAGACAATTTTTCTATTTAGCGTCTGGTTTCATAGTTTTGTAACGTAAACTGGTAAATCGATTATGTACATAAGTATTGTCATTAAATTTTTAATTACTGTTATATATAAATATACTTATTTTAATAGAATTATATGTTTTAAAATGTGCATTCATACCCAGCATTCATACCCATTAATATAACGGATTTCAATAGAAACAGGTACTAAATGAATATTCGTAAATCTAGTGTTAATTATGTTTTTTCTAACAGCGGATATTCATATTTAGGAAAACCTTATTCGCGATAATATAACCATATTTAGGATTAACACTTAAAGTTGAAGATTGGAATTCTATTTAGTCAAATAACAGGAAACAGGAAGTGACAATTTAGTTGCATTTGTATTCGCCTTTTCTAACATCAGTGACGCATTGTGGCGACTTTGTGTACTGCAAAATACGTTACTTTTTTTGTTAAAGATAAAGAACTTCCTGTTTGAACCGAGTACCTTCCGACATGTAACCGTATATGCATGTGTTAATAATGAATGATAATAAACGTGGAAGGTGCATTATAGGAAGAAAATAATATAAATACCCAAGCATACGGGATCCTCTGTCGAAGATAGCAACAGGTTATAGGCCCAGTCTGCGTTGATCGAAAAGATGCAAATCGATAAAAATCGCGTCGTTGGGGCTGCACAGTAAGGACACATTATCGTTACGTTTATTGAGAACACAAAAAGATTAAGAAAAAAGAAAAAAAACGTCAAAGTAAGTACCAGTGCAATACTGACAGGAAGTAAAAATTCAAATTAAAATAATTCTATGAGCCGTGAGATCATACTGCATGATCAATGGAAGGAAAGTAAGGAAACCAGTGGTAGTATCACCAGATTAAATTCAAATCATCATTGTGATGCATTTGAACGAGAAAATTATTATACATATTATTATAATATAGTATATTTAATATAACGTTTACCACAGAAATGTGGAAGCAAGTCATTTTAGAAGGGCATAACTCCACCAAAGTTTAGTACTTCTATTACGAAATAATTTTCATCGTTTCGAGCGCGAGCCCTCTGGTGGCTGCGAAAGACACTACTGAAATACGTTTTCGACATTCCCCTGATTCCCAAATCGTTCTTTTCTTTAAGGAAACTGTCGAACGAACGGAAGAAGTGAAAATCGGTTAGAGACGAATCAGGGAAACACGGAGGATGTAATTAAAAGTACTTAGCCGGTGTAATTTTTCTACTGTTTTGTATTGTTTGTATACTGTACTATTTTCTACTTTTTAGTTGACCATATTCGATTCATGATTGTATGATTCTGGTGTAATACTAATACTCGACGAATTAATTTCGAGACCAAACGGCATGACCTATTTTGGTTAAATGTAAAGTGTAAATATTTGGTTTATAAACGGGTCATTGTCCGAAATAAACACGTAAACAAGTTACTTCTTTCTGAAATGAATATTTACCGTCGACGTTTGTGTGTTTATCGTTATAAACGGAGGAGGGCAGCGCGTTTAAGTACGAAATACCTCGACGAAGTAATATTTAACGAGGAATCGCTGTAAGTAGATTTTTCGAGCCCAAAAGGAAATAATCGGACGATTTCAGATTTCACGATTTAGCGTTCCATTATAACAAATGAGCAGAGGAGATTTTCAGGTGATGGGGAGAGGCGGACGGCTGTAGAAGAGGAGAAGAGAAAAAGAACTGAAAAGAAATGGCACCGCTCGACGAAGTAAAGCGATAGAAGAGGAGGAAGAAGAGGAGGAGAGACAGGGAGGACGAAGCGAGAGCGTAAAGTATGGAATCGCGGAGGCAGCCTAGGCTGGTTGGCAGATCGGCGGTACAGGCCTGAGGAAACGCGACGAAAGAAAGAAATAAGATAGTTCAGGAGGCTGTTACGTAGAAGAAATGGCGCGGAGAAGAGGAGCGGCGAATAAAAGGATATGGTAGGGCCCCTGGAAGTGGGAAAATGGTAGGGACTAGAAGAAGACGGGACGGAATGGAAGAGAAACGGGAAGGAAAAAGAAAGGGCACAGGGAGCGACAGGTGCCCAATCGCCCACGTGGGTTCTCTCTTTACGGTGCTGTAGAGATGGTAGAAGGGTGAAGAAGACGACGAGGACGACGAGCCGGCTTCCTTGTGCTCGTGAAGTAGCCGATACTCGTTCTATACGCCAAGTGCACTCGCCACGGGAACATAGTGGGGCAAGGAGATCCATTGGCGTACGCTGCTTACTTTTTCATTGCCGGTGATGATTCGCTTTATGTCCAGTTACCTCGTTCGAAACTTATTCGAGGAAAAGAACGGTGTGAAATGTAATTATGTTAAATTTTTCGTACAGAGGGGAACGAGATTATGGTGGTTTTCGGTACGCCGGAGGACATTTTTAAAACCGAGTCGTCGATATGGACTACGCCATTGAAAAAGTCTGCAGCGGGCCATGTACTGTGAGTGGGAAAAGAGGTAAAGAAGGGGAAGGGCTACCCATTCGGTAGCAAATGCTGGTAACCCGTCGCAAGGTCAAGATCAGTCGGTTAATCCTATCCAGTCAGCCGAGGCCCTTGCACCTTGGAGGACGAACGACCCTCACGCACGGAACTGAAATTTCACTTTGCGATCATATAGTATAGTTTAAATTTATTGGCATTTTTTCGCAATCACCGCGATCGTCCGCTCTCCCCCCCGCGTGTATCGATATTGCCGTAACGATCGATCGCAAACGAAAAGTTTTCAAGTGCATCCTACTACGGGTTCCGATTGTATATATTTATTTTTATTTATTTTCAATCGCAGTGCTTCATCGGTTTCGTGATGATTCTCAACTGATCGATCCATCGACCGTATCAATTTGTCGCGAGGCGAAAGACAATTGTCGGTGTGAATATTTATCCTTTTTAAATTATTGTTTAAAGTACCTTTGTTGTGTGATTCGCGAAACACTGTTGCGAGATTAATAATCGGTCTAAATGGAAACTAAACGGGAACGCGTTTGATATCGATGTATAATTCGTGTGCTCTTTAAAAAAGAAAAAAGTGTTTAAAGTGGGGACGACCGTAGCTGTGACTTTTCCAAAATATCCCGCTACGGGGCCTTTGTTATGGAAACCTGCGTTCTGATACCTAAAGAATTTTCATTGGTTCTTGCTAGCGATCGGTCCACCTATAAGGGTCTTTTCAAGAATGAATCAGGAAGCCTAGTTACGGACGTCAGAATATCCGTTTGGTCGAATGTACTTATTCCATCAGGGACGTTGATTTATCCCTTTCAGGGATCCATTCGATTCGACAAGATCGACCTTTATTCTCTTCTCGATGACAATGATGTAAGTAATCTCTCCATCGTAGACATTCAAAAAAACATTCTAGCATTAAATGTTCAACTACGTTTCTTTTCCTTCGCTACGTCCTACAGCCAGGGACACATGTTTCTCTGTGTTTTATTAGGATAACTGTTGAGAATGTAAAATTAAAGAAATCAGCTATATTACTAAGGATTACACTGGTAAACAAGATTAATATTAACGTTGTACTTATATTAAATAACGTTACATGCAAAACAGTATATTTATAAACTGAACAGTTATTAAAAATTTTCGATTCAAATCGAAATAATAAAATTTCATTTGAACAGAATTCTTGAGGACAAAATAAGACGAAAATGAAGAATACTAATTTGTTGATAGAGGCTTTGTTAAAAAGTTATTAACATTCAAAGTTCAGGTCGTAATGAATTTTTTTCTAGAAAGTGGGTAGGATTTAGGGGGTAGGTATATTCACCAAAAATTATTGTAATTGACCCCCGCAACTAAAAATAATTTTTCCAAAACGATTTGAAATTTTTTTTTCCGCCGAGAAAATCAACATTCCAGAATTTTTTTCTCGAAAGTGCGTAGGATTTCGGGGGTATGTGTATTCACCAAAAATGGTTGTATTTGACCCTAGAATCTAGAAATAATTTTTCCAGAACGATTCGAAATTTTTTAATTTTGTCGAAAAATTGCATAACTTCTCGAATTTTTTTCTGGGAAGTGGGTAGGATTTCGGTGGTAAGTCTATTCATAAAAAATGATTGTAATTAACTGTTCTAGCATAAAATATTTTTTTTAGAACGATTTGAAATTTTTTAATTTTGTCGAAAAATTGTATACCTTCTCGAATTTTTTTCTGGGAAGTGGGTAGGATTTCGAGGGTATATCTATTCACCAAAAATGATTGTTATTGACTCCTGTAACCAAAAATATTTTTTTTAGAATGATTTGAAATTTTTTAATTTCGCCGAAAAATTTGATCTCATTTTCGAATTTTTTTCTCGAAAACGCGTAGAAATTCGGGTGTATGTCTATTCACCAAAAATGATTGTAATTGACTCCTGTAACCAAAAATATTTTTTTTAGAATGATTTGAAATTTTTTAATTTCGCCGAAAAATTTGACCTCCTTCTCGAATTTTTTTCTCGAAAACGCGTAGGATTTCAGTGGTATGTCTATTCACCGAAAATGATTGCAATGAACCCTTCTAGCTAAAAATAATTTTTTCAGAATGATTTGAAATTTTTTAATAACTCTTTAACGAAGCCTCAGTCAAGAATTTGTTATTTTTGATTTTCGTCTTATTTGGGCCTCTAGAATCTCCCATTAAAATTTTTGGCCGCACACCCTGTACAGAAAGACCCTTTTCGTGTCACTGTTATCCCCATTCCTACTTGACTGGACGCACGCGTGTGAGTTAGGTGGCAAAAGTAGCTTACAAGAGGGGACTAAAAACTATGTGGCCCACGGGCCCACCGGTCGCTTTATAGTAACGTGATACTTCGGCTCAGATCGGAAAAAGTCGGACGAGATTCGCTATGCTATGCTACTAATTGAGTCCGCGATTCAAACGAATTTTTTACGCGTTTTATTTCCAATATTTTCCTCGTAAAATAAGAATAATATTAAACTAGACATAGTGTTATACAAGGTAACAGCAGCGATCTCATATTTTTCCGTAACTGCAATGAATTTCAGATCCGACGCGAGTATGGCTGCTACGATGAGGTTTTCTTTACAAATTATAGCCTTAATAAACGTCAATGCAATTGGATAAGATTTCTCCGGATAGTTCAGTCTTACGATGAGCAAGTAAACTTAATTGGTACCAAAATAAAAGGTAAGTTAGCGAACAAGTTAGACGAAGTTGTTACAATGTTCATGTAGAATCGTATTAAAGTCACTATTTGCCCTAACATTAATAATATAAACTTGTAACATCATAAATTACTCTTATCGAAGCAATGAAATTAAGAAATACCTACAATGGCGGTGCTCTGACTATTTTTCTTACTATTTTTTAAAGCTTGATATTATAATAAACCCATGTTAATTGAGAAATTAATTAAAGAAACGTGATTCGATTTTGTTCCAGTTAAAATTTATACAATTTTTCTTTCTGTTATTTTATTCAGGGGATCCAATTTTTGAAGTGATAAAAGATGTCCAACCCGACACAGAATTAGTAGCCTGGTTCCTCCCGACGGTAGAACAAGATTTCGTGTTTATATCGCACAATATGTGTTCGAGGTCGGCTATATACAGATGCACGATCGATTCCATTTTAGATGGTGAGTCATTTAAAATTTCTTTAAATAATAAATACGAGGATCAGTAACGATAAATACTGAAACAATTGTTACACATGCGTAGAATTTGTATAATTTATTTACATGTGTGTGTGCATATCCCAATATATTGCTCCATCAACTGCTTTTGAAAAATGTAGTTTCGAGAAAAACAGCTTTAAAGTCCAGTTGTTATAACTTCGTCAGTTCTTCAAATTTCAATTTAATATTAGATATATTTTCGAGACTACATGCTAAAAGAAGATTCAAAGAAAATTCGACTTTTTAAATCCCACAAGGTAGAAAAGCTCCTCAATAAGGGACCACGAAAATGGTTTATAGTAACGGTGTAATGTAATTACCAAAAATGTGGGATTTGATTGTACAATGTTATTAGAAACTGTAGACGATTGTAAACTCGTTTAGCGAGAGAAACTGAAGATTTGCACGGTTCTTTGGTGATCGAAACCTTTCCCGAGTACAATCGCATTAATCGGCACAATCACAGGGCAATCTGAAAAAAGGGGAAAAAAGCGTTTGCTAAGAAATCTGAAATGCAGATATGTGTCGGTATTTTTGTCGGCTAGATCAGAAGATGCTTGTTCGTTTGCTGGCGATTCAAATGCGTAGACCCCACGCTTAAGAAGAGATAAAGGACAGTACAATGCCAGCGAACCTTCAATTCCGAACAGAAAGGCCAGGGAAGATAAGGACAGGAGAAACGATGTGGAATGAAGGGGTTGGGCGGTTCGGGGGAAGGGGAGGGGGAAGCGGTTGCCGTAGTGGATAGGGATATTTACGAAAAGGAGTGGCCTGGATGGTAGTGATGGATTTATCGATATAGCTAACGACGTATCATCAATGATTTAATAATATAAAAGCAAATATTATATCAACAAAATATCCATAAGCGATATATCTATATTGTTGATCTCTAGTCAAAGGAATGAGTGACTTCCTAAAAAAAAGAATATCAAAACCTGCATGGTCCCTGAATGAGAACTGATGTAAAAACCTTCAATGTAAATTAATATATTTCTTTATAACAGTTATTCAGAATAAAAATTCTGGATCTGAGCTAGACAGTATTGTTTCATTTCTCATTCTCCAGGAGGTCCATTCGATGCAAGCCTTTCAGGGTTCTCTTATGCTAGGTGTATACTACAAATAGCTTCCCCTTGCGACTGTTCTAATATTTATGATCAATGGTGTATGTGCGTGTATCCTCGTTACCGAACAGAGTCATGGTTGGTCCCGTCCAATGCAGTCGTCGGTATCTTTTGTATGCGATCTGTTGCAAGTAATTCAGTCAATGTCTGCCTTACCGATCGTCGGTAGATTTCCCAAAAGCTCCGCCCACCTTTGTCCGGCGACGAATGAACGCTCGGGTAACGTTGAAAGCCGTCCTGATTGGTTAGTCGCTACATCATTCTTGCGTTTAAACAAAGGAATATCAGCAAATCTATGCATAATTTTAATTAGAACACTTTCGAGGGAGTAAATTAAGGGGGTGCTATATTCTTTGCAAAGAAAACTATGAAACTTTCTGTTCACTTTTTCATTCACCTTTCGAGAACGCTCTATTTAATATAGAATAATAAAAATTGTAAAAGTTATTTAATAATACGTCGTGGCTGGCAGAAAAAACTGGTCCGGATGGCTGACCCGATAGCGATCGTTCTACTTATCAGCATCTACTTATTAGCAATCTTATTAGTAATCTACTTATTAGTAATTTTAATTTTAAGAATCTCCGCTAGACTTATCCATGGCATTGCTCTCTCATCATACGCCATCCACTATCTCGCGTCAGTATTACGATATTGACGAATACGAGTCGACGTCCGAGGAGTCTTCTTCGTCCACGCTGTCCTTGACGGGGGACCATTTGGAGTGCAGCATTTTAACGACGATTAAAAGGGGCGAGAGGGTTCTGTTACCGTGCGAAGTATGTGGGAAATCTTTTGATCGACCTTCCCTTCTAAAACGTCACATGAGAACGCATACAGGTACGCAATATATCTATCCAACTTATAAACTGATAATGGTCCAATTTTCAAACGACCATAACTCCTACAATAGTGAACGTATTTCATTGAAATTTATTTACGAAGTGGAGCTCATGGGTACCTACAAAAAAGTATTAAACAACATTTCTGTAGAGTGTCGAACAAATTTATTAAAAATTGAAAACAAGTTTTTAAGAAAACCCGGACAGGGGTGGACAATTCAAAAAGTTCAAATCATTCTGAAAAAATTATTTTTGCTCGCGGGGATCAATTGCAATCATTTTTGGTGAATAGACATACCCCCGAAATGCCGCTCATTTTCGAGAAAAAAATTCTTTACTTGGAAATATCATGTGTGGCGAGAAATGCGTGCAATATAAATTGATAATGGTTAAATAGCTTTGATGTTAAAATTGAAGGGGAGAAACCACATGTTTGTATGGTGTGCAACAAGGGATTTTCGACGTCGAGTTCGTTGAACACGCATAAACGGATTCACAGTGGCGAGAAGCCTCATCAGTGCCTTGTCTGCGGTAAGAAGTTCACGGCCTCCTCCAACCTCTATTATCATCGCATGACGCATATCAAGGTTAGTACTGAACAAGTCATTGCTTCGTAGAAAAATCGAATGAACGATGAGAATGATTATTTTCTAATTATTCCCTCGAAAAAAGATGTTTACGAAGATGTGCAAATTGATTGTATGTCGCAGGAAAAACCACATAAGTGTTCCCAATGCTCGAAATCGTTTCCAACGCCCGGAGACCTTAAGAGTCACATGTATGTACATAACGGACTGTGGCCATTTAGGTGCCATATTTGTAGCCGCGGTTTCAGTAAACCGACCAATCTCAAAAACCACATGCTGCTCCATCTTGGCAGATGTTCCAACAAGAAGATCGTCAAATCTATTTCTGACTATTAATCGATTCAAATGAGTCCTCGATGTATTAGAATATCTATCGAGATAATCAAATTTACCTATTACACACATGTATATATGCGATGTTAGCTAAAATTATTCCTCTAAATAATTATTTATCAAAATTATCTTTTCTAAAGTAGAAGTGCCCCGCCATCTTATTTATATTGCCGCTCATTGAAACGCAATTAACGCGAAGGTAAGGAAATAATATTAATAATTATTTTGATACCTGCTTGAAACAATCGTCTTTCACATGTACATTGTTATTACATCACTATTAGAACAAGCATTGATAATTTATATATTTTCGATCCCTTGTTTTAAATGCTCAATTAATTGTTTTGCTCATGATTGCTCGTGTTATTTTTATAATATTTTATTATTACTCGTTAAATTTTATTTAAGTATGTTAATGTTTACAGAAACTTGTATCGATTGTTTAACGGATCAACAATTGTTTCTTTTGATACAACGAAACGAGAAGTATCGAGGAATAATTTTAGATGCATTACTGTATATTTCCGGTATACTTGTATTTAATTGTGTCGATTTAAACGATGAGAGTTAAATTAATTTCGCGAACTTGCATTGTTTAGTCCCTCGTTCTTCGTCTCGATGAAAAGAAGTAACTGCATTTTCATTTAGTTTTGACAAAGTCTGTTTTGTCAATTATAACAAGAGCACATGTACTTCTTTAATAAAATCATATAATTATTACTAGTCTCTTTATTATTTAAGACTTTACCAACCGGTAAACGTCGACCGATAAAACAGTCGATTAATAGGCTATCGGTCGGTAAAGTGTTAAGACTGTGATACAGCGAATCGATCATCGAAGTAAAATTATATGAAGTATAATTAACAACGCAAACATTTTTGCTCCGTTTGCAGTAGCTTTGCAAAATAAGAATATTAATTTTCCGATTCTTTTTTCTGGTTTAGGTATTGAGACGAACATAGGAATGAGATTTCTGTAATTCGATAGTGGAAGGATAGCGCAAAGAAGTTTATAACTCGAAAGGGAACAAAATAGAGATTATTATTATTCTTCAATATTTTTCAGATGTCTCAAATTTAAAGGAGAATTTACATACGATACATATATGTGTATAAATATATTTCAATAATCATCCGCTACTTAAGTTTATACTACTACTAGATTTATTTAAATCATTTGTTAGTCGACAAATATATAATCGTTTTATAGAACAAGAAGTTCGTGATCTATAACATAATGACATTCATCTTCCATCCTTAAAATAGCAAATATTTGTTTAAATTTATTTAAACGTTGCCTGCGATCGAAAGTACAATACAATGATAATATTTAAACATTGAGAATGTAGACTCGAGTAGAAAAAGAAATTATAAACACAGGTATACATTAGGTACAAAGGCGAGGTACAGATATATTTTATTAACCTAATCTTGACTATATGCGTAATTTAAATTGCTCGTAATTAATCTTGTTCGTGTGCCCTTTCATTAGAACATATATAGTCAATATATAAAGTGATTCAAATATATTTTTTATTTCTGCAGATGTTAATAAATGGAACACAATTTGGAGATATTAAGACGTAATATTTATGTATGGAATTCCATTACAATTATTAGATTGATTCTTGAATCACATTATGTACATACAACTACAGACTAGATCCACCGCCGATTAGACCAGCTTTCGTATCGGTAGGTGTCTGTTTTTGGAAACAGTCGTCCAAAAATTGAGCCATTGACAAGTACAGATGACCTTTAACTCCTGCCAAAGTATGACTCACGTCTGGATACACCTGAAAGCAAAGAACATACATAAATTACCACCAAATTATTAAAATTTACCTGAAGCTAAAAATGATGATGGTAAAAAAAATGTACCTGCTGTCTGAAGAGTATCCCTTTCTTGGCAAGGTGTCTTGCGAGTGCCATAGACTGTTGAAACTGAACGTTATCATCCGCAGTACCGTGCACAAGGTAGAACATTTTATTTCGTAAATATTCCACCTTGTCGTACACATCCGATTCAGCGTATCCTTTGAAATTCGATGCAACGTTTGGAAAACCCATGTATCTCTCGGTGTATGCTGAATCTGCGCGAGTACAATTGTTTTAACAATGTGTGTAAACTAAACTGTAACATACCATAAAAAAACATACCGTAAAGTTTCCACGAAACGACTGGCGCCACGCTTATACCGCATTGAAACACATCTTGGTCAGGTTGTGCCAACGACATGGCTGCCACGAAGCCCCCATAGCTCCAACCCCATATGGCCACTCGTTGTTTGTCCACAAAATGCAACGAGTCTCTCAAATATCTAGAATCATACACGAAATTGCGCTCAGATGTACCTTTAATAATAATCTCCACTGTACAATATGTTCAATAATCATGTGCAATATTGTTAACACATTACCGACCGATAGCCTATTAATCGACTGTTTTACCGGCCAAACACTTACCGACCGATAGCGTATTAATCAACTGTTTTACCGATCAACGCTTACCGACCGATAGCCGATTAATCAACCGCTACCGGTCGGTAAAGTGTTAATAATCACACTTTCTACATGTACGCAATAATTTATACTTACTCGGTAACTTCGAGCTGATCAGCGACTTCTACGAACCCGAGCCTGTAGTAGACTTCGTGAAGAAACTTGTAACCTTGACCCCCACTGCCCCTACCATCGATTTGCGCGACGATCATGTTTTTCCTGCTGGCCAAATACGTGTTCCAGTCTATTTTAAACATGTCTGTAACCAACTGCGAACCTGGGGCACCGTACCTACGAAACCGTGAAACGAATTAGATCAATTGTAAAAAGAATATTCAACGTAGCCAATTATTTAAGTGTACTTACACTTGCACGATCAGAGGGTACCGTGTGATTTCATCTTCTCTCAACCCAGGCGGTAGATGCAATCTCACTTGTGCGTTGTATCCGCCACTTATTTGGACAGGGAACGTTTTGACTTGTGGAAGCGCGAGATTGGCAACTTTTTCCTAAATAAACAATTTGTTGATCCCGATTATGAGAACGCGAAAGGGAGATCGATGAAACATTGATTCCATCTATCTCTCTTCGGGTCTCCGGTTGCATGTAATTGGTGTTACTCGGGACCAAGAAACCCTCGTCTCGAGTACCACCAAGCTAATGGCTGCGAATTTGGAATAGTCTATTAACGCATTACCGACCGATAGCCTATTAATCGACTTTTTTACCGGCCGACACTTACCGACCGATAGCGTATTAATAAACTTTTTTACCGACCAACGCTTACCGACCGATAGCGTATTGATAAACTTTTTTACCGACCAACGCTTACCGACCGATAGCCGATTATTCAACCGCTACCGGTCGGTAAAGTGTTAAGATGCAAGGGAGAATTGTACACCGTTTAAAATCCATTCTTTTCATTAGACGCTATTGATATATAGTGTGATCTTGTCTCAGGAATGATATTAATTCGAATATATAAAATTATAACACTTGGAACTTGGAAAATACCAGAATTGGAAATAGAAAGATAACTTACACGCAATAAAGTATTGTTCTGCAGTACGTAAATAAGACGTGGCGTAGGAAGTTCAGTTTTGTATAAAGCAACTGTTGGTATATTAGGTCCGTAACATTCTAACACGAAATAGTTTGTACTGCCCGGTGGGAATATAGCATTGTAGTATTGACAAGGCTCTTCGGTGAATTCTGCAAGTAAAAAGAGAGTTGTTTCGTTGGAACAGTAGTATGGTACAACGGTATAGTCAGACACTCTACAACATTCACCGAAACTATTAAAAATACGCTAACTATTGACTTCTATATCGTTTGTAGATGCTTACTCGGGGGAGCTTGTACTTTTAATTTTTGTTTCTTCGTGACTGTCTCCTTTTGCTCCTGTTGCTCCGCGTTTGATGTACTATCAGTTTGTACTTCGTAGTGATCGTGTATGTAATTATTGCCAGACCAGGAGCTGTGGTAACGAGACCCGGTTGTTCGATGATTATTTCGGCCCCCTTCCGGTGTTTCTGTGCATGTGATGCATACAGCGGGATGTAGAGACGAGCCTACATGAGGCAATACCGATTTCACGTAATACAGGTGTCTTTGACTCGGTCGTATGGTTGGAATACCTATAAAGTATCTATGCAAAATAGTTAAATCAGACTTAAGAATAATTACCATTATCCTATTAATTAATTTACAATCAAGTACATTTGACTTCTTATGAAGTATACTTCTGTACACTACTACCCATAGTTGTACTATCATGCATAATTTTTTTAGAACGATTTCAAATTTTTTAATTTTGTCCAAAAATTTTAAATATCTTTCTGAATTTTTTTTCTCGAAAATGCGTAGGATTTCGGGGGTATGTGTATTCACCAAAAATGTTTGCATTTGACCCCAGAATCTAGAAATAATTTTTTTAGAACGATTTGAAATTTCTTTTTTCGTCGAAAAATTTCATAGCTTCTCGAATTTTTTTCTCGAAAACGCGTAGGAATTCGAGAGTATGTCTATTCGCAAAAAATGATTGTAATTAACTCTCCTAGCTTAAAATATTTTTTTTAGAACGATTGGAAATTTTTTTTTTCGTCGAAAAATTTCATAGCTTCTCGAATTTTTTTCTCGAAACTGGGTAGGATTTCGAGGGTACGTCTAATGACCAAAAATGGTTGTATTTGACTCCAGAATATAGAAATAATTTTTTTAGAACGATTCGAAATTTTTTTTTCGACGAAAAATTGAGGCACCTACCCCCTGTCGATTTTTCTTAAAAATCAGTTTTTCATTTTTAATCATTTTGTTTGACACCCTACAGAAAAGTTGTCTAATACTTTTTTGTAGGTACCCATGGGCTCTACTTCAGAAAAAAATTTCATTGAAATATATTCACTATTATAGGAGTTATGGCTGTTTGAAAATTGGATCATTTTTATGTGGTTTTTCGAACTTTACGGGGTCAAGGATCAACTTTTCGAATATTTTTGCGATTTGTACATATTCTCCACTAAAATACGCGTAGTTTGCTTTTTTAAACATTAAAATCGTCCAATCCGTTCGGGAGTTATGACGTTTTAAAGATTCGCATGAAATTTCAGTGAAACATATCAACGCATGGTTAGACATTTCAGTAAGGAATTTTTTTCTCGATAATGGTTAGGATTTCGGGGGTATGTCTATTGACCTAAAATGATTGTAATTGGCCCATGCAACCGAAAATAATTTTTCCAGAACGATTTAGAACTTTTTAATTTTTCCGAAAATTTCACTTACTCGAATTTTTTTCTCGAAAGTGGTTAGGAATTCGTAGGTACGTGTATCGACAAAAAAGGATTGTAATTAACTCCTGCAGCCGAAAATAATTTTTCCAGAATGATTTAAAACTTTTAATTTTTCCGAAAATTTCACACTTACTCGAATTTTTTTCTCGAAAGTGGTTTGGATTTCGTAGGTACATGTATTGACAAAAAGGGATTGTAATTGACTCCTGCAGCCGAAAATAATTTTTCCAGAATGATTTGAAATTTTTTATTTTAATTTTTTAATAACTTTTTAACGAAGCCTCAATCGACAAATTGATATTCGTGATTTTCGTCTTATTTTGGCCTCTAGAATCTCCCATTAAAATTTTACCTATATTGTACGCTAAGTTTTTGTTAATAATTAGTAAATTATAGTGCAATAGACTCACATGGTATTGTTTATCTGATCCCACGCCACTATTTGGGTGACTTCGAATTTCCCATGCGTGAGGGGAACGACCAATTTTCTAGCAACATTCACCCAGACAATGTGTTTGTAATAACCACTTGGACCATCCTTAACCGGGTTTATGGCAATATAACTGCTGCCATTTGTCGAGAAGATAGGGGATTCGGGGGGTGTGTCGACCCAACCATGATCTTCAGACGATATTCTTTGAATTTCCTACATGAAATATTCGAATCAACCAAAAGATAGTACATTACTTTCAGAATACAAGCCATAATTAGGGGGTTCCCAATAAGATCGATAGAACTTTCGATTGTCATATTTGTGTATTTAAAAGTGGTTTCAACTAGACGATACCACGTTTCTGTTGAAATTATTAAAAAGTCTAATGGCGTCTAAACGTAAGACTGCTAATTTAGACGCCATTAGATTAGCCAAAGCATCGTGTTATCAGCGAGACACAGCCTGATTTATTTACGATAATGTATTAGGTCGTACCATAAGTTCGTGCCGTTCGATATTCTGAAATTGATAAAGATAAAATTTGTAATCTAATAAAAAACAAAGAAAATTTGTCAGTTGAGGTGATTTCTGAAATTTCGAACATAGTAACATCAACAATTCATAGAAATTTGAAACAAATAGATATTGTGTCAAAGTTCAAAGTTTGGAATCCACACTAACTTATGGAACAAAATTCTCTTAATCGTGGTAGAGCCTGGTTGCGTAAATATTTCTGTTAGCATATAATAACAACCGAATCTTATAAGATATAAAATATAACAATCTCCAGGCTTATTAGTGGATAAACAATTTGAAAATGTCAACGTTTTAATGAAAAGCGTTAAACTAAATTTGTATAAAATATCCAGCAAGTTTTGGAGCGACGATACAATGGCTTTGCCAAAAGAAGGGTAAGGAGTTGTTGAACGAGAAGAGGTTTACTACATTTTATAAAATTCCATCAATCGTTTAAAATATTACTTCAAGTACGACCTAATATTTCGCGTATAAGTTCTGTAGTTCTTGCTGGGAAACCCGGAAGTCGCGATATACGTACCTGACAGTGCCACATTGGACTCTTACAAATAGTTACGACGGATAGGTTTTGTGCCCGTGTCAGCCATGTTATGCACACTTCCGTTAAAGACACCCAGGAAGCCGTGGTAAAGTAATGTTCCCTGTTAATGGACATAGTCGTGTGGTCAGGACGGATAGTGGTCGAGTTATTTCGCCGTTTTCGGAATGTGGACAGTGTCCAAGCACCCCAGGAACTCTCTTTTCCTGGCGATGGCGAGGGGTTACAGGTTTTGCACCCCCCCAAAACTAAACTATTTGTGTTACAATAGCTTGGGGGAAAGAAATTTGGGCGAATCTGTTCGCAAGATGCACCAAATTTGATGATTAAGAAAAGCAATTAAACGTTTGACGTTACGCCAATTTAAATCGAATTTACGAGTGTTCTGATTTCTATCTTTCTAATATTCGTGTTTAAAAGTGTTGGTTCCAGACATCGGTCGTGTGTCGTGGTAGATATTTATATTCGAATGCAGTGAAACACCTGTCGAAAATAAAAAACGTGTTCGATATCGTTTGATATCGTTTGTTCGATTCGCCTGGGTCAAACGAAATTGTGATTGCAAATGATTCTAAGCGCAGATAAGCGAGATACGTTCAAACAATACTTGTCTGGCTCGGCAAATGATTTTTCGTTATATTTATGTATAATACGTACATAATACGCATCTGACATGTTTCGTCTGGTAAGGATCGAAGCTTTACAACCAAATCTGGATCCTCCACGAGTGATTGTATTGCAGATCACGCTATACAGCGGCGCAATAACGCTAATCGCGCGGTTAAGTTGTTATAATAGTCGACTTCGTAAATTCCTCATTAATGCATTACGCTGTAAACCAGTTAACATTAATTCTTACTGTCGAAAGCGAAACAGACCGTCCGTACATAAGAAATATGACTTATCTTTTCGTTCGTATCGATGATCGATTCTTTCTTCCGTCTTTGCTATTCCCTTCGACGTCGAAACAGCCCTTTCCTCCCATGATTCGAATGCATCAGTCTCCGACCAGTCTCTTCCCCTCGTCCTGGTAAACATTCAATCCTCTTAGTCCTGCGCAGAGTTGGGCGTTACGATAATTGACTAATCAATCGATTACTAATAGATTTAGTCGTTAGAATTAAAGATTTAGTCCACGTTAATTGATTGTCTATTCAAATTAATCGCTCAAAACGATCGACGATTAACGATTAAAAATAAGTAAAATTTGCTCGAACGTTGTTGAGCAAAATGTAACGTAATTAACGATTGACTTGAAATTGTAATTTCTGCAATTAGTTGCAACTGCATTTCTTAATTGAAACTTTAATTACATTATATTTTGCTGAACAATGTTTTTATAGATTTACAAAAACAAAATTAAAATGAACGCTGTTTCTATGTATATCGTATTTAGTTTAGTTTATTTATAGAAAAATTATGTTTCTGACAAAGAAGAACTCTAAGTTCATGAATTTTATTGCTCGTAACAAAAGTGTAAGAATAAGATCGTCGATCGTGATGAGTGTTTAATGATTATCCATTTGAATCGTGATCGTCAATCATTAGCATTAGTTTAATTAAATTTTGCCCAACGCTGGCCCTACTTTAGTCCAGACCAAGCCTGTTCAACTCTGCCTGTGGGGAGTAAGAGCATAATGCGTGAACTATGCGAGGAGCCAAGAGAAATGCACAGAGCATTTTCCCCCATTCTGTGGTCATCAAACAAGGAAAATGCAAAACCTTCGGGACACCGATTTTACTCGAACTTTAATAGGGTAAATTATTAATCAACGCGTTCCAACGCGTCAACATGGTTCAAAACGATTCCTCAGACTCAGAATTCTCTTAGAATCGAAGCCTGCTAGTCATCCTACCGATTGGGCTCTGATTTTGATTAAAAATTGTCGAATTTGGGGAGATGCCAATCCTTAGAAAGTTACTCTGTGTGTTCCATGGCTGATGGAGCCATTGGCCTTCGAATTTATGGTCTTGCAACAGTATATGACTTAGAATTCTCTCAGGATCGAAGCCTGCTAGTCATCCTACCGATTGGGCTCTGATTTTGATTAAAAATTGTCGAATTTGGGGAGATGCCAATCTTTAAAAAGTTACTCTGCGTGTTCCATGGCTTGTAGAGCCATTGGCCTTCGAATTTATGGTCTTGCAACAGTATATGACTTAGAATTCTCTCAGGATCGAAGCCTGCTAGTCATCCTACCGATTGGGCTCTGATTTTGATTAAAAATTATCGAATTTGGGGAGATGCTAATCCTTAGAAAGTTACTCTGCGTGTTCCATGGCTTGTGGAGCCATTGGCCTTCGAGTTTATGGTCTTACAACAGTATATGACTTAGAATTCTCTCAGGATCGAAGCCTGCTAGTCATCCTACCGATTGGGCTCTGATTTTGATTAAAAATTATCGAATTTGGGGAGATGCTAATCCTTAGAAAGTTACTCTGCGTGTTCCATGGCTTGTGGAGCCATTGGCCTTCGAGTTTATGGTCTTACAACAGTATATGACTTAGAATTCTCTCAGGATCGAAGCCTGCTAGTCATCCTACCGATTGGGCTCTGATTTTGATTAAAAATTATCGAATTTGGGGAGATGCTAATCCTTAGAAAGTTACTCTGCGTGTTCCATGGCTTGTGGAGCCATTGGCCTTCGAATTTATGGTCTTGCAACAGTATATGACTTAGAATTCTCTCAGGATCGAAGCCTGCTAGTCATCCTACCGATTGGGCTCTGATTTTGATTAAAAATTGACGAATTTGGGGAGATGCTAATCCTTAGAAAGTTACTCTGTGTGTTCCATGGCTGATGGAGCCATTGGCCTTCGAGTTTATGATCTTACAACAGTATATGACTTAGAATTCTCTCAGGATCGAAGCCTGCTAGTCATCCTACCGATTGGGCTCTGATTTTGATTAAAAATTGTCGAATTTGGGGAGATGCCAATCTTTAGAAAGTTACTCTGCGTGTTCCATGGCTGGTGGAGCCATTGGCCTTCGAGTTTATGGTCTTACAACAGTATATGACTTAGAATTCTCTCAGGATCGAAGCCTGCTAGTCATCCTACCGATTGGGCTCTGATTTTGATTAAAAATTATCGAATTTGGGGAGATGCTAATCCTTAGAAAGTTACTCTGCGTGTTCCATGGCTTGTGGAGCCATTGGCCTTCGAGTTTATGGTCTTACAACAGTATATGACTTAGAATTCTCTCAGGATCGAAGCCTGCTAGTCATCCTACCGATTGGGCTCTGATTTTGATTAAAAATTATCGAATTTGGGGAGATGCTAATCCTTAGAAAGTTACTCTGCGTGTTCCATGGCTTGTGGAGCCATTGGCCTTCGAATTTATGGTCTTGCAACAGTATATGACTTAGAATTCTCTCAGGATCGAAGCCTGCTAGTCATCCTACCGATTGGGCTCTGATTTTGATTAAAAATTGTCGAATTTGGGGAGATGCCAATCCTTAGAAAGTTACTCTGTGTGTTCCATGGCTGATGGAGCCATTGGCCTTCGAATTTATGGTCTTGCAACAGTATATGACTTAGAATTCTCTCAGGATCGAAGCCTGCTAGTCATCCTACCGATTGGGCTCTGATTTTGATTAAAAATTGTCGAATTTGGGGAGATGCCAATCTTTAAAAAGTTACTCTGCGTGTTCCATGGCTTGTGGAGCCATTGGCCTTCGAGTTTATGATCTTGCAACAGTATATGACTTAGAATCCTCTCAGGATCGAAGCCTGCTAGTCATCCTACCGATTGGGCTCTGATTTTGATTAAAAATTATCGAATTTGGGGAGATGCTAATCCTTAGAAAGTTACTCTGTGTGTTCCATGGCTTGTGGAGCCATTGGCCTTCGAGTTTATGGTCTTACAACAGTATATGACTTAGAATTCTCTCAGGATCGAAGCCTGCTAGTCATCCTACCGATTGGGCTCTGATTTTGATTAAAAATTGTCGAATTTGGGGAGATGCCAATCCTTAGAAAGTTACTCTGCGTGTTCCATGGCTTGTGGAGCCATTGGCCTTCGAGTTTATGATCTTACAACAGTATATTTTCGTAAAGAAGGTGATTGAGATCTACCAGATGGTCTTGCACTCTCCTTGTAAGTAGTATGTCTCAGATTGATGATGTTCCCAGAGCACTCGCGGCCAGCACTCGAATCAATCGCTCTTTTCAATTCAATCGTGTCTATTTCGCGAGAAACTGTGATTTTTAATTCATTAAAAAACAATTTGAATATACTTATGCGTGTATTACATCACCATGACATTCCCTGTCACGTGGCTTGCTACTCTTCCACAGGCTCTGCTCTTTTTCGAGTTGAACATGCCTGGTATAGGCCTCTCACACGATTAAACATTATTTACATTACATCACATACGTTACAACAACACCTACTCCAATTTTACTTAAAAATATTCTGCCAAAATGGTAATTCTGTTCGTTCAATCAGCAATACTTAATTAATATTCTAAAATGTATCGTTTGATATGTATATTTGACTAAGACTTTTACAATTTGAGAAAGATCTTGCTGTCGTGTACATAGTGTAATGTAACTAATGTTCAATAATGCGTAAGGACCAGGGTAACACAGATCTAAGAGGACTCGATGTTTACAGGATGCTAGGGAGATACAACATTCATGTAATGCAGGGGAAATCGAGGGAAATGCAAAGAAAAAGTCACTAATCCCCGGAAAAAGGATAAATCTGTTTTCTTAAGCATCTAGTGACAGTCTGTTTCAGCAGTAGGGATTGATACAGCGTAATGAGTTCCAAGCAATGGGGATGAGAGCGTGATAAAGGGTTAAACAGAAAGTATGGAGAATCGGGTCACGAAATAGAAGAAATCTGAAGTAACGAAGTCGAGTCAACTATTATTGCAACTTACTGTGCGATTGAGCATTTTATTGCGGATGAAGTAAACCACCTCAGCTATTGTTTGCTATCTAGCGTGCCCCTGCTATAAAATCATTCAAGGATGGAGATCTGAAGCTTCGATTTTTACCAGACAGAACGAAACAGATGCTTATTATGTACACGTTGCACATAAATAACGAAATAATATATACTACCTATACTATAGCGTACTATAATAATATACCATTGTTATTTCGGGAGAAAGAGTAGGATGAACAGGTACATATAAGCAACTAACAGTCATACGTATTCCGGAGCAAATTAACCTTCCTTGGATCGCGAACTTTTATACGTTCTATTTAATTTAATTTTTATTTAAATCGTAACTTTTGTTGTTTTAATTCGTCCAAGTGTATTTATATTCTGATCGTTACTCGAGATATAAATCTAGATGAAAGCTTTGCTGGCTGGCCGCACTTAAAGTCCCGAATATCAAATGTATAAACTCTTTGATTACTTTGCTGGATTAATTTCGTTTCTATTCTTCCTTCAGAGCACTGAGGGACCTTAAAGTCTCAGTGCCCAAAAAGTGTGTCGTCAAGCCGATCCTAGATCACTATAGCCCCCTGCTGTTAGGTACGCTATTGTCTTGGCTCCTCACTGTCTTTACGAGCGCTTTTATGCACCGTGATTCGCTCGCCATTTGACTCGAAATTCGGCGAACAACTTTTCCCTGATACTTTCTTTTCTGTAATGCTTTAGGTGCGTCGTCCTTTGGATGATCGCCTAACTTGTGAATTCTCTCTCCACGAAACTAATGAAAATTGACCTCGTTTGTAACTCACATGTATTATTGGGACACAACGCTATTAGTAACAGGTATCGGGGTGCAGATTCAACGAGTGGCAGTTTCTTTGTGTCGATTTGGAAAATGACTTACGTATTCTCGATGATCGGTGGCGGTTTCACTAACTTCGTATGAATGTTCTTCGGGTCTGCCAAATCAGCCACGTAGAGTCTCACCACAGGATTCGGTGTACCAGGCTAAATAATCAAAATAATATTTATTTATGAAATTGTACATCGAACTATTTAAAAGAAACATACGGATTTCTATACACGAAGGTTAACAAATAAAAGTGTTCGACCAAGAGGAAGTATTTGGTCCCGGTAATCTTTCTAGAAAATTCTAAAACTAGCTTGATTAATCAGAAAAATTAGACGAATTTGTGGAAACGTGATACCTTGGGATAGCGCAACGATCGTACGTCGGGGTAAAGAGCTTTGTTCCCTTCTCCGTACCACGATATATGCATTTCCTCCACTAGGGAATCGTTAAAAGAAGCATACAGCATCATATGGCCATCCGACGACATCCAAATCGCTTCTGCACAGTGTAATATCTCTTCTACGAAATGAAATTAACAGCGAATCCCATTTACATACGTTCTCTCGATGATAAGTCTCGATGGAATATGTGTATTACCTTCGTAGAGCCAATCAGGCAATCCGTTTGACAAAATACCTGGGATCGCTGTGTTGGTAACTCGGTATCCCGTGTTACTCATGGGGCCAGTTATGTAATAAATATCATAATCTTGCACCATGACCAGTCCGTGGCCACGAGGGGTCCATTGCGCTAATAAAAGATACGGGTTGCCTCCTTTCTCTGGATGAGGAGTCAGTAGAATGATTTCTCTACAATAATCAAACGCGTACAGACATATTTTTAGGATTGGAGACCTTAGTAATCATTGTACCGTCAGAAGCAACAGAAATAGTATTTCACTAACCGTGTGTTCACATCGTATATCCTATATTGCGCTAAATACGAATGTCGGAAGAGTTTCTTCACATTGTGCGCGAGAAGCAAGTATTTACGATCGGGTGATAACGAGAACTTGGCAGGATTCAGTCTCCTCTAAACGGAGAAATATCACTTAATGCTTTATTCTATAAATCATTATATCAATCGACGTAAACTTACAAAAGTTTCGTTAGGCATTAAACTGCGAGAGGTTACGTTTCTTTGAGAAATATGTAACAGGGAGATACCGCCCCAAACGTCTCTGTAGCAAATGTGCTGTTCGCTCGCCCACGATCCATTGAAAAGTAGGGGTGTTAATTCTCCGGAGAGTACCTTGAAAATTGATTCGTTTCGCGTTGAAACAGTAATTAAATTACTCGTCAACGATTCTTTACTAATAACGCAAATTACAAGGAATGTGATCAAAGATAGAGAAAGAAAGTAAATGGCCAATGGTATGATTTGTGCAAGGTCTCGTGTGCTTGAACTAATTAGTCCAATTACAGCTACAATCGTGAGTGGGCCAAGTGTGAAATTACCATTGCGACAGCTGCTTGAAACAAAGTTGTTCGCAATATTGTTACCACTGCAATTAAGTTCAAATAACTTCGCGTGGACACAAAGGAAATGCATAGTAATTAATCTGTGTAAACAAAAACATCTCTGATCCCTTTCTTTCAACCCTTTGTTAGAAACGAGCGAGCCACAGTTGGCCCTTTCCCCCATCCTCGCAAGTGCAAGCGTCGAGGGTGGGGGCGAATCGACTGGGTGAAAGGCAAGTCGTGTGGCGCGCAGCGGAGGGACAGTTGGTCGGGGTCGACCGTGGCGAACGGTCGACCCGACAGCAGCTAAGGGGAGGGGTTACTTTCCTCTTTCTCTGGATCTATTGATTCGTCAGAGAACTATCCCCCTAGTCTTAGGAATTGGGGCACGTGGCAATCGTTCATCCGTGGATGAAATGACTTTGCTGCTCTCTTCGAAACTTCCTATTAACAGCTCGTGTTTTGGGAGTTTGTTAGACAATTTAAATGCATAAAGGATGTTAGAATCGTATCAAAGTGGTTTTGATCTCGGTTTGCTGAGGGTTTTGCGATGGTCGAATTAGATGTCCCAGTTTTTGCAAAGTATTACACATTGGCATGCTAATAATCGATATTACGTACCTCGGAGAGTCGCAACCGAGCACCTCGGACTCTAGGACCCTCGTCCGGTGGAGTCAATAGGGCTACCGATGTCACGATCAGAGCTAGGACCGCAACAATCACGAGCAGAGCTATCAAAATGCCACGCCAATTCCTCTGATTCGGGTTTGCTGATACTAGCTCCTATCACAAAGATACTCACTAATGCCTATGTCAAATATTTCAATTTTAGAGGGTTATTCAAATTAAGTGTCGCATTTTTTAACGAATAGATCATCGCCAAATATAAAGAAATCATTATGGAACACATTGGTGTAGCAACGTTTACAAATTATTATAAACATTTAAAAATAAAAGAAAATAAAGAAACTCGAAGTATATTAAGTAGCTTGTGTTTAAAGATATGACATTAAATTTGGATAACCCTGCATTTATAGACTTAGACTAAGCTGAGTTGACTAATGAGGTACAATATATGGTCCACGAAAAAATGATAGCCCTAAAATTTTAATATGATATTTATTTTGCAAGGTAGTAAGTTTAATATATTTATAAACGTTCCACAAGCTTCCTTATGCCACCGAAAAAGATGAGAAAAATTGTTCCTCTAAAGTCTAATGGAAAAGAACTCTCTCATAGAATGTTAGGGGAAGAAATATAAGCATAAGCAAGTGGACGCCACGAAGGACTCTCGAAGGAGCTGATTTTAGAAATACTCGGGAAGAGAAGAAGCCAATGTCGTCGAAGATTAGTTTCTCTTCTAAAATATGAATTTTTTTTACAAAAAAATGTGTATTAAAGAACAGAAAATCGTTTAAATAAATCGAAGACGATGGCGTTTCGTAAATTTGTTGCTGTGATAACATACATGCGTATTAATTCTGTTATTAGACCAAGAAACTATGTTGTAAAATGGCGAATCGATCGAACTAACTGTTGTTCTAATCTCCTGGTTTGTGAATGTTAGGTAGCCCATTGTTGTTAGATTCGTGCTTAGATATTTTGGCCCTTACTTACCTTAAACACACTTTATCCCCACATATGGATGATTGTAATACTTGTGTACATACATATGGTACGAATTTAATTAAATAATTAATTTATCAAGGAATTTTTATCCAACGTTCATTTTACCAACACTGAATTTGTAACTTTAATCTTGATATAACAGTAACAAATTATGGGAATCATTCTTAAAGAGAGTTCTTTTCATTCACACGGTTTAAAATATTTTTAGTTGTGAGAGGTGAACTATTGTTTCGATAGTAAAAACGTAACAAGAAGTAGTTTCGTATAACCATTTATTTCAAACAATAATATCAGTGTACAAATAATCGTCAAAGCGTCAAAATAGTTGATTCAAACTTCTTTCTTTTTCTTATGAAATTGGATAATGCTTGCGTTGAAAGAAATTATGTGTCTCGTAGTCGAATTAAGGGAGATTGAACGCGAAAGACAAATTTGTTCCACGGAGGAAATAAAAAAATCGACTACGAGACAGATAATAAATTCTTTTTTTTACTTTTAAGGACGTCTGCCTGCGTCCTCATAACATAGCGCCCAGTGGCCCCATGAAGTGGTACGATGCTGCGGACTTGTCCCTTCTGTCCCTGCCTTCTCACGGCCCTGGTTGCGTTAAATAACTTTTTACACAATGAATCGGAAATTTAACATCTTTTTCCCCCACTGATAAATCGATAAGTTCGAGTGTCACTCAATAATTACATATTATCGATATCTTTATCTAGAATAACAGTGACGTTATCTGTGTCAACGCGATAAATAGATTTAGGCTGATGTTTACAAATTCTTTACAAGAATTCTTTTTTATTGTTATGATAAATAATTAGCCATTTTCCTGGTGGTAAATTAGATTTGGATAAAAAATTGCAATGTATGTATGCCCATGATGGTTTCGTTCAAAATAAATGTGCAATCTGTATTACTGATATTCAAAGTGAACATTTAAATTTCCAATTCATTATACAAAAAGCTGTTCCACGCAACTAACAATTAATCACGTGCATATGGGCTACCTGAAATCCACAAACCAGAAAATCTTCTTAGAATAACAGTTAGTTCGACCGATCCACCATTTTACAATATAGCTTCTTAATCAGCACATACACTATAACAGCAAACACTAGCGTAAAATAAATAACGTCAGGCTTGAAAAAGAGCGACGACTATTCGTAGAATAGATCTTTCATCTCTTGCAATCGATTTCATTGATCTGCCAGGGCAATGACCACAGTTTTGTTAAATATTAATACCTATAATTACATTTTATAGAACAGATTCTGTTGTGTAACATTTATTCTATTTACTCACGAATCATTTGAATTAGTCAACTTTGTTGTTAATTAACAGACTGTATAATTTTAAAAACAGACTTTGGATAATTAGCGAATATTCGCAATATTTTCGAGGACACCTCTCGTTTAAATTCATTGTTTAAAGCAAACGAATCGCGATACGTTTTAATGTTCCTCTCGAAATCATGCAAATTAAATTATTCTAAGTGTTCGTGTCGAATGTTTTATTCTACGGTGCTACTTACGTTTCCCTTTTCGTACAAAATCAGAATTATCAAAATTACAACAGAAAAACAAAGTGTAAATAGAAAAATAAGAATTACTCGATTTAATTAAAACACGCATGCTGCTTTGAGGGATCAACATAGGGAGTATTATCTTCTCAAAGTAATCTTTAGTCATTCGTCATACTTAACCAGTATCAAAGAAATTCGTCTTATTCTTCTATTCGATAAAAGAAATAAAAATTTAATTATAACGGGTGAAAAAGAAGATTAATTACCTCGTCGTCGTAAGTGTTATCGTGGTCTGCCATCGATGAAGCAAATTATCTGGCGATACTGTGGGATTAAGGTGGCAGATAACGGAAGATTATGATAAAATCCTGTATCCAATTGTGCTGTGCCCCGTTTAACGAGATCTATGCACGCGCGCACTGATTTAACACACAACACGGAAATAAAAGGGACAGAGGGAGAGAAAAGGGGAACTATTTATCGCGAAACGATTCTTTAGCAGGGCGCTATTCCTTTAGCCACCATTTACACCGTGAGAAAGTTTGGTACTGCCACGAAGATTGTTCCCCGATGATGCTGCGAGAACGAAGCCTGCGCGATTCTGATGCTGCGCGATTCCATCCTTCCCTTTACACTCATTCCTCTTTCGCCTGCTCCGAAAGTAGATCATTAAAGCCCCGTAATTATTTTATTTTACGAAAGTAAACATTTTACTTCGTAAACCGAGGCTCCTTAACCCGGGACTTCGTTCGCGCTAGATCGAGAACAATGATCCACGCGATCCTTTCTCAAATTATCCTTCGATATTATTAATACGAAACCATCCTCTTTATATCAAACAGAAAACAATACCAAATATAGTTTTGTCCATCCAAAAATATATCTTTATCAATTGTTACTTTATCTCTTCGTGATTAGATTCGAATTATCGCTAATGAATAAGCTTCGATAAATTTTTTATAAATAGATGGAGGTTTTCAATGTCCATCGTGATCCTTACTTTTAGTATCATTTTGCATGACAATATGTTGCTTGTACCTATATGTATATCGTTATTAATGCTCGAGAATTTCACTCCTTTCAAGTAAAAAATGTGTCATTGATACAATCGATATAGGTCAATATTAAAAAATCAATCGTGTTACGGGAACGTTCCATTTTGAATTTATTTGCAATTGATATTAAATCGAATACACCAGCTTCAGTCGAGTTAAATATAATCTAGGATCGATAATTATTTCTTAATTTAAACATCAACAAATCAGTCGATGGATAACGATGATACATCTCCTAGTTTCTTCATTTTTATATATAAATATTTCGACAATGAATTAAGCAGCTTTAAACTTATTAATTTAAAATTCTCATTATGCAAATATACATCATTTTCATTAAAAGTACAATACAAGAAAAAAAATACATCGAACATCATCGATCGTCGCATGAAATTAATGTTTTCCATTTACATTCCTGAGCAGAGGATATTTCTTAAAATTTGAATACATGTGTAAGTTTAGTGGTAAGTTATAAAGCTTTAATATAGGACCTAGTGTATTCACGGACGTAGATCAATATCTACTGCGTTTGCGTGTAAGGCAGGTACGTGGTCTAGCTTGAAAACTCGTCCACTGTTTACTTAATTTATTTCAATTTATATATATTCAACAAATATGCTATTATTTCGAATAAAAATCGCAAGGATTTTGATAATAATATCAAAGAAATGCTCAGGAATAATTAAAAAATAATACTGGAATTTGGAACTTGGATTTTGGAATTTAAAACATATATTTGAAGAATATTACTTTAGAAATCTTACAAATATTATCTTACAAATAAGTCTTGTATACATATGTTATATTAAATTAAGGTACAAATTTGTTCTATAATAAATAATATATTACAATAAATTTATTTTTTCTTCTATTACGATCTATTATACTTGACCTTAACTAATTCTACAGAATAAATTAGATAAGTATTAAAAAATATTGAACTTGATACAATGTCAATTTAATTTGAAACATTTTAACACTTTCAAGAGTTTCAAGCTCCGGATCACATTCGAATCGATTCAAATTTGTCGCTATATATATTAATTCGAATGCTTTCACTCCCATTATTAATTGCAACACTCGGAAAGATTCGAAATCCCGCCATTGGGAATATCTTCGGTCCGCCATCTTGTCGGCACATTTAGTTCCGAAACTTCCGCGCGTGGCGCTGCAGAGCGGAGCAACACACACGATTATCATTGTCGATACGACTGAAAATGCCCCACTACCAGTGCAATTCGAACTTTTATGGAATTGAAATGTTTTATCTTCTCTTATCTTGCTTTAATTTTTATTACAAAATGCTTTGTAACAAAAATAAATGGATTTCACTAAATGTTTAGTTTCCTGTAGCTTATCATTTGTGGAAAATTTTCAGAGCTTTCAACGATGTTCCTCAAGTAACTTTAGAGATCTAAGATAGGAAGCATCTTATTTTCGATCACCAGTACTCTAAAAACTATTTACAGTGATAAATAAACATGTTACGTATTTTTGTTCAAAATAAAAGTCGGACGAAACTTTTGCAAACATGTTTGTTGTTCCAAGATAGAAGAACATTTGCAGATAAGGTAAGTATGCGAAATGAATTCTTAGGTTAACTTGCGAATTTCTACTTTACTGGCAAAAAGCGCTTAACGCCTCGCTGATTTAAAAGTATAAAATCTAATTTATTAATTGTAATTACCACGTCGCAGTCTTATAACAAATAATTGCTACCATTAAGTCATTGTACAATAGAATTTTCTGTGAAACAGTATGTTACGTATACTTTACTTTTACAATTGAAATTAATGTGTATGTGTCTTGTTATTATTATATATTAAGCATATTTATTTCATTAGAATATGCTTAATTATTTTATTAATGTAATAATAGTTTAATATAATGTCTCTTGAAAACTTCTAATAATTCCTATGTAACTTTGTAGAAAATTATCAAGAGAATCGTACAAAATGAAAATAAATCCAATACTTTAGCGCTAGATAAATTAAAGAATGGGTTGCAAACAATAAAAAAGACTATTGTACCATGGAACAGCAATGATCAGGATGAGCAAATTCCATGGTCAAATCTTACACCACGTATGTCACAAAATTGTGATGTTGTTATAATTGGAGGTGGTGTAATTGGTAGTTCCATAGCTTACTGGTTAAAAAAACGAGTTTACAAGGATTTCAAAGTTATAGTCGTCGAAAAAGACCCCACAGTATGTTTAGGTTTATACAATTCAGTTTAGTTTTAATTAACTATACCAATTAACCACTTCGGATTTCCTGTACACTGTAATGTACACGAACGTCGACTTAAAATAGTAAATGTTACCGAAATGTATCGTTCTTTCACGACGTGTTTACATCCCCACTCCTGCTGCATTTTTTATGGCAGTAATATTGTACGAAGTATTGCGAATTTCGAGAATTTTAAGAATCTTAAGAATACGGTCATAAATTTCTCTTATCTAATTACGAACAATTGAATGGATGGTTTTGGATTTTCTTAGAATGATCTTTTATAAGGTTAAAAAATGAACACTTCCGGTGATCTTCGATATTTTCGAGATCCTGCATACCCTTAATATTTACACTAGAAATAAGTCGATAAATATCGCCGGAATTATTAAAATTTACACGACTATTATACTTGTTTAACTCGCTTACATTTATTAAAAGAAAAATATTCAATTCCAAAGTGGTTAAATGCTGTAAAATCAGATAATAATATCAGTAATAACTAATGTTATTTTAGTTGAATAAATTTGAATTGTATTTGCAGTATACTAAAGCATCGACGGTTCTTTCTGTCGGGGGTTTACGGCAACAATTTTCTCTCGAAGAAAATATCGAAATGTCCCTTTTTGGTGCCGAGTTTATACGGAACATTAATCAGTATTTAGGCATAGAAGGACAACCCCCGATCGATTCGTGCTTCCATCCATATGGATATTTATTGTTGTCAAGTAACGAAGGAGCCGAGGTATTAACAAGAAACTCTAGATTGCAAAATTTTCTCGGAGCAAAGAATATTTTGTTGACGCCAAGTAAATTAAAAGCCGTGTTTCCTTGGTTAAATACGGAAGATGTTGAATTGGGTTGTTTAGGATTAGAGAAAGAGGGTTGGTTCGATCCATGGACTCTACTTTGTGCTTTTAAAAAAAAGGCACTAATTTTAGGGGCAGAGTATGCTTATGCAGAAGCCAAAGGGTTCATGTATAAGGAGAACGATGATCACGGGGATGAGAGATTAGATAAATTGATTGTAAGAATTTTACTTAATTTTAGTGTTAATAAACTATTATCTCTTAAATGGCGAACCTGGATTAGTTTTGATCTAAGACTTAAAATTTCATTTGTAACCAATTCGTTATCTAAGGGTTAATTGTTAGTTTTTATTTACAAAACATTTTCGAGCTTATAAAACGTAGTAAAATAGTTGTTGTTCCAATGGGAAGAATGCAAGCAAACATACTTTTTGTTAGATACAAACTCCAGAGGGTGAAACGCGTACAATAAAATTTAGTTTAGCCATTGTGGCGGCGGGTGCTTTTAGCGGAGATATCGCCAAGATGGCGAAAATTGGTACAACAACTGGAGAACGCAGCCTAGCATTACCTGTTGTACCAAGGTAATTACTCAATAATTTTACCACACGTTAACGAAAATTAATATCTATTTTTGACGAACGATTCGCAGGAAAAGATACGTGTATTGTTTTCACTGTCCCGATGGCCCAGGTTTAAATACTCCATTAACGACTGATTATTCAGGAGTATATTTCAGGTCGGGGTTAAATAAAAAGTATTCCTATATATCGATTATATAATATTTTTTATCGAATAAATTTTATTATTTATCTTAGACGAGAAGGCTTAGGGGGTTCCTACATTTGCGGGAAATCACCGGCCGAATCCGAAGAGCCTTCCGTTGACAACTTAGATGTTGATTATGAATACTTTAACGAAACAGTATGGCCGTTACTTGCACAAAGAGTTAAAGCTTTTGAAAGTTTAAAGGTATTCAATGCTCTCACGTTGAAATGTTTCTTTTTTAAAATATCATTTTGTTTGTTATCTCAAACAATAATTACTTATTTTAAGTTCGTTCAATTTACGAAGCTTTAATTTTTGTTTCACATTAAATGATCTTGAGATGTTCGAATAAGTCTTAAAATATAAATATGTGTGTATAAAGTAAAACAGGGAAATTTAGTTTACATTTATTGTTTTATAGTTGATGTCTTCTTGGGCAGGATATTACGAGTATAATACCTTCGATCAAAACGGAATAATTGGAGTACATCCGTATTATAGGAATATGTTTTTCGCAACCGGATTCAGCGGGCATGGAATTCAACAAGCACCAGCCGTTGGTAGAGCAATCGCGGAATTAATTCTCGACGGCACATTTATTACAATCGATCTATCGAAATTTGGTTTCGAAAGAATTGCTCGAGAGAAACCAATGTTCGAAGCTAATATTATATAAACTATAATATGAAAAACAGAACAAGCATTTTTAGGATGGAAAATTTTATATGAATTTTGTCGTGTATTTATTGTATAGTATTTATACATCATAGCACATGTATATAGTAGTCGATTTGTCTATAAAATAAGCAAATTATTTTGCAAAGTATTGAAGATACTGGAGTATCGTTTGTATAAATTTGTATAATATAATAGTGAATCTGATGAAAAGAAAAGAATTATTCTGTGTTCCAAATACATTAAACCCGCACGAAGGTAGTAATAATTGTTATTGGTCCGCCCCTGTATATATAAATAAACAAATGAAATAAGTTTTTATTAAGAAATACACTTGCCAGTAAAAAAATAAGTTATTTATTATGTCTGGAAGAGAAAGGAGGGTGAACTAAAAATTCTTACCAATATTAATTACTCTTTAGGAAATATGTTTTGGTGAAATGAATGACTATATTTCGGTTCGTATCAGTCTACTGTATTTCAATGCTGAGTATGGCGTATTATCAGTTAAATGCAAATAAATGCGCACACATCCGAGCAGTAACGGCGAGAAAATATTATCGATTTCTGACATTCAAGCCGCTTCTACCATCAATGTGTCTAAAAATTTTCATAGTATACGAACAGAGCCAACCGAGAGCATTTCCTTTTCCTTTTTATTCGCTCAAATATACGATCGAACGGAATGTATTTTGCTTGATAAATGAAAGATAAAGAACTGAATAAAGTGAATATAATGGATTTACTGAAATATGATTAAATAAATTGTACAAAGTTCAAATGAAATTCAATAAATAGACAATACTTATTAGCAGAATCAGCTACATGAAATTGAAACATGCAAAAAAAGAAATAACGATGAAATAAAAATGAAATCCAACAAAAATGTAATAGGATAATGGGTATTATTAATATTTATAAAACAGAATGAAGCATATTCATTAATTAATTTAAAAAAATACAAATTAGTCGAGGAACGGTTGCTTCTTCGCAGTCTAAATTTGTTCCTATACTAACAATGTATAATCGGTAAACTATACTATGTAATAGAATAAGTAATAAATACACTAATGATGTACAATGTGCATTAACGGTCAGATAAAAGACATTACGATACGTATTTGTATTATTTATATAGTAGAGCAACGTGGAACGATATAGACTTTTTTTATTTAATTACACCTGTAGCAAAACGTTCCCGTGAATAATGAAAGAGTCAATGAGGTTTATGGTTCCGACCGCATCTTTAAAAAATTGTATCATTCGCGAACAGAATCGGTGCCAAGTAAGGCTCTAATTATCTCGATTAAACTAGAAATCGATTTTTATGTATGAATTATCAAATTATTTACATATTTATTAATTCAGATTTTATTCAGAATTTATCTTAAACTTAATTCAAATGTACACAATAGACTATCAGTTGCCAAATTTGATTCAATGCAATAAATATTAATTTCATTAAATGATTTATCAATCTTCCCACGTCTCTCTTACATGTTATAAAACTACATTTCATTTTCTCGAATAACGCAATTGTTGAGAAAAAGAAACATTTTTGGCCAAAGAAAAAAGGAACAAAAAACGAATGCTTTCGGCCGACCACTCTGTAACTTAATAAAAGAGCAAGACTCGAGCGCCAGTCGAATTTAATTTTTATTCGAACAATTCGTGAACAATTTCCAACGATTCGTTCCGAAAAAAACATCCGAACGAAATAAAAATTTCTTCTCGAAAAAAAGTTATGGAAGAAGTAATATTTTAACTGCACACCGCAAACACCACGTAAAAATTATTTAAATTAAGATTATTTTATGCGATATGCTACCACTGTTTATGACATGATCAACAACTCAATCGTGTGAAAATTAGTTCGTCGATTATTCGAATAAAAATCGTCCAACTTTCGAACGTAAGGAGGCGCGTATAACTTTGGATAGAAAGAGATGTGCGGCTAAAGGAGCTGGCCAGTGTTTGCAGGTCGAAAAGACGAAAAAAAGACAAATTATTCCTCTTTTTCAGCTTTCTCAACGTCCTGTTTTTCTTCAGCCTCTGTATCTCCCTCAAACTTTGGTCCTGGTGCCTCTTCGCCTTCGAGCACGATCTCTTCTGGATCCGGTGCTCGCGGGAGGAAATCTTCTTCGGGGTACATTGCTTCAAAAATGCTTCTTGCCTTGAAAAGTTATACGTTATCGTAACAAGTATAAATTTAAATTAAAAGTAATACTTCCCCGATTAAAGTTAAACACAATATGTAAAATTTCAGTCGATTGGGAATTATTTAAACAATGCTAAACAGAAATAACAAATAAGATCTACCTGATTAACTGCGAAATCGAAATCAAGTTCTAAGTCCGGTCCGGAACAAAGATGGAGGTTGCTTGGCGCAGAATCGTTTAACTTTATATCACTTGCAGGCAGATTTAAGTATAATGACCATAAAACTTGAGGCTTAGGATTGTCAGTAGACTCTTCCTTGTCGGTTTCGCTACTTTCCTATAAATACAGAACCTTTTTACTGTTTTAAGGTTGCAAGTATTACTCTGCGGTGTCTTTTGTAATTTTACTGCAGAGTAAAGAATGATACAAGTTGTAGAAACACTCAAAACACTCAAAACACAGTAACTCCTTGCTAAGTGACACTGAATGTTCTTCATACGCGAATATAATACACAAATTTTCCATATTAATTCCGTATTTCTTACACGATATGCACATTAATGATTTAGTGTTTGTTACGCGATCAAATCATTAACTTGGAAACTCCATTTTCTCGAAAATAGAACCAAAGTGCAACTCACGGCGTCGAGCAGGTTATTGTTTAATGATCCTGATTAAGTCTGCAAAATTGGTTCTTATTTATTAAATACAAACCTGGCCTTTCCTTTGTAAACCAAATACAGTCTGGAAGCGTTTTAGCTTCCAATACTATTTCAATGCCTTTGAAACAATAATGTCTCACTGGCTATCATGAATTTTATTAACTTTCACTTAATTACATTTCGCTCACTTCCGCTGTTCTTTAATTGCATTTCATTTGTTCTAATTGTTCTCCACTTTTCCCGCCCCATCCCTTGTTACATGTATGTATCATATGATATCAAATGTTTCAGCTTAACACACATATTTCATTGGTTGAAATTAAAGCATTCGAATATTTTTATGTATAAGTGATTGCATGAGAAATGTGTCTTAGGGATAATCATGGCAAAAAGTATAATTAATTTAAAAACAACGTACCTCAATATGTCTCTTATCCGGAGAAACAGTTTGCGTGTGGCTATGGATCGATGCGCGGATCGCCATTGGATCGAACGGTTCCGCTTTTAAAAATTTATTGACAACGTAGGCCAAGTCTTCCTTTGCGTTCGTCGTTCGTTTGCATGTCATATGCACCATAACTGTATTAAAATATAATTAATAAATATTTAACATTAGAATTCGAAACATTAGAAATGTTACAGTAATTTAGACATGTTTTATACTATATGCATAAATGTACATACATAGTCCTTGAGGACAAGCATTTGTAGATGGTCCCAATTCAATCAAAGTAATAGGTCCTTGACCAGGTTCTTCTGGAGGATAATATAAAAGTGTCAAATTCTCTTTTTCACCTTGCATAATTGACCTACAAAAATCACAATGCAATATTTTGTCAAGAAAATTTGAAAGACTTTTTCATTCAAGCTTTTAAAAATTTTCATACATTATTAATCAACTCTTTGCAATATTTATAATCAATGTTATATGTAGAAACAACATTGTACCACATATGTTATAAGTTACATTCTTAGGGACGACAAAATTACGATATATCGAATATTAGGTATACTAAGCGCAGGTATTGTTTAATACATCTCTGTTTTTTGTTACTCGTGCGTGCAGATTTAAACAAAATAGTTTTAATTTTTTAAACACGGAAAATTCCAAAAAAAATATAACAAAACAGTCTAAAAATTACACGTGTAGATCGAAATACCCCCTTAATGTAATTCGTACATTGCAATTTTTTTTTAAATTTCCTTGTTTTAAAAATTGTTTGCAATATTACCTGTCCGTAATAAATATTCCTCGCGATATCCGTTCCTCTCCCTCGGAGGCTACTATTTCCGGTGGCAAATGACCCTGACCGACAACCAAATGTTCTAAAGTTAATCTTTGTTTGCCGCTAATGATAGCTTTACACTTGTCTTCGTCTATTACTACACCATCCAGCTGCCTCTTCAAACAATACACTCCACCAAACACTGCACACAATCTATAAACAATAATAGATTGCAGTTTTTATCAAGGGATAGTTTTATCCTACGAGGAACTCTAAATTTCATTGATCTCAATCTTTATTATTCAACAAAAATAAGAATTTTACCTGCAAAAGCACTGAGGTAGCTCTCCACTACCGTACATAGGCCAAAGGAAAGGTGTATTTCCATATCGCCCGAGGCTATTGAGAAAATGCTTCGTGCGATTCACACCATCCCTACACGGTGTCTTTTCAGTGGCCATTGCAATAGCTTGAACAATATAATGCTTCACGATTGGTGTTAGATCCTTCGTGTTCAAATATTCTATGAAGGACTTGTCCTGGAATCCTATTAACAGGTATAATTTATTTAAAAGAAAAACAAATTTTATGGTAGAAATGGTGTGTTGTGAAGTGTTATGGCGAGCCTGAAGGTTGTGCAAGGGGTGATTAAAGTCAGGGGGATGTAAATCAAGGCAAGAGCGAAAAGTGAAGCCAGAAGAGAAAATGGAACAGCGAAAAGGAAATAGAAAAAAGTTGATGAAAGCGGTAAAATAAGCAACGAACTTGCTACGCTTATTACGACCATCGAATTGAATAAAATTAAGATAATTACCATCAAATTCTGGGCTATCGGCGCCCTGCACCATACAAGAAGTGAGTAATTTCATAAGCATTCTTTTCTCGACAAAACTAACGGTTTTATTTGCGAACACATCAGCCCTCGAGCAAGGTACTTGTGTCAGCTTTCCGTCCATGAACGTAGCCACTCTGGACACCGATCGGAATTCCGCATACCGAGAAATATTACTGGATATCAGTAATTCAACGAGTTCACCTCGCGCGAACAGCAACTATTACCGGCAAATGAAATTTCGATCAATAGAAACAGCATACAAACAATGAAACATTAATTTATATACTTTATAAACTTTCTATAATCGTTTTATATATTTATTTATTAACTAATCAAAATACTTTTTTAAACCAGCCTGTAACGGGGGGAAATTTTAATGAGAGATTCTAGGGGGCAAAATAAGACGAAAATCAAGAATACTAATTTGTTGATCGAGGCTCCGTTAAAAAGTTATTAACGTTTAAAGAGTGAGAGTCACTGTCGCGCGTGCGCAGCTGTGCGCAGAGTGTCGTTCTACAGGCGGAACTTTAAACGTTAATAACTTTTTAACGAAGCCTCCATCAACAAATTGGTGTTCTTGATTTTCGTCTTATTTTGGTCCCCAGAATCTCCCGTTAAAATTTTTTCCAGGGATGGCTGAACTATACTCGTTATTTAATTCCATAATCATTGTTTTACCTTTGGTGCGAGGTCAATATTGAATTTTCTGTATTCCTTTCTAATGCGATCTATACTCCACTGTTTTACATTCTCCTTTTTCTCGACTTTATCATCGTCTGTCTTTTCATCGCCACTACCACTGCCATCACCAATATTATCAGTCTGAGTGTCTTTCGTGGAAACCACTGGCAAATCAGCTTCACTGTGACAAAAGAGTAATTGAATTTCTAAATTGTATCAGTAGAAAATTTATAAAAAAAAAAAAAGATACAGCATAAATGAGAAACTTACTTCGTAATAAACCAGGTTTCTTCAATATTTTTAACAGTAGAATATTGATCACTGGCTTTAAGAAATTTCTCTTCAGGTTGTAAATCTAGTTCAGATATATCCATAGTATTATTTTTCGGAATTTTCAAATCCTCTATCCATTTTTGTAAACCATCAAAATTAAATGTTGCCCAGAGACCACCATAATACTCATTACTACAAAATAATTTATTAATCGCCATTTATTATCGATCAAATAATATATCCGGTTAATTGGTTACTTCTCATTAGATATTTCTAAACGGTGTCAAAGGGGGTAGCTATGGTTTATCCGTGATATAAGGGAGGTGAAAAGTGCACCTAAGTCAAATTTCACTTGCGACGGATTATTTCGATAGCTTATTAAAAAAAATCAATTTGTGCCAAGGTTGTGGACAAGGTCAAATTTTTTTTTTATTTCTAAACACTGGGCGAGGATGTAAAATATTACAAGGGACTATACATGTTACGAACAAATTATTTTGTCATTAAAAATTGTTAATGTTTCCCCATGAAGTTGATTATGCAGTGCAGGCTCTTACGAGCGGAGCCCCCCACTTGTCTTGTGTTAGTGTAAGAGAAAAGGGCAAACAAACTTTGCTTCAAAAATATTAAAATTTAGGAAGTATTTTAAAATCTTATTGTTTAAAATTCAGACCTCGATTCGTTGGTCAGAAATTGGGGGGAAAAAATAATATTAATGTTGAAATCCGTTTTAACGATCGTTGTTTTATAAAAAGTCTCCATCAACAAATTGGTATTCTTGATTTTCGTCTTATTTTGTCCTCTAGAATCCCCCATTAAAATTTCTTTTTTTTTTAGGGTGGCCGAACACCCTGTATATTATTTTAAACAATATCTGACGAGAGAAGCGGTGACGTACTAAGTGCACCAAAATTATTTCGATTTAATAAATTTTTCTAATATATTTTACATATTTTTGAAACATTTGGAAATAAGTATTGTTCCTAAGGGAGGATCGAACTTACGTTCATAAAATTCACAGCGGTTCGGCAATCGGTAGATACTTTAAAATGTAATGCACACAGCATTGTTGCAATTTGTTGGATTTATTTAGTTTCTTCGATTCCCGTGCTCTTTTGCTAAATGTAAAAACACTGAAAATTGCATAAATCACACATTTGCCACGCAAATAACGACGAAAAATATTAAATTTTATCTTGTTTTTAATAACGAGACGCACCAGGCGAAAAACTCTGGAAAAAGTTTTGAATAATAGTAGAAATAATATGTACTTACTGTAAGTATATAATAGACTTCTTAAATTTTTAATTTAAATATCTGAAAAATTTCTTTAATACGCGTCCTAATAACTGTCTCTAATTTTATTCAAAATCATGCAATAGGATGTGAGAAATTGAGCAAAACGTGATTTTCTATTATTACCCTTTAATGCTCAATAGAACGAGATACAATTTGATACACAGTTGAAATTTTGGCACAAATTAATTTCTTTTGATCTATCAAATGCTTCGTCGCGATTCGAATTTCGATTAGGGACATTTTCGACACCCTTATCCGGCTATACCCTTTGTATACACACGACGATCATACTTGTTAATTAAACTATAACTGCCATTTATTATACATTTTTCATATTTTTACAACATGGAATTTTCAAAGGAAAAACAATCAATAAAGTAATAAAATTGTTGAACACATACTTAAATAAAATAAATATAAATAACGTATATAAAATATTTGCATTATTATATCACTCGTTTTTTTTTAGGTCTAATAGTCTATTTGTTCTAAAATCTAATTAATATCTTTGTTTCATTAGAAAGTAAACTTAGCTCAATCTTTATTACTAATTATTTAACTAAATTTAGGCCTTAAAAAACACAATGTGTGTAATAATTCACAAAGGTTGGTCCCTTTAAAATTCATTTGCATTGCTAACATGTACACATCGGTTTATTTATGACATTAATGCTTAGATAACAATTGACCCTTATTATTAACAATTTCCACTTTCTCCAGATCCCTACACTACCTGCAGATTATTCTATGCCCAGTGAATTGAATCACACATTACACATAAAATACATATTCCATACTAAAAGAAGACAATGTTAACTCTTTTGTTCGGGACATTAAATAACAAAGTAAATGCAACTATTGTTATATATGTAAAAGATATATATTTATGTATTATATAAAGGTATCTATATCATTTAGTTCATTGATGGAAATTTATAATTATCTAACATTATATAGCAATGGCAATAAACTGCAAAAATTGTAATTTCTTTAATTTTATTTAATGGTAAAAGAATTAGGTTCCATAAAAAAAATGATCAATTATGAGATTGCTTTCTATTCACTAGTCAGTTGTTTTTCTAATAATTTTGATGAATAGCCCCCCAAGTTTTTAAAAAGTCAGAATGAATTTATGCCAATTTTAATCCATCATATATTAACCATGGTCTGTTTAAGGTGAAATCTAAGCTCGAGCAACATGCCTTGGTGATTCATTTTTACCCAACCATTGGAATCTGCTTTTTCTACTGCTCATACTGTATATACACTTTTTTTTTGTGTATCATTTTCATTTTTATAGACAATTGTCAGAAAATGATTTGATCAAAAATTAATTCTACTTCCTTATTACAATCGGGATTTCGCTGTATTATTATTTTATACCTAAAATTAATAAGTGAAAGGAAGGCAATTTATATGCGCATAATTTAACTTTCAAAATTAAATAACCAGATTGATATTTTTCGTCGAACATACGAAAATTTAGAATCGGACGAGGAATACGATGTATGAAAAGAAGAGAGAATAAGAGTGTGGAAAAAATAAAGGAAAATGCGATTGAACAAGAGAGAAGGGTATAAAAAAGACGTAGTCAGACATACCTGTCTAGGTGAAGAACCTTTTTACCGATTCTGCTCGCGGCCGCTGCAACAATGGACTCCGTCATGCCTGCATTAAATTATTAAACAATTACGAGGAACGGTGATGAAAATTGTTGAAAAAATAAATTAGACATATATTCAAAAAATCAATACCCGTCCCCACGACGATGACATCGTACGCAGTCGGCAAATCGTCCTCCATGGCTTCCAGTTACAAATTGCGATTGAATAAAAGGTTACGAACACAATAATCTCAGTACTTCTGATAAAACGTAGAAGGAATCAATTCATTTCTAACGGATTCGATAAATTCTGCTGAGCGAAACGGCCACTCCCGTCGTTTCTTCTTTCGTTCGAACTTTCACTGGTTTACGACACACACAAAACTTCAATTTGACAGAACAGGACGCTGCAGGTTGTAACCAGGGATAGGTATTTCTCAGGGTTTAGTGGGGCCCCCCTTGCAGCGCCATTGGCGTGCTAACTCGGAACTAAAATAAGATAGGAATGGGGTACATAAAGAGGGAAATTCAATTGCACATCAGATGCTTGAATCAATAATTGAAACCAGATATTGAAAAGGATCTGATAATAACTGTTCCAAATTGTTATACATCCACCCCTAACTCGAACCAACCAATCGAAACAGTATTATGACTGTTATTAGAAAAACTGTTCTCATGTAATATCGATTTTAGTTAGGGTTCTAGTATCGGTTTTACTTCGGTTCTAGTTTCAGTTCTAATACCAATTCTACTTTAATTCCATCCATTGATATTTTATAGAACATTTTATACCAAGTATATTTTGCAAATACTTTTCGCTTTATCTTTTACATTTCTGAAAGTTTTTCTTCATTAAAAATAAAGAACTAAGAAAAAGACAATTGAACATGAACCATACGATTTTCTAGATTGAAGACACATGAATGTAACATGATCAAAAACCACACCAAATCTAGTAACTTAAGGCACGTTCTCATCTTACAGCATAGCGATTTTTCGACTACTTTGATGTACTTAAATATTATATAACATTTAATTACGTTTAAAGTGATTTAGAATAAAGTAATTTGTTCGTTTTATTTATGAAGTAATTTGTAACTTTATTTGGTACCACTAGTTCCCTTAAATGTCGCTGTCTCTAGGGAATAATTCTAGATACACGATGAAATTTCGTTCGATTTAATTCGATAACTTTAATTAACGTAATTATACTTGTAGCTTTTAGTAAAATTTAATAAAGAATGCTTTATTCTAACCTTTTTAAACTAATGCAGATATTCGTTGAAGTGTGTTACCATCGTGAACGTTAGGTATCGAGACCTAGTAACTTTATTCTGTTCTGACCTTAATTTTAAAGAGGACAATTTAGGATAGTTATTTAAAAAAAGGACAAAACTGAGGTTTGTAGAAATAAATTTATCTAAAGGACAGTTGCTTGAAAAAAAGAATGGTCTTCTAAAATAAAGGACGAATGGCACTCTAGGTACAGTATATTATGTTGTAACGTAGTAAGGCATAGTATGTGGAAGAAAGAAAAAGGCTAAGTATGATTGTCTTATATCATTTGTAAAGTTGAATTAAATCGGGGAACCCCATGGCATATTTGTTGAATTCATGACAGAGATTGAAAAGTAACCTAAGTAACTAAGATAAATATAACGACATTGAACTGTATGTGAAAACAGCTGTTATAAATGTCCAGTGTCCACCATAGCAAACGTTATGACTTCTTTAATCATATGGAAACGAGTGTTTAGTGTGCAAGTTGAATGTTAAAAGAATTCTAAAGAAAAACAGATTCATTCATTTTAAGCACAACAAGCATTAAAAGTAAACTACAAACGACAGGAAAGAAAAGGAGAGGAATCTTTCGTAATATTGAATTAATGATAACATTTTGTAATTTATAATAAATAATTATTACCGAATGCGATCTTTTTCATTATAATTACGCAGTTAATGATATTCCCTCAATCTTAACAACATATTGCTGCAATATTAATTATGTGTTGTCCGATTAAACAGTTATTGACATGAACTTCCCTTTGATTACCATGGAATACATCGTTACATGAGATTTTAATTTTTATCATACGAACAACACACAAAAAATGTTTATCTTTGTAATTCAAAATTGTTGCCTAGATAAGAGTATTAACCATGTTTGTGTCAGCATTATTAATTTTGCGGATATTATATGTTAACGTGCCACGAATTATTCGAACAGCTGTTCTTTTATCAGTTTCGTAAGTTTAGAAACGAGATTACAAAAATTGTTTTGTTGTTGTTATTAATGCTATCTATTATGGTCGATTATTTCTTAAAAGGGTATGGTGTAATTGTAAACGATAGCGAGTCTTAAAATAAATGTTAGTTCGCGTTGTACAAGTTGTTTTCTCTAATATCACTTTCACTACGCCGATAAGGTGCACGCATATCGAGAAGCCTGTTTGACCTTATATAACAGAGACGTGTGAACTTAGTCGCTTAGTTTCAACGGCGATCTCGCATTGACCAGAGGAACGTAAACTTTGTTGCGAACATGACTTCGAAAGAGTGTACTCTCGACTCGGACTGTATGACTCTGACAAGATTCGTGCTCGCCGAACAACGAAAAATACCAACAGCTACAGGGGATCTAAGTCAGCTTTTAAATAGCATACAAACTGCCGTAAAGGCAGTTAGCTCGGCAGTTAGAAAAGCCGGCATCGCTAGTATGTGAGTAGTTAATTGCATATTTTGTGTTCGAATATGCATGTGAATATCCGGCGGGACATCTATGGGGCGAAAAAAATACTAACAAGCGGAGGTAATAGCAGGGAATCGGTGCACATAAAAAGCCTATAAAACTACAGTTATGCTTTTATTATGATTTTTATAAGAAATAACTTTAAATTAAATAAATATTCTTATACACCAACAGTCAACAATTTGTCACTCTTTAGCAAAATTATTCTAATAAAAATGTTTATTCGAAAATATCATAATTGGTAAAACTTTTCTTTCAAACTCACCTTCGAGGTCATCGAAATTGTTTTTGAACGAGATTAGATTATTTTTATCGCTACATTTCGGTAAACGACGTTAAAAGTTTCTTGTTCTTCGATATTTGACACAGGTACGGAATAGCTGGAACTCAAAATGTTCAAGGAGAGGATGTAAAGAAATTAGACGTACTGAGCAACGAATTATTTATTAACATGTTAACGTCTTCGTTTACGAGTGCCATTCTCGTGACCGAAGAAAACACAGACGCCATAATGGTGGAGACGGAAAAGCGCGGGAAGTACATAATATGTTTCGATCCCTTGGACGGATCGTCTAATATCGATTGTTTGGTATCGGTGGGCTCAATTTTTGGCATTTACAAGAAGCCTGACCTAACTACGGAACCCACGGTAGCAGACGCACTTCAACCTGGAAAAAATATGGTTGCTGCCGGATATGCCCTCTATGGTTCCGCCACTATGATAGTTCTCTCGATCGGTCACGGAGTGAACGGTTTTACCTATGATCCAGCGATCGGAGAATTTATTTTGACGGAAAGAAACATGCAGGTCCCTGCCAGAGGCGATATTTATAGGTAACGAATAACGAGATCATTTTTTGTTTCACGTTATTCGTTGTTGCATTGTAGTTCATAGTTTGTAAGGGAGAAACTATGATTTCAGTATTAACGAAGGCTACGAGAGCTTATGGAATACAGCCATCAAAGAATATGTTCATTCGAAAAAATATCCGAGCACTGGAAAACCATACAGTGCAAGGTATGTGGGTTCTATGGTGGCCGATGTGCATAGGACAATCAAATATGGAGGAATATTTCTTTACCCAGCGACCAAAACTCATCCAGGTGGCAAGGTATCTATCTACACTTGCTATTGCCATAATTTCTTGATTGAGGCTTCGTTAAATTGTTATTAAAAAATTAAATTAAAAAATTTCAAATCATCCTGGAAAAATTATTTTTGGTTGCGGGGGTTAATTGCAATAATTATTGGTGAATAGACATACCCCAGAATTCCTACGCGTTTTCGAGAAAAAAATTCGAGAAGGATAGAAATTTTTCGACGAAAAAAAAAATTCCAAATCGTTCTAAAAAAAATATCTTTCGCTAGGAGAGTTAATTACAATCATATTTTGTGAATAGACATACCCCTGAATTCCTACGCGTTTTCGAGAAAAAAATTCGAGAAGGATAGAAATTTTTCGACGAAAAAAAAAATTCCAAATCGTTCTAAAAAAAATATTTTAAGCTAGAAGAGTTAATTACAATAGTTTTTGATCATTAGACGTACCCTCGAAATCCTACCCACTTTCGAGAAAAAAATTCGAGAAGCTATGAAATTTTTCGACGAAAAAAAAAATTTCAAATCGTTCTAAAAAAAATATTTTAAGCTAGGAGAGGTAATTACAATCATTTTCGGTGAATAGATATACCCCAGAAATCCTACGCGTTTTCGAGAAAAAAATTCGAGAAGGAATGAAATTTTTCGACGAAAAAAAAAATTTCGAATCGTTCTAAAAAAAATATTTCTAGCTAGGAGAGGTAATTACAATCGTTTTCGGTGAATAGATATACCCCAGAATTCCTACTCGTTTTCGAGAAAAAAATTCGAGAAGATATGAAATTTTTCGACCAAATTAAAAAATTTCAAATCGTTTTGAAAAAATTATTTTCGGTTGCGAGGGTCAATTACAATCATCTTTGGTCATTAGATGTACCCCTGAAATCCTATCTACTTTCGAGAAAAAAATTCCTTTTTCGGTCGAATTCGACAAATTTAACTTCTTAGCAATTTCTCTTCGATCTTTTCGTTGAATCACGATTGTAACCATACATAGAAATATTCTTGTCTTCGATAGTTATGTATTGTCAACTGTTAACAAACATATGAGACGTTTCAAGTATTTCACGAAGTTGGTAAAACGTTTATTTGCAGCTGCGTCTTTTATACGAATGTATTCCAATGGCTTACATACTAAAAGAAGCAGGAGGTATGGCGTCCAACGGGGAAATTGATATTTTAAATCTACTGCCTGAAAGCATTCATCAAAGGTCTCCAATATTTTTGGGATCACGGGAGGACGTCGAAGAAGTGTTACAGTATATTCAAAAGTACAAAACGTCGTAAAATACGCAGGAAACAACGAAAGAGAGTAAGAATATATTTAACTTTTTATTTAAACGAACGCTGATATCGTGAGTATAACAATAGTACATAGATCGTAGTCGCAGGATGTGTTTTGTCATTTTTTAACAGAAAAATAAACAATTTCTTATTTCCGGAGTAACTTTGCCATCTAGGCCGCGTATCCATTAGTCTCTCGCTACGAATGCACACTTGGAGGGATTAGAAAATAGCGAGCAATAGCTAGATATACGTGTGTGGTCAGCGTTAACCCTTTGCGGACCGTTGGAACACAGAAAACTTGTTAAAAATGGTAAAAATATCCGTAAAGGGTTAGTGGATACGCGGTTTTAGAAGTCTCTCGAGGAATAGTTTAATTAATATCTATATCCATCGTTACTGGTCGATCCTCCTGTTCCCCCCGAAGGTCCTGGTGCTGGATACGTCGCTGTTCCCTCGTACCGTACCATTGGGCGATATCCAGCACCATCGGCGATATATTCGACAATCTGTGTTCTACCGTCTGGTAACAGTACGTGATAGGTCCCAGATGCCTCGTTATCCTTCCTCAACTCGTGATGCCCGAAATCCAAACCCGCCACCGCGTCCTGGACCTCGTACGAGAACTCGTAATTTGCTGGATCCTATGAAAAGAACAGAGAAAGAGTAAAAGTACAGGAGCCTGGTAGTTTTCAGTAGAACAGAGCCCCGTTAATCGGAACAAATTATCACGTATGGATTCTAAATGCGAGAGCAGTGTTACGAGCACGGAAATTGCATCAGGAGATAATTGAGAAACAGAGAGCTACAGGGGTTTCCAATGAGATAGAAGTATCAATTGCTATGGTAGTGATACACAGTTGCTCACCACGTTGATATTATTAAAATTATTTAAATTTAGAAATAAAAAAGTACTTACCCCGGCCCATTCGTCCGGATGGCCAGTGTTACCACCTCCCCCGCCGGTGGGTGGACGTGGTCCAGATCCTGTGGGAGGAAGATAAGCAGGACCTTGAGGTTCGCTGAAAATTCCTGCCAACATCGTCACTAACAGGAGTGCCTGCATATAAAAATGACACAGTGTATTTTGTTTCTTTAAAAAATGCATCGTTGCACTAGCGAGCAAAAGAAAGTGATCCAAAAACCGATCACCTCCCGAAGAAACGGATTAATTTTCACACGCAACAACGAGAGACGGAACAGCATACAAACCTTACGAATCATTAGCAAGTTACCCGCGATTTTGCGCGTCTTGAACGAAAGAAAATAGCTTAATGTTACGAAGCCGGTGGATTTTATACCAAACCTCCTGTTGCGGGTGCGACGAAATGGAGATGGAATCACAGTTATTTGGGGGAACTTTAATACGAATCCATACCTATAATTATAGTTAATAATAAAACCGCATTGTCTTTCTGGCTATACAGCAGCAATCATTTATTCGGTGTGCTCATAACAGTTCCTGAAATGTTGAAATGCTTGCTACTTTTAATGCAGAATTGTTAAAGTTATACTTTGCCGGAGAAAAGCTTCTTAAAATCGGGATCCCTCACTGCGAGCCTCTGTCGAATATCGAACAATAACAAGACGCACAAGTTTCTATCTTCGCTGGTAATCTTTTATTTGTTCCCACTATTTCTCTTTTCGTACCCTTTATATGTACAGTATAACGTTTACGCGAGTTTTTTTTAGAGATATCAAATACTGTTTGAAGAGATACGATAGCTTGTTGAGTAATATATATACATACATACATACATACATATAAAAGTGGAAACTTAGCGTAAAGAAACCGGAGTCGTAAACGCGATTGATCTCCTAACAATTAGTTCGACTAACAATAAATCACTTGTACGTACAGAGGCGTATACAACTCTTTGGTTTCAGTATTTTTTTCTTCTTTAAATATGTCTAACAATCTTGTGCGCATTCATGTAGAACCAAATCGATTCACTCGTGCAGAAATTGCACTCAGCCGTTAAAAGATGCACCTAATTCGTAGTGATACTCGAAAACTTAAACGTCTATAATACTGTTGCGTTTCTTCTCGACGTCTGTGGCGTCCAAATCGTTCCCTAAACTACCAACTCTTCCTCTCAGACCGATTCCAGGACCAACTTGCCCCGTGGCTTTCAATTTCTCTTGCATTTGTGCGAGAATATCCTGCATCCTTCGTATCTGCGAAGATTTTGGAAAACGATATTAAAGCAGAGACGAGAAAACTTGTGCTCTTTCTCACCTCTTCGTCCTTCTGTAAGAGCAATCGATCCGTGTCGGATATACTGTTCTCGAAATGTGGGCCCGAATCTCTCTTCAGTTTGCTGCGAACAGAAGAAGATCAATATGCTTCACTAAAAAAAAAACAAAAGATAATTTAACTCAAAAACAGGAAAGTTACGACTATAAATGTGACTGTAAATATGTGTATCCCACTGTAGTTTAGACATATACCTACTGAAATTCAATACTTATTTACATGCGTAAATACCTCCGTTCCCGAATCGCTTGCTGTGAGATTTGGGAAATGCATTGGGCCCGAAAATTTTCGTAATGCACGTCCTGCGTGACGTCTTTGAGGTCTTGCATGTGCGTGGATATCAGCATTGTTCTCAGTTTGACGAAATCACTGTGCTTCGGGTTCTCCACTACACTCGATCGAAAGTAAAACGTTAATCGATTCCACGCTTGTCGTACTTCTTTTGGTAGATATTTTAAATAGGAATTGTTCGGTAGTTACCTTCCACCACTCCCCAGGGGTATTGACGACCGCGGACCTTCTTTCCCGCCACTTCGAGCACCGTCGAACTCCCGACAACGGCGAATGGAATGCACGCTTTGAGTTCTTTATCCTGTTGCTTGAATTCCTCGTCCTCGTCGCTATCACAGTCCGGAAATTGATATATCTGCGTGTAAAGAATCGCACGTTCCTTCCTTTTTCTTGGCTGATCGGTGGATCGTTAAATACTACCTGTATCTCGTGCTCCTCGATGTCGGCGAGGATTCTGTCTTTCAATTTCTTCACCTCGTAGGTGGTCAGTGTGTCCGCTTTCGCGATCACGGGCACGACGTTCACTTTGCGATGCAAACGTCTCAGTATTTCCAAATCGAGCTGCCTGAGTCTACGGGAGAAACAGAAAGAGAAAGAGGGGAGCAAAAATTGTGTTAACGCGAAACGCTTGGGGATAACGGAAGTCGAAGTCGAGTCGCACCCGTGACCGTAAGGAGGAATGAAGTATAAACAACAGTGGACTCGGTTATCTTGGATATTCTTCCTGTTCAGACCGCTCTCGTCCGTAAAATACTGTCGAAACTGTTCGTCTATGTAGGCTGAGCACGTTTTCCAAGTGTCCTCGCAGTTTACCGCGTCGCCGAATCCTGCGTACAGACTTGTTCGTTTCTATGGAGACTCCACGGGGTTCCTAGTGCATTTTATAAAGTAATACCTGGCGTGTCAACGATCGTTAGTCTTAATCTGACGCCACGTTCCTCGATATCCATCGTTTTCTTCTCTATCATCGTAGTCTTTTCGATGCGTTCTAAAAATCCAACAGTTTCGCTCACCCGATCTATCGTATCTAACGCGTCAATTACGAACCTGCGGCGTCGGGAATGCGTCGGTCTTTGTAAAGATCCCCGAGAAAAAGACTGTTTATCAGGGTGGATTTCCCAAGGCCGCTCTCTCCCAGTACCATCAAAGTGAACTCGAACCCCCTTTTAACCGATTTTCTGTGTACTTGCTCGGGCAACGTTGCAAATCCGATATAGTCCCTGTCTTGACGAACAAGATAAAACGATTAAATGCTAAAAAGCTTCCCTTTCATTTTCGTTTCTTCTCTCCTTTTTCCTTTTCCTACTGTCCGTCTCCATTCCCCGTATATTTTTGCCTGCCTTACGCTCTCTCTTGAAAGAAGAGAAGAAGATGAGGCCTAAAATCAAAGACATACACACGTACCACCGGACATATTCACCACACGCGACGACACTTTCACAGTGTCGAAATATCAACACAGAAAAACGATAGAACGGTGTTAGAGCACCGCACGGAACATGAATGAGGGGTAGATTGCTAATGCTCTATCGCCCTCCGGATTCTGCTGCGCTGGCGCACTAGTGGAAACCGATCAATATCGTACTTTTAACCATGAGTTCAGTCTCCACATTTAGTTTCCTGCTTGCGAGATCTACAGGTCTATAGAGGGGCATTATCCAAATGCCCTCAATCGATATTTTTCTCTTTTAAATAGCTCGTTCAACGTTCAAATCTAAGCCACGGCTAACGGGGTTTCCCATAACAACGATAGAACTTTGAATTGAAATTAAAAGTACAAAAGATGGATGCTCGTTATTTTATTTTGATGTGCATTCTGTAGTATCATTTAAATGACCACATAAATCAAGCTGTGTCAACAGTTTGTGGTTTGTTGGAACAAACGAGAGGCTTCGCATGACCCCATAAGAAGTGTAATGGCGTCGCGAGATCTTGGAAGCCAGCTGACAAGCTGCATTTCTCGAAATAATCTTATCGTTGAACTTCGATCTCGATGACACGATTGTTTTAGCAGAAGCGTGGCATGTGGCACCATTAATATTAATCATATATGTATAATAACGACGACACACCATCCAGAAATCATGATTTCGTCTCTCTTGTTTCGTTTCCTATGGTCTCACGGTGGAAATCGATGACGATCAGCGATAAAATTTAAATAAATCGCGCGTTTGGAAAATAAGTCGGACGCGTCGAGTGAATTTCAATAAGGGGACGAAGAAATAGCGTGAAAAATATAATTTCGTATGCATCGTGGCGGATTATTGATAAAGCAGAAACCGATGATCGAGGATTTCATTGTACGATCGATAGCTAGGGCGGTCGTTGATGGAACGCGGTCGACCACGTAATTTCCGAGGACGTTGTCGACCTAGGACGTTCTTCGAGTTCCGGCGCCACGCCTCGAAGTCAACGTTCCCATGGAAAAGGTAAGGAAGGAAGGGGCAAAACACGGTAAGCGAAGATGCTAGTCGCGCACACTTATGCGGATCGCCAGTCTCGACACGTGAGCATTGCTATAGTAATACTTGGAATACAAGAAAAATCCAACTTGCGTATTACGTTGTACGTCGTACTTGTTCCGCATTTTTTTTAGGCACCTATTCCGAATAATTATCAAATTTTTATATAGACACATACATTAATACATTTCCAGATATATAAAGGTTTTTGTTAATGTTTAATACATTATTAAGTTTATAAAATTAACAAATTCTTGAAATGTTTTTAGTTATCATTGCAAATTGATTTTGTCACACAATGTGGTATAATTTTAAATGCGAAATACAAGGAGAAAACATCTGAAAATATCGTACCATCGTGGCAACAAGAATTAATCGAGTTTAAATTTACGCGCGCCCTCTTTATACATCCGCTACGAGTTAACTCGTCATGCGCATTGGAAAAGCAACATTTGCAACGACGAATTAATTAAGTGAATTTAATATAATACTCATAATATAGAAGAAATATTTGTTTTCATAAATCTCAGTATTAATAATAATTTATAAGGTGTGTTCAGATTTAATTGGCCAAACTTGTAAGACCATGAAACGAATAAATTTTCGTACTCAAGTCTGAGCATTTCGATCAGAAACATCCTGTGTAATAAAATAAAGCAAGCTTTTTAAGGATTTTATACGTGAATATTGATTTTAAGTGAAATAAAAGACAAAATTATCAGATATCGTTAGTTTGAAATGAACCGCGTTTGTGAAACGGTGTCTTCCGATTTGGCGGCAAATGGCGGACGAGGAAGGACGCGAGAATTCGTGGCGAGAGTGTGAGACAATTATGGAGGAACGATACGGTGGATGTATCAGCGATGCGATTTCTTAGTACCATTGGTAATTATTTACAACGTGAGATTTCACTTAGATCGTTTATTACATAGGTATAGTATTTCCATTAACACGTAGAACCTTCTTCAATAAAAAAAGCATATCTCAATTTTGGCGACTACCGTGTTTTCTCAAAGTACTCTTCAATTAACAATTGAAAACATCTTTTGATACTGTAGCAAAATTTAATAAAAAGACATAGCACAAGTTATAGACAAGAATGATTTACGTAGGTTAGGTTTGTAACCGTTGGTACTGTGACTGAAATGTGCAAATACAGTTGATAGTTCACTGTTATCGAATGATTAATGCGTTCAATGTTCTTCTTAAAGTGAAAAATCATCCATTTGTTTAACCAAATTGTTACAGGTGCAGAAGAATGAATGCAATGTAGTTGTGTGAATGCCAGCGAACAAATTAGTTATAGGAACACGGTAAATGGACTTTTGGTGGAAACGAAAATATATCGGCAGATGTAAGCTACACACATACATTCAGTTATTAATAATAACACTTTTAAGAATAAACAAAAGGACTTGAGAAATAATAAAGCTCGAGTACTAATATTTAGCTTCCTAGTTTTAAAATCTATGATTTTGTTTCTGTTCGCTTGCATATATTTCATTTTAACTGATATTTCCTATTATCATGTGTACGGACATACGTAACATGAATTCTTTTGTTTTAATATTTGAAAAAGCATAAGAAGTAAAGTAAAATCACACGATATTGAGAAACAAACCTGGAGACAATTACTAAAAGTAAGAAAACTGATAAGCATGAATTTATGAATGCTGTGAAGTATCATAATTAGTTGTAGCGAATCCCTTTCCTAATATTGTTAGGTTACAAAATAAAAAACCAAATACCTTAAAAACAGTAACTTTGCAAACTGTTTATAAAGTCCTTTTTGTTTCTTTTTATCTGTTTTTATTGACCTATCAAATTTCTAACTACGACTATGATGTACATCGTATATTCTTGCATGCATAAGTTTTTTATTAATGCATACAATTGAAAAAAGAAAGATCTTTAAGAAACAGATTTAATAAGTAAAGGTATGGTAGTTAGCAGTACTAAATTAATACTTTAGTTAACTAAAGCGATGGGTTAAAACAGGAGTCGTTAAATGTGATTGTTCTTCATTTACTTAATCGTTGGATTTAGTTTCTATTCTACATTATGGACTTATGTTCCATTTATCATCCATCAGTTGTGTTAGATAAACTTTTCCAATAACGTTGCACCCTGTGGCGCTATCTTTTGGTCCCGCCGTGTATAAAAGTTTTACAACAGTCGGTGGTTTACGCTTCCAGATGGTCTTTTAGTAACCTTTACGATTAGCGTTCAATAAAGGCAAACGATTTGTCAATTTCGAATAGCGGATCGTCTTTTTCTGCTTTATTCGTAATTCAGTAGCGTGGAAAGAACGGATGGACACATTTAAAGAATGGATAATGGAAAGATGCGATGAGCGTTAGAAAGATGAGAGAAAGTGAATCCGCGACCGGCTCTTGCTGTTGCGTCAACATAATTGCAGGAGCGGTTGAGAGTATGTACCTTTCGCGAAGTGGTCTGTGCGTGTTGCGTCAGCGCAATAGATGCTGTAAATCGGAAATTATGTAGCGTATGCTTCGTTGAAAGTTATACAGAGAAACCCGTTTCCAGGACGCTTTTAAGAAACGGTTGATCGTAACAACGAAAGTTTAGGTTAAGTCTTATTCCTCTGCACCCTTTTAACCCTTCCTATCAAAGATGTGGAAAGCGCCTTTTGTCAAATAGCATTGCCATGAAAGATCACGAAAGAGGTATCGACCGATGCTTACGGTTGCAAATCGTTTTATTTGTCGATAATTCTTTATTGATTGTAGGAGGCAAGCGACAGGGAATAATTTTCTGGTGGAAGGTGGCTGTTATAGCACCTTCGACCTTTAGGGACGAATCGCGAATCACGAGTTACGAGGAATCACGAAAGTAGAATCATGAGCAGTCACGTTAGCGATGCAACGGCACGGCATTCTCCAACTTTCCTCGTTGCTCCTCGACGAGGAGCGTGTGCGCTTTCTGGAATACCAATGCTACATAGGAGGACTTAACGTCGTTCTCTGCATAGCATTATCTTGTTTCGGCTCTCTTTTGTCGCGCGCCGGTCGCTCGATTCGGCGGAAGCCGTCTGAAAACTTGCCCGGTTCCACGAAGGGAACATTCTGTGCTAGGAGTCGCGTTGCAGGCGCTCGCGGCGGTAGTTTCTTGAACGAACAGTGCAACCCGTAGGTTTATATAATAAAAGAACCAGACCCGCGTTCGTAGTCGTGTCGCAAATTACCGGCACGCGAATTCTATCGTTACGCAAGCGGCGTACGGTATTATTCTGTGTTAAATAATATTATGTCACAAGGAAAGCGTGGCTCGTGCAGTCAAAGGTGCTTGTACGTGTAAGCCGGTTCTGGTGATTAGATCAAGCAAATTTCCTTTATTCCGTTATTTTCTTTCCTTTCTGGCACACATCTTTTTTTTTTAACTACAGGCTGTTCATCAGCAGGCTACAATCATTTATTTTGTGGCCAAAATCCAACTCTTTCATTTCTTTATTTAGACAGATTTGCGTTTGTCACGGAATCCAAATATATTATTATGTAATGAGCAACACTGACTCGTGGACCAAATTATGTAAATGAAGATAAGTTTAAATGGATCGTTACAAAAATCAAAATTAAAAAATTTCAAATCGTTCTGGAAAAATTATTTTCGGTTACGGGGGTCAATGGCAATCATTATTGGTGAATAGATATACCCCCGAAATCCTACGCGTTTTCGAGAAAAAAATTCGAGAAGATATGAAATTTTTCGACCAAATTAAAAAATTTCAAATCGTTCTGGAAAAAATATTTTTTGCTAGGACAGTTAATTACAATAATTTTTGGTCATTAGACGTACCCTCGAAATCCTACTCATATTCGAGAAAAAAATTCGAGAAGATATGAAATTTTTCGACCAAACTAAAAAATTTCAAATCGTTCTGGGAAAAATATTTTTTGCTAGGACAGTTAATTACAATAATTTTTGGTCATTAGACGTACCCTCGAAATCCTACCCATATTCGAGAAAAAAATTCGAGAATATATGAAATTTTTCGACCAAATTAAAAAATTTCAAATCGTTTTGAAAAAAATATTTTATGTTAGAA